TGAGCATGCGTGCTTAAGATTTAACACGACGTAAACAATTGAAAAGGACCGGTCGACCCCAGACAAAAGTACCGGTATGTTTGCTGCCACCACTGACGTCTCAAAAATTTCCCATTGAATCTGGGATCACAAAACTGGGTTTGTTCCACATCACAGGACACACGTTTCCACATATAAGTGAGGCAGTCAGTGAAGGATCGCCCCCTACTAGTCTTGAGCCGGGACGCAGACACACGCTACCATGTGGGTGCGCGTCACAGACGCAAGACGCACCAATATCCGTAGTGTATTGGTCAAAGGGAGAGGGCGTCACTACAGATACACAGATCATTGGTGCGCGTTTCTCTGATGGTACTACCCTGCAGATCCAACATGGCGCAGATTACAGCATTGGTAGCGACGCTTCACTTACAGTCAACTCCCTGAATGACGTGCAAGATACACAGAGATTCTGGTGTCATGTGTTCAAGTCAAACGGCACACTCCATAGTTGTTTCACTGATGTTTTGATCTTACAAGGTGTGACAACTATATTAAAGCACTTGCCTTGAATGCTACCCTTTCCTGGTCCTACTTCGCGGTCAACAAAATCGTATCTTTCGATTCATCACCTGTCATTTTAATCATTATTTACCACACAAATATTTTCCATTTGTAGATAGCGTGTAAGGAATAGAAGTAAAAGGGCCTCAGTTCTTTTGAAAATTGAGTATAGTTTCGAATGCATATATCACTGTTTTATTTTCCCTTGAGGCGCTGCAAAGAACAATCCCTCATTGCGATTACTACTGTAATATTGTGTGGTCCAGTACTAACCAACTCCACTCCTTTAATGTCATGCAGAACCGGGCCATCAGACTCTGCACCCTCTCACAACCACGAGATCAAACTGCACCTCTATTTGCAAAACTTCGCACACTAACACTAACGCTCACGGATATTAACAAACTTCAAACAGGAATTTTCATGTTTAAGTACACTAACAAAATTTTACCTCAAGTTTTTTTTCGGCCCTTTTCACTTCGTGTGAGTCTGGCCCAATCGCTAAACGAAAGAGAGATGGGCACTCCGTTCCGGTGAACACAGATTCGTCCCTATAGTCCCCTTGCAATAATTACTGTTATGTGGTATGCTCGTTATTGTTTAAGGTTTACTGGTTTTTTTTTTTTTATTTGTTTACTGACATGTTTATATGTTCACTATTGCATGATTTTCTCATTAACACTTTATTTTCTTTGTGTAATTGTTTTTTTGCCATTTGATTGTTCAGCTTGTTCATCTTTCATTTTACATTTTGATTTGGCTGCCTACTTGTTTGTTCCTTTTTGTTTCCTGATCAATTCGTTTTTGTTCACTTTCTTGTGTTTTGAATTCTTTTGTATAGTTTTGATTTTGACTGCATGTAGCTGCACGAACATTTGATTATGACATCATCGTTTTTGTTGTATCCATGCATAATTAAGTTGTCATTTCGGGTTTCTTTTGTCAAGGCATCTCCATATATGCGCCCGGCTTCGGAAGATGCCTCCATAATTGCCATTTTTTATTGTCCTTTCTTGCTTACTTATCTCCATGTATATTTATCATATTACTTTAATCAAATTTACTTATCAAGTTATTTTGTTACATTGTCTTGTTTTCTTTTTGGCATTATGGAAATAAATGTTGATTACTTGATTAAATCTTTATTGTGTCCTTAAAACTTCAAGGGGCATTAAGTCCTAACTATCAGTAGCTGGGTTTTCCCTCCCTTCATCTTTGAAAACCCCCCAAAACCTAGCGGTGGATTGAAAATGTTGGTGGACCCACCCTTCAAACTTATTCATCCAGATTATATTTCATAATCATTGTTCACTGTGTATGTTGTGCTGTCTCATGGGTTCAGTGCACATTTAGGCCTACCCACTCAACGGAAGAAAACGGAGAGTTGGGTAGACCAGTGCGAGAGACAATTGAACTGTCGATGATGTCTGACGCCCACCCCAAGACACTGGTGTCCGCTCGATTGTCCGAAAGTTCGAAAGTTCGAAGGTTCGTTATTAATCCGAAGGTTCGTTCGTCCGTGCTTACCACGGACCACTTGTGGGGTACCCGTCTTTTGTTCGAGGTACCCCGCAACGAAATCTTTGGAAATAGGGACATGTACAATGGAACAACAAAGGAGGGACCCCGGAAGTCCATCTGGCTGGGATATCCGAAGGTTCAATAGTTCGAAGGGTTCACTAAACCGAAAATAGATTTCGAAGGTTCAATAGCCCAAATAGACAATAAAGTTCGATAGTCCGCATCGACATTAAGGTTAAACTGTCGGAATTGACAGCATTGAGCATTATTGGAAATTCGGACTATATTGAACATTGTGTGCTTTCGGATTAATGAGTCTTTGGACAATTAAACCTTGTTTTCGTTTCGGACTACTGAACCTTCGGACTAATTAACCTTATTCTAAATTCGGACTACCAAACCTTCGGACAAATGAATCTTTGGATTATCAAATCTTCGGACTATTACGAACCTTCGGAGTATCACATCAAATACTCAGATTATCGAATCTTATATTTCATTTTGGGACTAATGAACCCCCGTCTGTTCGGGCTATCAAACCTTCGGATCAATACACCTTCGGACTGTGGAACCTTCGAAATATTGGGCGGATCCCAATTCACTATGGTTTTAATTTTCAGAATAAAGTCAGTCCTGCATACTTTGTGCTGCATTGTTTGCGTAAACCAGTACGAGGTGTGGCCTTTCATCTGGGCTTCGAAAAGTGATGGAAAAACACCATTACATGTAAGGAACTCATACCTTGTTTATACTTTTGTACTGCATTTGTATAAAACATTTACAAGCTGTATGTGTTTGTTTTGGGGTGTTTTTTTGTGCATTCAGATGGAAATCCCAACTTTGTTCTGAAGGCATCGCTAACAGAGTTCTACCTTCCAGAAGGATTTCAGCAAGTTCTGCCTTGTAGAAGCTGGACGCCTGGTGACGTGCTGTGTGAAGTCCGATGGATTCATGAGTCAAGTCACGTCGTCGTTATTTACAACTTGTCTGCTGACAAAGTTGAGGCTGATTCTGACTACGATCTTGCCAGTGACTTTGGTCTGCTCATCAAATCAGTGAATCCCACCAATGCAGGACGCTACTCGTGCTACATTCCAGATGGTCCAGAAAACGCGCCCTTGAAAGGAGCTTTTGACATACATGTGATTGGTATGTGATTGCATTATACATGTTCGTTGTGACCTTCCAATGTTTTTGAAAACTGTTATTTTTTTTCGTCACTCCGATTCATTCTCCAAATTATATTTTGACAGCAGGCCCAGATTTTGAAGCGTTACTTTTTGTCACATTACTTTGCTAATCCATCCGTTCACAACTGCCTATAAAAAAGTGACATTTTATTCCGATGATTTGTATTAGGTATGATAAGAGTAATTTCGTGTAAATACTTCATATAAGTGTCCACGCTCAAAAAATCGAATTTTTAAAAACTTTGTGGTATGAAAGGACTAAGGGAGCAAGTAACCAAACTAGACTTTTTAAACTTTTATTTTGCCCGTTGCCATGGTTACTGGCCATTATGTGTCTTGGCCATTTTCGGCTAATTTTGAGGCTGCAAAAATTCATTTTTTGCGTTATTTTCAAAGGTCATCAAGCCAAACTGCAAAGTAATGTCACAAAAGTAACTATATCACGACAAAGTATCATCCTAACCCTTACAAGAAAAAAAATGGACCTAAAACATTTATCATGTATTCACAACCAGTTGCTCATATTATCCGATTTCATGACATCCAGTTTCATATACATGTATAATGCCGATGACATTCAACTTTACATAACCTTTAATCCCAACTTTCCAGGTGAAGCTGCTGTTGCACTGCACAGGCTATCGAAATGAGTAGATGGCGTTCGACACTGGATGACTGCAAACAAGCCGAGACTAAACAGCTCCAAAACTGAGTTTTTCATATCTGCATCTCAAAACAATCTCCCAAAGCTCATCAATTACACCTTCCCAATCGATAATGAGTATGTGTCCCCCATCCATTTCAGTGAGAAATCTAGGAGTAACATTCGACCCATCCATGACCGTGTCCTCTCATGTACCAGGAAAGCTGTACTCATGCCATGAGGGCCCAGATTCTGTCTAGACTAGACCATGCTAACTCTCTTTTGGCCGGTTGCAGCAGCTCTGACATCTCAAGACTGCAGCGTCTACAGAACAGGGCTTCTCTTATCATTTTCCAAGTTCCTCACCGACATCCCTCTACTCCACTTTTGCAATCTCTTCACTAGCTTCCAATCGAACAACGCATTATTTTCAAAATCTTGTTATATGTTTACAAGTCAATCCACGGTCTCACTCCCATATACCTCTCAAACAGCATTTCATTCTACAAACCTTCATGATCCGGATTGCGCTCCGCTACAGACACAACCCGGCTCGTGGTGCCTAGGGGCCAAAGGATGGTGGCGGAGAGGTCATTCTCTATCTGTGCCCTTATATTGTGGAATGATCTCCCATCAACCATCAGACTGGCTCCTAGTCCACAAGCATTCAAAAGCCTCCTCAAACACACACTTGTTTGCCAGATCTCTTATGTGATTTACTCTTTCAATGTATCTGTTTATGTTTCTTTGTTTTTGTTTGTAAAGCGCATTGATCATCAATTTGGAACTGCGCTGTATAAGCACCAGTATTCCACTAAATGTACCATTAGAGAGACACGTTATATTAATTTCTTCGATAATAGGGAGACACCGGTCATTAGGGAGACACATAACTGTCTCCCTAATTTTACAGCCCCCTTTAGAGGCAACATTTTACCGTCGCAATTAGGTTATATTTGTTGCTCGTGGTCTAATTAGTAAAAATACCAAAACTCGTGGAAAGGACAATGGAATATTGGGTTAGGGCACATCTAAGTCTATGGGAAAGTCTCCCTAATGACCCATTCCCGGTAATTATTATTATTATTGTTATTATTTGTCATTTTAGGTGACTCACTTCCAGCAAGTTCGAATAGTATGTCTTCGTCAGTAACAGTGACACAAGGGCACGTAATGACTCTACCCTGTGAGTGTGCACGACACTTCCATGATATTTATGATTCTCAACATAAACGTTAACAACTACAAGCCTGCTATCATTACACTTTAAACTGATTCCCATGTCTTTATTGTTCAGTGCCTTAACCAAACGTTCTTACACGAAGAAGGAATGTATAAATGGAGATAGCCTCGCCATTTACAAGACAAAGACCCCCCCCCAATAAAAAAACAAACAACAACAACAACAACAACAACATAAACAATCGGTTGTTCTGGCTCATGGGAGGGTTACTTCATGTACATACCAGTAGCTTCTGAAAATTGAATGAAACTGCTGCAAACTGCTCACTGTCTGAAATGACCTGAAATGTACAAATGTGTGGCTTGACATTTCAAACCTGATCTTTGAGATAGATCTTGGCAAGGTTGAAATGTCAAGCCCTCTTTAACTCAATAGGTAGATAAAGCAGAAAGATTGTAGAGGATTCTTAGTGTGATTTTTGTTTGTTTTCTATACAGATAAGGAACTCAATCCCGACCCTTCTGAAACACCTAGTGCCATCTTCATCGCGATTCCTATTGTTGCACTCATTGCACTCATAGTATTAATATGTGTACTGTTCCGTTGGTGGTGCCGCAAGTACAAAGGAGAAAAGTCCTTCACAAAGTGCTCCAGTTCGGACAAAATACCTGACACAAAAGGTACTGTAAGTTGTCAATTGTTTTCAGAAAATGAAAATTGTTAATTTTTTCCTTCAATGAGAAAGCCTTCCAGTCTTACCCGCATTTTCTGCTGGATTGAAGTTAATAAAGTGAGTGAATCAATCCATCTTACACACACACACTGCCTCGATGCATGGTCAGGTGCGATGCAAACTGTTTCCCGCCAGACTATCCGCTCTGTTCACAAGTGCCCCCTCACTGGCAAATAAAGTACAGTTGGGGGTGACCAACCGACGCCATCTTGCCTGGCTGCAATTTTGCCGCGACTCGCGTGGCACGGCCGTACCACTGCGTGTACATATAGTACAAATCCCCTGGTGTACGTGCGTCACACACAAAGTACATGTACAAGGATTGGTGCGCGTCAACCAGCTAAATGTCCCGCCCATGGGACGTCGTTGCTAGGTAAACAGGGCGCCCTCTTTGTTGGCGCACGGAGCCCATAGGTGGGGATCACCCAGCAGAAGGGTACAGACACTTATGGATTGGTGGCTCCAGGGTGAAAGGGTCCTGGTCTCCTTTTTTCCTGATGAATAACGTGAAATAACGCATTAAAAAAAAAAGCGTTTTCCCCCTATCTAGACAGCACCCAAGCCCACCAGACATGTCGAAAGATGATAGTTGAAACATAATTGAAACGTAATTTAAATCCCTATGACTACGAATGATCAACTCCTCTTCCCACAAGTCATAGGTCTATACAACTCTGTGTACACAAACTTGACCTCATTTCTGATCACAAGGTGCAAACCAACCTCTCTGCTTGGCACAGTACTTAAAACAATGATAGTTATCTAATGAATGAAATATATCATCCACTTCAATTTTCTTTGCCAGCAGAGGCTTATTGTTTTATTAAAGGAAAGAAATCAATAAAGAGTAATTATTTCAGTGATTACAGTCTAGCCTGGATGACGCAAATCTGACCGGAGGAAAAGTGTGGTTTTATATATATTTTTGCTTCCGAGGCCAAAGCAGTAACTTTTTTTTATAATCCCTGAGGTTTATAGATTAACAAAACCCCAAATTTTAAAGCATTTGCAAATGTTTGCAAAATAAATCAGTTGGTAAACTCTTGATGAACATTTTTCTAGTTCCAAGTGCCCCAGGTTCTTCGGACAGCCCAAGATCCACACCCTGCGTCCAATTGCTGCTTCCAGAGAGGGTCCTATATACAACACAACCATCAGACATCTTGCAAAGATCCTCCACCACTTGCTAGGAAACACCAAGCATTACATCAAGAACTCCGACCAGTTTGCGGCATTCATCCAAGACCTCACCCTCCAGCTGGACGACATCATGGTCAGCTTTGATGTCGTCTCCCTCTTCACCAGCATTCCCACCTCAGACGCCTGCACCATCGCCAAGGACAGACCTCAAGCAGACACCACTCTCCAAGACCGCACCGACCTCACCCCTGACCAGCTTCAAGATCTGCTCCTCACATGTGTCAACTCATCCAGCTTCTGATGGCGGGACAAATTCTTCGAACAGTCGGCTGGAACCTTCATGGGATCTCCTGTATCCCCGCGGTTCTGGTTGACTTGTTCATGAAAGAATTTGAACAGACCGCCATCGCAACAGCAGATCACCAACCCAAGGCTTGGCTCTGGTACGTGGACGACACCTTCGTCATCTGGCAACATGGGCAAGACAACCTCCAGCTCTTCTTAAAACGCCTCAACAAGCTTCACAGCAGCATCCAGTTCACCATGGAACAAAAAAGAGATGGCAGCATCTCATTTCTTGACGTTGAGGTGTCCAGAAAGCCAGACGGAAGTCTTGCTCGCAGTACGGACAGATACCTGCACAGCAACTCTTTCCACCACCCAAGAATCAAGTCCTCCGTCAACCGAGCCCTCGTCCGCTTCCCCGTGGTTTTAGTACATGTATTTGTCTTTGATGATCTCCTCATATGAAAGAATAATAAGAACAAAAACTACCACTTACAGATATAGTTTTATAGTTATAGTTTTAAACACCAAAAGAAGGGGGGGGGGGATGTCCACAACCTTGTTTACGTGTTTATTATGGCGAACCGATATGTACGTGAAGTAAGTGGTGATCGACCTCTTGTAGCGTCACCACGACCAGGTCAGCAAATTACACGGGTGAGGGCTCCTTTCATTTCTTTTGTCCCTAAATTCATTAAGTCGGCATAGTAGCTAGGTTTGAGGGTATTCTTTATTGTTCACCGATCATGTAGATGGGCTTTGGTGAAAGCTTGTGGAAAGGGTCAAACAAGAGTGTTTCTTTTGGGCTACTTTGGGTTCTAATTTCAGCGTGCGCACTGCATACTTTACATGTATTTTGTCATGTGGAGCACAGTAGGCTGAACGTACTATACTATGTAATGTACTATATTATACGATACTTTATGAACGTACTATACTATGTAATAATTTGTATCCGTGGGCATATATTATACGCGTACAGTCATGACGAGATTCATTGTCTATACTCTATTCAATTCGGTGTTCAATTTAGTGTTGCTCTGGCTTGGTATTACCAAGCCAGTATTTTATGGACCGACTTAAGTATTTTATGGACCAACTGTTATATTCAGTTGGGTCATTTGCATGCTCCCCCCCCCCGGAAAAGCCAAAAAAAAAAAAAAGAAGAAAAAAAGGAAGAAAAGAAAAGAAAAGAAAAAGAGGCGCGAAGTCATATTGGTGATGTAAATTTAATGGGTTGGGGGAGGGGCAAAATGTCCCTGCCCCTCTAAAACCGATAAATCGAGAATATGTTGAGAAATACTGGAATTTTTGGGAAAAATATGTTTTGCCCCCCTCTAAAAAAGTCCTGGCGACGCCCATGGCCATGAATTTTAGTCTCAAGTAAGTACATGATAGGCCTTGGCAAAGAAAACATTGGTTTTTATCCAAAAATGCATGTATACATGGTTTACCACATTGACCTCTGGTATAAGTTAGGTAACATCATTGCTATGACGTCACACTATTGTTAAAAGTTTGGATTCGGAACTACGAATCCAATTTTTTCTCGTGTATTTTCTTTAACAGAGATCACCGAATTCCATACTGATCAGCCAATGCGTTTAGGAGTAGGCCTAGGCCTAATATATTATTATAAGTTTCATTGGAGGGGATCGTGGCCCCGCCCCTGATCTTTATAGGGTTAACGTTAAAGGGAGTACCTGCATCAACAAGACATTAAGCTACTGATTACGAAATGCTATCATATATATATATTTTTTTTCACTGAGAGTGATGACACAGAGAAATTAACAACATTAAAGTTTTGCCACCTCAGGTGGTACCAAGTCGGTCTGGCCAATGGACTAAATTGTGCAAGGGCGTTATTCAACAGTGCAATGCAACCATCGCTATTGATCATGTTCAGGAGTATTATAAAAAAAAAGTTTCATTGTGGGGGGGGGGGGGGTCGTGGCTCCGCCCCTGATATCCATAGGGTTAACGTTAAAGGGGGTCTGGATAATCAAGGGGTGATAACCATTAATAAGCTACCACGTTGAAAATGCTACCATTTCAACATATAAATTTGAGATGTATTGCAATAAAAAATAATAGCAACTGGATTTTTTCCCAACTATCACTCGGGAGGTAACACACTGAGTATACAGTGTTAAAACGTCGGTGAAGGGCAAAACCTAATTTGATTTATATCACCCGACGCAAAATTCCATCTTATAACAACTGGATTTTGTTGGAAAGCTGAAACCGATATCGCGCTGACATGTGGCGCTGTATAGATTCACGTGCGAATCCAATACACACGATTGTTTGCATGTTCACCTATTGCGTGATCAAAAACAATATCAACCATAATGTCCAAGTGTCTCTTTTTGTTATTTACTGATGCAACGTATAGCTTAGACTGATCAGCTTTCTAAATAATTATATTATAACTGAAACAAGACCGTAAGTAATTGTTTTGTTTCATTAAAAAGATAACATCTGTCTCGTCATTTGAAGAAGTATTAATGGCGTAGAAATGGACGCGAACTTTCTTCTTCATAAATTTGGAAGATTAGCGATACATGTTGTACACACATTAGATACACGTTTATTGAATGCACGTGACATGATTGTCACGTAAGTTAACATCAGTTTATATGGAATACTGTCAACGAAGGTTACATTTTTGAGACTTAAGATTAACTCGCATTTGCTCTGAAGACTAATGCGAGCGCGGAGCGCGAAGCCCTTACGGCGTGGGGTCCGGGGCCCGCTTAAGGGGCCCGGGAAATTTTGGATTATAGATGCTCTGTGGTGCATGCTGAGGCGATTCCTGGCCCCTTTCCCCCTGAATTAATTAAGCAAAAGTTGTTAAGCTTATAAAGATTTTTTTAAAAAATATACTCTTGTTTTTACAAATTTTAAGCTACTGTGTACTTTAAAGTTGTAAACCATGTATTTTCGTCTGCATAATTTCAAGCACTGTATTAAAAAAAGGAATTGTATTGACTTAGAAAACTGTTGCAATGGGCGATTCGCTGGAGCATTTGCTCCAAGGACTAATGCGAACGCGGAGCAGTGTCTTACGGCGTGGGGCCCTTTCGGGGCCCACTGAAGGGCCCCGGGAAATGTTTGATTCTATAGATGCTTTGTGGTGCAATCTGAGACAATTCCTGGTCCAATTTCAGCAAAATGTTGTGAAGATTATTAATTTTTTTTTCGTTATCGCTTCGGTTTGCGGTAACACCATGTGTTTTTTAAATATTTTTTGTTCATTAGTTTAAAATGTACTCATGTATTTCTTAATACAAGCCTAGTTAACTTTCTTCTGTTCTTCACTTGATAACCAAGTATTTTCGACTGCATAATCAGCTTCTAGCATTTTATTTCGGAAAAGGAATTGGATAGGCTAAGTTTGTAAACTGTTTTTAAGGATGCGTAGGGCTAGGGAGATCTGCCCCGAGGACTACTAATGCGGAGCGCAAATGTCTTTCGGCGTGGGGTCCGGGCCCGCTTAAGGGCCCCGGGATTTTTTGTTTGATAATTAGATGCTCTGTGGTGCAATCTGAGGCGATTCCTGGCCCCTCTTTCCCTGAGTTATTTTAGCAAAATGTTTTAAGTTAGATAAGGATTTTTTTCATTGGTTTAATACAAGCCTTTTAAGTTTCTTCTGTTTTTCACTTGATAACCATTTTCGTCTGCATAATTGTTTTAGTGCATTTTATTTTGAAAGGGAATTGTATAGACTTAGTTTGTAAACTTTTGCAAGGATGCTTTCTAATGTTTTGTATCAAGTTTAAATTTTGATTTTATCAATATGATAAGATTTTCTTTGGAAATTTTCTACGGAAACGGACATGTTTTGGACTCCTTAAAAGCGCCGAAGAAATGCTGGCAAATTGATCGTACGAAAACCGTACCCTTGACCAATAGTGTGGTACAAAGAGCAGCGTACGGTGTGTATGTCGCGCTCATCGCGCTAAACACAGCACATCGGCTGTCACACGTGCGTGTTGTCGTAAGGGTACGTACGCTCATAATATCGCATTTCATAAACCGATATATACTATGCGGGGTTACGTATGGAGTACGTACGGTGGCCGGGATTGCGGTTTATTTCGAAGCTTCTCGAGTTCCCTGTGTCATACGGCCAGTACACAATGTTTGCTGGCCGCTGATGTTTAATATCGGCACCGGTATTTTTGTTAGAAGGTTGCCCTCCTCCTTCCCTCCATTTCTCTCACCTTCCCCATCTTTCCCCCCCTGTTTTATTCATTTTTTTTTGGACTTAATTTGACGGGGGACACGTGTCCCCGCGGCCCACCCCTGGATCCGGGCCTGATGTTCAGGCACGGATCCAGGAATTTTTTTAGACGGGGGCACACCGTTGGAGCACAATTATTTAATTGCTCCGAGAACTAATGCGAGCACGGAGCGCGAAGCCGGGGACCGGGGCCCACTTAAGGGCCCCGGGAAATTTTGGATTCTAGATGCTCTGTGGTGCAATCTGAGGCGATTCCTGGCTCTTTTCCCCTTTATTATTTGAGCAAAAGTTTTTAAGATAATAAGGATTAAAAAAAATATATACTTGCTTCTACAAATTTTAAGTTAATGTATGCCTGAAAGTCGAAAACCATGTATTTTCATCTTCATATTTCTTGCATTTTATTTTGGAAAAGGTATTGTATTGACTTAGTTTTGTAAACTGTTGCAACGATGCGTTGGGCATTTGCTCCATAACTAATGCCATCGCGGATCACGATTACGGCGTGGGGTCCGGGGCCCGCTGAAGGGCCCCGTAAAATTTTGCTCTGTGGTGCATTCTGAAGGGATTCCTGGCCCCTTTTCCCCTGAGTTATTTGAGTAAAACGTTTTAAGGTTATAAGGATTTTTTTATTGGTTTATTGGCGTAATATACTCTTACGTTATACAAGCCTTTGAAGTTTCTTCTGTTCTTCGTCTGCATAATTATTTCCGTGCTTATTTTTGAAAAGGAGTTGTATAGACTTAGTTTGTAAACTGTTGCAAGCATGCGTATCCGCTCCGTTCACAAGTACCCCCTCACCGGCAAACAAAGTACAGTTGGGGGTGACCGACCGACGCCATCTTGCCTGACTGCAATTTTGCCGCGACGCGCGGCCGTACCGTACCACTGCGTGTGCATAGTACAAATCCCCTGGTGTACGTGCGTCACACACAAGGAACGGTGCGCGTCAACCAGCTAAATGTCCCACCCATGGGACGTCGTTGCTAGGTAAAAGGGCGCCGTCTTTGTTGGCGCACGGAGCTCATAGGGCATCTGCCTCGAAGACCAATGTGGAGCGCGAACGTCTTTCGGCGTTGGGTCCAGGGCCGCTTAAGGATTTTTGGATTTTAGATGCTCTGTGGTGCAATCTGAGGCAAATGCTTGGCCCCTTTTCCCCTAAGTTATTTGAGTGTTTTAAGATTATAAGATTTTTTTCATTGGTTAAAATATACTCTTGCTTTAAGCCTTCTAAGTTTCTTCTGTTCGTCACTTGACACCATGTATTTTCGTCTGCATGTTTTTGGTGCCACCGGCGAACTACGATCAAATGTACCTCTCTTGCACTTGGGAAATCAACACACTGCGTTCCGTCTTGCTTGCGAGCATGTCTCGAGTGCTTTAACTTGCCTTTGGGCAATAACTGCTGATTTTCTTTGTCCTAAGAACAAACAGATCTCTTTTAAGTACCAAACATATCAGATTAGTATTTTCAGCAACGCGTACTTACGTCAAAAACCAAACTTTCTTCGTAAAAAAGTTGTTTTATGGACAGATCCATGACCTTCAGGGGTGTTTCAATTTTTCAGGGTTTTACATCGTTTCTAGAATAAAGTCTTTACAAAAAGTCATTTTAAAACAAGGAAATGTTTTGGACTCCGTGAAAAGTATATATAATTTGTAATTTAAAAGCGCGTGGAAATGCTGGCAAATTTTTCTTACTAAAACACACCCTTGACCAATGGGTGGTCCAAAAAGCAGTGCACAACGTGTGTTTGTCACGCGCGCTACACATAAAACACAGCACATAAGCTGCACATTCGTAGAGAATGCATCGTACGTATTTTCACAACCATTATGTCCGTTTGGTCGATTACGTCCGACAACAGATTTTGTCGAGCAATGGCCGATTATGTCCCACCCATTATGTCCGACGGCCGAGTGTCCGACCCATTATGTCCGACGACCGACTATGTCCGACCCATTGTGTCCGACGATGGGATACGTCCGACCTATTGTATTTAGATGGTCGATTAACGCCGGATTCATTCGGTTGTGTACTGACATTATTAAATTATTTTTGTATTATAACTGCAGTGCGCGCCTAAAATTAACAAGAATATTCTGAAAATGTCCCCTTTGTGCCGCCCCTCGTTTCTACCCATTTGTTTTCCGCACGGTTCGTGGGTGAAAGTGATTCATCTTTGAATTTGTAACACAGTAATAGTATGTCATGGGAAAAACATTTGGTAGGATAGAAAAAACTATAGGTAGAATAGTAATTTCTAAATTTTCAAAATGGCTGCCATTGCTTGTTATTATACCTATATTTTTTCAAAGGACATATCAACGATGGCTCTATAGCCAAATACCTTTCTCAAGACATACGCTGACTGTGACAAATTTCCTGCTTTTATCATCAAATGAACAATTCCACCACTGTTCCCATTTTCACGTTTTTTTACGTTTTAAAGTTTATTTTAATACTTCAATCTCTTGTTATTTACATGAATATTATGTAGTTATTGTGTCCGCTATGGTCAGCGTGTCTTCGCCAAGGCTGCACCTGCCATTTGGAATAAACTCCCTGCCACACTCCGTCAAACAACATCCCTGGACATCTTCAAAAGAGAACTGAAATCTCATCTACTTCACTAGTTATTTCTCTATGACTGGAGCTTGACTATTTTTGTGTGTGTAGGCGCCTTGATCGGGTTTCCGGATAAGTGCGCTATATAAATCTGTATCATTATTATTATTAGTTCTTGTTATGTAGTTAAAACTTATTATGTAGTTAAAATATATTTAAGGCTATTTACAAGCGATTAACAAAATGTATACGGTTTAACAGAAAAGCCGATACAAATGTACCGTTAACGTTTGCAGAGGAAAATCAAAGAAAAACCAAAGAAATTGACAATTCAAACAACAACTTATTTAGATACTTCTTCCTGTTAAATCAAATTAAGTGCAAATCATAACTGTGGTTTTATGTATAAACCATCTCCTTTCACTTAATGATATCATTTCATCATTGAAAAGAACTGATTAAACCAGATTTGCACTACAGTGCTCGACATTTTTGTATAGACGGTTACAAGAAATCTTATTGACAAGGATTAAAAAGCCGATTTAATTAAAATTGTGTCGATTGCACTGAATCATTACTGTTATCAATATTCAAAATACAATTACTACTGTTTTCAATATTCAGAATACCCAAAGTCGTCAGTGGCTTTAATATTTTTAGTGGGGCTGTCCACGTTAATTTTGGGTCATAAGGATGCCTCGAAGTAGCTACCAGAAGGGCAAAACTAGCCCAAAGGTCAATGTGTACCTACACATTTTCACCACTGCAGTTTTCCCCTCACCTTATTCCAAAACGAAACCACACTCCTGATATAAGGTCACATCCATTAAAAATAACGTAAACGCACAACCTTACATTACGTAACCTTCGTTTATTACACTCGTCTTATCTTACAAGATTATCTCTAATTTTAGGTCTCTCATTTTGGAAAATGTGCCCTCCGTTTAAAAGAAAAATCGCCAGATCTTTACCACTATAATGCACAATTGAAGCGATATAACATTCATCGATACTTGTTTTCCTTTGAGAAACAAAAATCACATTTCCAAACTACAAAAAAAATGCCCTAAATAACTGTTAAAAAAACCTATTTAAGGGAACGAAATTAAACAAATAATGAATGAAAAGAAAAGCAATGACAGTCGATGTAGTATCCACTAGACTACGTCAGTGACTCCTTCCACTGAGTTGTTGTATTCATTATATTATTGCATGTACATGTATTGCGCCATCATGATACGCTGCAATTATCCATGTAGGACCGACTTTGTGGTATAGAAAAAGCTCGCCTCTGGTCAATGTAGTCCTCTGCACGTCCTGGAGATAGGGCGCCATCACTCGAGCGGCGCTTCACTGGATGTTTTTTTCCCTTCACTTTTAGCTACCGCCCTTCATGGATGCAACAGTGCAAATAAATTCCCATAGACACTAGTGCTAAATGCCCATACTTCAAAATTCTTTTAAAATACTCAGAACTCTCACAGGTATTCAAGCTGCACAGAAAAATGATGATCAACATGTCATCTTTCGTTTTCTTTTCATTTCGTTCGGTTTCATTGACTTTTCGAGATATTCTCACCCAAAGAAGACGACCCCTATTTTCCCCAAAGCGGAAAAGTAGCCATCTTGAAAATCGATTCCTCCACAACATGGCAAAATAGCGCCACTTTCGATCCCAATAGCATCCAAAATGCTCAGAATTGGAAGCCCCAAGTCCGGGCCAGAGGTTCATTACCATATCTCTTCAATTCCCCAATTTTACGGCGCTCAGAACTCTCTAATATAGAATATCTTGAGGGTAAAACTTTTATTCATGAGCTCGGCGGATGGATTTAGGCCTATTTACCGGTGTGCACCCTATAATAGCAGGTAACTTTTAAATTTTAACACAAAACCACATTCAGGAGAAGCAGAATATCAAAGTTAATATTTTGGGGAAAAAAATGACAGAAAAGAATTATCCGAGGTCGATATTAGGTCCGAAAATAATGATTTTTTTGCCCCTGCTAAGCTGTAGAGCGCCCCCAGCGACAATAAATTGAGTTTCAGCTACTTTTAAGCTCAAAATGCCCCCCCCCCCTCCTCCCTTTTCAACTAGCAACTGTTGTAATCGGCTGATGGCCTACTGCTCCCGTACGATTTGGGAGCATCCGTTTACGGAAAAGCCCTTGTTGATACCTTAAAAACACTTTTTTCCCCTCCCTGTAGGTTCCGCCCACTGAAAAAAACCCACTGCCGCGGCACAGCGCATGCGCGAAAAGGCCATCTTTGTTATTCTTCATATAGGATGCAACAGTGCAAATAAATTCCCATAGTTACTAATGTTAAATGCCCATACTTCAAAATTCTTTTAAAATACTCAGAACTCTCACAGGTATTCAAGCTGCACAGAAAATGATGATCAACATGTCATCTTTCGTTTTCTTTTCATTTCGTTTGGTTTTCATTGACTTTTCGAGATATTCTCACCCAAAGAAGACGACCCCTATTTTCCCGAAAGCGGAAAAGTAGCCATCTTGAAAATCGATTCCTCCACAACATGGCAAAATAGCGCCACTTTCGAGCCCAAAAGCATCCAAATTGCTCAGAATTGGAAGCCCCAAGTCCGGGCCAGAGGTTCATTACCATAATCTCTTCAATCCCCCAATTTTACGGCGCTCAGAACTCTCTAATATAGAATATTTTGAGGGTATAACTTTTATTCATTAGCTCGGCGGATGGATTAAGGCCTATTTACCAGTGTGCACCCTTTATGACATTAACAGGGTCCTGATTCCGATAAGTGTTGCATTTGCACTCCGTGTTGCAATTGCGCTCTATGAAGGGATTCCTTCATGTGCAAAAAAATAATAAGAACATTGAAAAGTCACATGTGAGAGTAATTAGAGCCCAAAATAGAGGATGAAATAAATCAGATTTCATAGGACGCCAAAATATTATGACAACAAACTTTCAGAGTTGACCGGAAAAAATTGGGTCAGGGAAAATCGGATTCCTGGTATCCAATTCTGTTCAAATCGAATCTTACTTTTATGAGTGAATTCTAAATACGGCCGCATTGTCCCATTACGGGGTAAAGATAAGATTTGTCTTCCATTATCAGCATGACATGCAAATTAAACAAAATGCTCGATCGACCGTCGGACACAATGGGTCGGACATAATCAGCCGTCGGACACAATGGGTCGGACATAAGCGGACGTCGGACACAATGGGTCGGTCATAATCGGACGTCGGACACAATGGGTCGGACATAATCGGACGTCGGACATATTAAGTCGGATGATAATCGGCTGTCGGACATAATGGGTCGGACACAATCGGCCGTCGCTCTTCAAAATCTGTTGTCGGGCGTAATCGACCAAACGGACAAAATGGTCGTGAACACACGTACTTTAGTTCCAGGAAATGAGACAAGGATAAAAAAAAACACATGTTAATGTTGGGTTATGAATAGTCTTGGCTCAAGACGTCAGTGATCAAGAGCGATAGTTGCATTGTTGTGTAGCGCCCTTGCATTGTTGATTTTTTACTTTCTTCACAAACGTCTCAGTCATTTCGTAGCAATGGGGAATGGTCTTTTTATGTAAATAGGGCCGTCTTTATAAATTCGAACAAAATGGCAGTTCCCATTTTGCTGCAGTAGTCGCGCACTCCCCATTGAACAATTTCTTGATCGCTGATTAGTTCCCTAGGAAAGTGATGATGTTGATCACTGCACGTATTCGCGAGCCATTAAACCATTTCTCTATCGCTGATTGGTTCCCAAGGAGAGCGATGATGCTGATCACCGCACGTATAGAAAAAAATAAGCCGCTGATAGGAAATGGCCAAGACTTTAATCATGCGAGTAGGCGCGCTGGTCTAATTGTTGTGCCATTATGCCCGATTCATACTCGGCGCGAAAGCGAAAGCGAACGCGAATTTGTGACGTCATGATAAGTAGTCGCGCTGTGAATTCGTAAAAGTTGAACATATTATAATTCGGGCGAATTTCGCAGCAAATGTTTCATGACGTTGAATTCGCTTCGCATTCGCATGGATTATGAACCAGGCTTTAGAGGGCGCACTATGCCAGATCAACTATCATTCACTGGCGTCTTGGGCTAAGACTAGGTTATGAACTGCATATACCTTCAACATACAATTCGATTCAGTTCAGTTGTGAAACTTTCTCCGTCCGGGCCATCAATATGGATGCTCTGCTCATTTTGACAGTATTCGCACTTCAGTTTCATTCGTCAAAAGGTAGGCCTGTATAACAATCGCAAACAGTGACATCTCGATAGGAGTTTAACTATTTTAGTTACTAACATTTCTGATCTCGGAAAGACTCTCACCCGGTTACTGTAACACACAAATTCCAACTACAAAAAGCCACTGAATTCCAGTAGACCGTATGCTTTGCAGGTATCTCGGATTGTGTTCTTTGCTATTTTAAGCTTTTATAAGATAGAATTTTGCGTCGGGGTGATATAAATCAAATTTTGCCCTTCACTGACGTTTAAACACTGTATATTCAGTGTGTTACCTCCCGAGTGAAAGTTGGAAAAAATCACTCGAACCCACGACCTCCTGCTTTCTAGTGCAGATGTCTTACCACTTGACCACCGAGCTAACAGGATCGGTTGGCTGGTTCGAATCTGATGTACATAGCAACGGGTACCGCATAAACTTTTATAAGATAGAATTTTGCGTCGGGGTGATATAAATCAAATTAGGTTTTGCCCTTCACCGACGTTTAAACACTGTATATTCAGTGTGTTACCTCCCGAGTGAAGGTTGGAAAAAATCACTCGGGTGGGACTCGAACCCACGACCTCCTGCTTTCTAGTGCAGATGTCTTACCACTCGACCACAGAGCTAACAGGATCGGTTGGCTGGTTCGAATCTGATGTACATAGCAGCGGGTACCGCATAAACTATTATAAGATAGAATTTTACGTCGGGGTGATATAAATCAAATTAGGTTTTGCCCTTCAGCGACGTTTAAACACTGTATACTCAGTGTGTTACCTCCCGAGTGAAAGTTGGAAAAAACTTTTTTTTTTCCTTGCGGACGTTTTGACAACGGTTTCTGAAAATCGGATAGGCCTATACCGTTCGAAAAGACCTTTCTCAGGGTACGCCATCTTGAAAATCAAAGCGAGGCGAATAACGCCCCAAAACATAGCGGCCTACATAGTGTGCCACGGTGAACGAGTGACTTTCGCAAAGTACAACAGATTGACAACCTTTTAAATGGATCACAGCTCAAACTCCCCCGAAACATCATTCCGTACCGGTATTCTAGGCAGTTCATGTCTCATTGCATTTTTAAAATAGTCTTATAATGTAAAGCCTCTACTGGCCGAACTGATATTTCCTTGAAGTAGTTTGTAAGAAGCATCACCGCAGTCAACGTCCGAGACTTTCTATTTAATTTCACTTTTCCATCCGTGGCGTTTTCTGAGCTTAAATTGCATTTGTTTGATAGGAAGTTCTTACATTATCAGGCTATCCTTGATTTTTCATTCACACAGGATCCATTATTTACCAGGAATAAGCGGAACGGGAGCCCGATACGAACCGTTGAGAAATATCACCCTGGAGGAGAATTTTTCATGTTCGTTTCGGGCTCCCTTTCCACTTATTTCTGGGCAATTACAGTTCCTGTGCGAATGACAGTTGGTGCAGCCTATTTCCACCAAAATATCAGCTCAGAAAACGCAAAGGGGACGGATTAAAAAAGGGATTGATTTGAAAATTTGATTGACGTTCAATCGTACCCCCGCCCTGCAAACAGGACGCTGGGAAGGGCTGATCTCTTCGAACTCTCATTGGATAGATTTTCCGTGCCATGTGACACAGCACGCAACACTGCTGTTGTTTATCATGCGTAGCGCGCAATCCTGGCTAAATCTCGCTGGGCCCCAACCCCCTGGACCCTGCTCAATATTGTCTCTCATTGCGCGGTGTGTGCTCCATAGCTAGAGAGAACAACTTTGACCGGGGGAGCGGGGGAGTGGGTGACCGTGGGAGGCTAAGTTATTTCCAAGTGTCCCAACCATTTTGGCCGGGATTGGTCAAGGAGAGATAAGCTACCCGTGCATAATGACATCCATACTTCCTTCACAAGATTGTGAAGGAAGATATTGTTTGCAGGGCGTAGGTTAACGAGCGAAACGTTGACGGCGGCTTAGCTACTTATACACGGAAATTTCAGTTCGGCCACTGATTTTAGGCTATATTAATAAGAACCTTCTTTACTAAAATGCAATGAGACATGACCTGCCTAGAATAAAGATTGATGTTTCGGGAGAATTTGAGCTGTGATCCATTCAAAAGGTTGTCAATCCGTTGTAACTTGCGAGAAAGAAATACAACCTGTAATCGAACAGCCGAGATATAAAGGGGCAATTAAGGGCAAGGAAGGATGCCCTCCAGTATACTCCTCTTTCTTTTATCCCTGTTAATTCATGCTTTACAGGTCCGGTGGCCCCAGAGGGTCAGCCTGCAGTCCATTTTGTAACTGATTTAAAACTCACTAAGAGCCAGGAACAATGGCGTAACTATAGAGTTATACTCCGGGGGGGGGGGGGGGCACCCGGGGTGCACAAATCTTTCAGGAGGGGGAGGGAGTGGGACTTATATATTTTTGCTCGATTCAATATTTTGAATGGGGACAAGTTTTGTCAATGCAACACCCCACCCGGAAGCTCGTTGTGTCAAATTCTTTCCCCTTTCTCCGTACAGCTTACGCCACTAGCTAAATCCGGCATGCATGGAAACACTTGCAGTGAATATATGAACCAATTAAACAGCAATCCATGTGCTTTAAAAGACCAGCTAATTTGCTAGGCTTGCCTTACCTTTTTTTTAAATATGGACACGGTTTGAGTGCATGATTTTTCTCCCCAAAAATGCAGGTGAGGCGGTTTCGCACAGGATCCTCCCGGCAGAGAATTATGCGGCTTTCATTGGAGAGAATGCAACCTTCACGTGCTTGGTAACAGGTAATAATGAAACTGTTTGGCAACCGGGCATTGTTGTCAAGTGGCAGAAACCTGGTCTCAAGCTCGTATTGCACCGATGTCGGCCCCAGCACGGTAGCCACGGCGGATTTGAGGAGCACTGCAAACTGAACATCGCCCCGGTGAGAATGAAATCGAAAGGCTGCTATGAGTGCGAAGTGACTTACCTGGGCCAGAGTATTAAAACCCTGCTATTGGATGTAGTCGGTAAGGCTCGAAAAGACTCGAAATTTGCATAAACAAATTGACTTTTTTGGTTTGGTGGTGGTGTGTGTGTGTGGTTGTGTGTGGGTGTGTGTGTGGGGGGGGGGGGGGGGGGGGGGGTGGCGGTTCGCCACTAACCAATTGTTGAAGAATGCCTTAAAACAAAACGCATATGCAACTCCCCGCCCCGTAGGCCCTTTGTGTCAAAACTGCAGTGGTTAATTTATATAAATATCGACCAGCATGGCGGAGTTTTACTCATCTCATTATTTTTGTAATCAAACGCTACTTTTTTTCTTTTTTTTTAGAAAATCATGCTATCATTCCTCATTTACACAACGTAAAGTGAGGTATGTACAGTCATTGCCAGGTCGTTTCTATAGTGAAATTGCACCCTACACGATGTAACAATGATCAACCTTACAAAAAACCTTAACATTGGGATTCTGTTTCTAACGCGGGCACCTTATTTGGAAACCACCTACAATGCTATATATATTTTTTTTCCAAAAGGATACCATTTCAGACGGAAAAAATAACATGATATTTGATATATTAAAGTAAAGTAGTATAGTAAAGTGTTATATTCACTTAGGCAAGGTGCCTGTCGTTAAATAGGTGGGCACTTTTCCGGGTAATTCCAAATGATCCTTCCCCATTTCAAAGTTCATGTAGCCTTTTAATAAGATCTATGCAGTATGTCAATGTGGTCGGGTAGTAGTTACCTTGGTATAATCGAAATGGAAGAAATACGGTGTATGAGAAGTCCTAAACTTAATATAAGATAGTTAAAAACATGCAACACAAAAAAACAGGCTGGCACACGAAACAACCAGTACAACACCCTTTATGTACTATTTGCTGCTCCTTTCCGCAAGATCCTACCTAAAACTATGCTGTCATTTAATGCCTTTTTCCGCAATGAAGGGCCTCACATCTATAGAACTATTATATATTTATTGAATGCTACTTCTAATGACGCATCGCTATCACCATGTGCAACCAAACATTCAACTGTCCCGTATGTAATTTAATTTTTGAAAAGCGCTCCTCTTGAAAATGCACCTCAATGTCCCATTTAACCTTATTTATATTTTAAATTTTGCCATTTTCAAGGATATTTTGGTACCTTTTTTATTATATGCTAATGTGATTTTGGATATTCATGACAAAGAGTTTGACGTCATTTTAGGCAAATCGTCAACGTTACAGGTATTTCAGCACAAGAAGTTGCCAGAATTTTGGATATTGTGTTGTCGTAACTTTTATTCTCTTTGGTGATACGTTGTTCTTTCAGAACATGGCAGTATATGCCAATGAGCAAATTTTCCCACAAACGTTTTTCCATGAGCAAATTTTGAGTTCACAATTTGAACAGAAAACCCCTAAAGTGAACAGTATCTTCCCAAAAACACATTCTGTTGTCACGAAGGGCATGGATGATTTTAAATGTTTAAAGAAGTGCACTTCACTATAAAAAAAAACACCAAAGAGGGATGTCAAAGAGTTTTCATACATGTTGGAGGAGTAGAAAGTGGCACAAAATAGTATTATGTTCCTGAGAAGAATCCATGTCACGGTCCTTTAATCCCTTTAAGCATATTTTGCACATTATTTGTTCCACATTAAACAGTACCAACACCTTTAAACCAGTCAAACCTCAAGACATGTAAATATTGCGAGGAAAAGAATTACCGTTTGCCAAATTTTGGCGTCACTTCCAATTTTTTAAACAAATGTAACGTTGTCTACATACAGTGTCCGTTTAGTTTTATAAAATGCCCGTAAAGTTGTACCTTTAATTGCATTAATTTTTCAAGGTGCTCAAAACATAGTGGCTGCAAGCATCCAGCTCAATGCCGATAAAAATAATCATAGCTTGTTTGATAATTTCGAACTACGTGTACTTTTGTATTGCTCAAGTAAATAATTAAAACAAAAGAAAACCGAAAGATGGTTTGTATGTATTATAAAGTTCTAAACCGAAATTATCATACATTGCTGTTTCGATTCGGCTCAACATTTGCCCGTGTAGATAAAGAAAAAGGCTGTTCTATGCGGGCTCTCATGATACTTTGGTTTGCTCCGCAGAATGTTTTCTTTTAAATGGTTACTTTTCCAGCGTGTCATACTGAAACTTGCAAATTAAAGTCAGATTTATTGGTTATACAGGAAGTACTTGTTGAGTTTCATTTTACATTATGATACACCTGGAATGAGAATGAAAATTTAACTCTGCAGAAATATAAAAACAGCAACTGTGTGTGGAGCATTCTAAACCAATATCATAAATTACAGAAATGTGTAATAAATATTGAGAAAGGCACGGACAGGACGCGAAACCGAGAAATACCGAAAAATAGGCTTGAAAAACACTTGTCATGGATGATGAATAAACCCGACATTTTGTGCACAAACGTTATGGGTTAGCGAACTGGTTAAAAGTTGCATTGATTCCTTATTAGTTAGATATAAGATCATGTGAAGACAAAAACAAATGACTTCACTCGTACATTTTTGACAATCGATTTGCAGTCTAGGTATGCATGACAAGAAGCAAGAGACCATCTTTACGGACACTGTTGCGTGGGTGATTTGAAAAATAAAACCACAAATTTATGGAAAGCTTTTCAGATTTCGGAAATCTTGTGGGGAATCCCTTACAGGCTTTGAATAAACTGTATTGTTTGTTTGTCATTCACATTGCAAATCGAATGTCTTTAATGTTTGAGTGAAGTCGTCTGTTCGTAAACTGTATTCCTTGCTTGTCATTCATACCTCGATTGCAAATCTAATGTCAAATATAATATGTTTGAACAAGATCTTATAACGGGATGAGGGTCCCACTTTTCCCGTTACTCATTGAATCTGCAGGGAGATTGCCTCTTTTCTTATCACTATCAAACATCTGAATGTTGTACTTTCATTCCGTGGTTAACTTGCGTAAGATGTAGACATTCATTGGATATGGTTTATTTGTATTCTACGGAGCCCCTAAAGGGACATCCAAAATTATTTTTTTATCTCATGCGCACGACATAATATCTCGTGCGCACGACATATATCTCGTGCGCACGACATATATCTCGTGCGCACGACATATATCTCGTGCGCACGACATAATATCTCGTGCGCACGAGATAATTATCACGTGCGCACGACATATATCTCGTGCGCACGAGATAATTATCTCGTGCGCACGAGATAGTTATAAGTATTAACGGAGCTTGCTGCACGTGCAGCGGACGAGTTTGTGTGTAACGAAAGCATTGTGTCAGGCACTATACGCTATACATTTCAAGTCATATCAGTTACAGGACGGGGATGTGTTTTTTTAGGGGGCCGCCACCGGTGATTAATTTTGTCAAGTTTTGCCTTTTTCTGAGAGAGAAGTGTTTTATGCAAAAATAAACCGGTACGTGCTGGCAAAAATCAGGGAATTGGTGGACAATAACAAGAAAATTGCCGACGTGAATTAAAATTGATTTAAAGGGGAAGGAAATGAGGATTTGTTATCAGCATCAGCAGTTTGAATGGATGCGAGTCAGACGGTCTTACTCTCCCTCCCATTTTAAGCGAAGTCTCATTATGAAGAATGAGTGGGAAGTAGCGAAGGATGGTCGACTTTTAAGGTTTCTAAGGGTGGGAATAAAGTTAAAGCCCCTTCCCAGAGCAATCAGTTCAATGATTGACAACTTTTTAGCCTTCATCAGTGATTTTCTTTGCCTCATTTTTACGCTTTTTTGCAAATTACGGGACTGGTCAGATCTTTCTTCGGCTGCTTTTTGGTTGGCTTTTGTATCAATTCTCCTCGCCATGCCCAAGCAGACTCCGATGGGTGTGTTTATAGTGCAGCTGCTTAGGTCCATTTGTTGGCCCAATTCGTGCACTTTGTTTTAAAAGAATGGAATTTGGCATGTGGGGTCAAAATAGGCTAGAAATCATTTTAAGGGTGCAACCTTGTATTAAAATTACCATAGACACCAGTGCTAAATGCCCATACTTCAAAATTCTTTTAAAAATACTCAGAACTCTCACATGTATATAAGCTGCACAGAAAAATGATGATGAACATGTCATCTTTCATTTTCTGTTCATTTTTTGGTGGGTTGACCAAATTCGAGATATTCTCACCCAAACTTAGGGTTAGGGAAAAGTAGCCATCTTGAAAAACGATCCCTCCACAACATGGCAAAATAGCGCCACTTTCGAGCCCAATTGCATCCAAAATGCTCAGAATTGGTAAAAAGATTTGGAGACCTTTTCGAACGATTTTTCCACGACTGTTAGGTCACTAGGTACTGCAGGCCATCCACTACAGCTGAACCCATCTTCAGCTGAACCCATCTTCAGACGTCTCGACTCTGTCTTGCCTCTGGCCCCCGATGAGCGAAGCCGATAGAGTGAGGTTGACTCAGCGCAAAATCAAACGCACGCGCATGACTAGAGCGACGTCAGAAAGCAGGTCGCTCCCGAGTCGTTTGAACGACTCTGAAAGTCGATCTTTCGCCATCTGGCGCGTTTGGTGTAGTCGCTCCAAATTGTTTCAGACGTCGAACTGTTCATGTACTTAATTCAAATCTTGCCTTTTATTTGGTTCAGCGCAACTCTGAAACGCCAGTCGATGTCTGAATCGAAGGTTTAGGCTCTCTAATTTTGTTCATATTGTTTCAGGTCCATCTTGTTAGTAAGTAGTTTGCAGCAGTTTTCTTTATTTTCACTTCTTAACATTTCTACAGAACCAAATACGACGGTAGGCGTTACGGATCTCCTGACAGGCAAACTCGTCGACAGTGATTCTGAACCAATCTGTGTTCGTCGGTCTGGTTTACACGGCTTTGAGTGTGTAGTTCGGGACGCCGTACCCAACGTCTGGGACATCGTGTGGTTCGTCGGGGGAGAGCGAGTTGAACCAGGTTTCGTTGAGACCGGAGCAGGAAGACTGGTGAAAGTGAGCGGCACCTTCAATTTGTCCCAGTCGGAAGACGAGCTTCCGAAGAACGTCACTTGTCAGGCTACGGGTCTCAAGAGACTAATCAACACCACATTTGAGTTGAAGTCTTGTCATGGTAAGGACAAAGAACCCACAGTCTTAATTTTCAGGGACACAATAACTACGCCATTAACTACTCGTACACTTCCTTCTATATCGTCAATTAAGGTCGGGCTTTATCATGGTGATGTCAAGCAAATTGTCTCATACAGCTGCTCAAAGTGCTCAGCTCATCGGCAGAGCTTACCGCATATCCCAGAAACATGACGATACTGGCCCGATGCAGGCTTGTTATGGGTTTGTTCCGGCGGTACCGTTCCGTTTAAACACGGCGGTATATAAGACCAGAAGCGGGCCAATGCTGGCTTGGCTGCGGCAAAGCAGCTCCATGTTGACGGTACGGAGTCGGAATTGGTCTAGTGCTGGCGCTATTACGGCAAACCGTAACAACAACACGATACAGAGCCTGAATCGGGTCTGTACTGGTTTACGGGAAACCACAACGGCAAGATGGTATGGAGCCTGGCTCCGGCCAGGGGCGGCCCTTTTTTAATGTAAACCATGCTGGAAAACGGTACAGAGCCTGAATCAGGCCGGTGATGGTCCTTTTCAGGCAAATCACAACGGGCATGGCAAGACGGTACAGAGCCTGAACCGGGCCAGTGCAGGCCCCTTTAAGGCAACCATACCAGCAAAACGATACAAAACGTAAATTGGACCAATGGTTGCCCTGTCAGGGCAAACAATAACGGCAAGACAATGCAAAGCCTGAATCGGCCCAGCTGGCACCCAATTGCACTAAACGATGTGACGTGTCGCAACTCAAGTTACAACGTGTAACACGTCACAGATCGCGATGTGACGCGTCGTACAATCCATTTCACGAAGCATGCGATGAATTGAACACGTCGCAAGTTACGACGTATCTAGTGGTCATATCAAAATCAGAAGAGTCATTTCTTAGCCAGTTTTATCGTAGGTATACGACGTGTCGAAGCGCTGCGATGCATCGTAAGTAACGATATTTGTTCATGAAATCGGGTGCAGGTCCTTTTTAGGGCAATCAATAAGGGCAAAACGGAACAGAGTCCGAATCGGGCCAGTGTTGCCCCTGTTAGGGCAAGCCATACCGGCATGATGATACGGAGTCTGAACCGGGCCAGTGCCAGCCCTTTTAAGGTAAACCATACTGGCAAAATGTACAATTACGACAAGACAGAACAAAGCCTGAATCAGCCCAGTGCTGCCCCTTCTAACACAAAACATACGGCAAAAGGTACATAGCCCGAATCGGACCCGTGATGTCCCTTTAAGGGCAAACCATAAGTTTTTTTCACCTTGAATGTTTCTACAGAACCGAATACGACGGTAGGCGTTACGGATCTCCCAACAGAAAAACTCGTAGACAGTGATTCTGAACCAAATTGTGACCGTCGGTCTGGTTCTATACGCGGGTTCCAGTGCACAGTTCGCGACGCCGAACCAAACGTCTCGGACATCGCGTGGTTCGTAGGGGGAGAGCAAATTGAAAGGGGTTTTGCTGAGACTGGAGCAGGTGGACTGGTGAACATGAGCAGCACCTTCAACTTGTCCCAGTCGCAAGACGAGCTTCCGAAGAACCTCACTTGTCAGGCTACAGGTCTCAAGAGACTAATCAGCATCAAAGTTGAGCTGAAGTCTTGTCATGGTAAGGAAACAGATTCATCAGTCTTTATTTGATGACAGGCCACAACAAATACGTCTTTTACTACCTGTACCCTTATCTTCTATATCGGCAATTAAAGTCGGGTTTTATCATGACAATGACAAGCCAGATTCCCCATTCAACTGCTCACAGTGCTCAGCGCCTCAGCTCTGCAGAGCTTACTACAAACTCCGATACAGGTAATATGAGTGAACGTCAATGTGGTAATTGACTCGTTCTGTCTCCAAAGTTTGTTGCCCGGAATATGATCAGTTGGGCAAGCAATTCTGAATTTCAATTGCAGTAAGCCAGTATTCATTAATACCTAAGACAGTTTTACCCATTCCCATTGGTCGAGAGCCCATCATAAATATGTGGCCGGTCTAAAATGGAACGGCCAATCATTTACATCTATTCAAAAATAACTGGCGTAATTATTGTTGAAAAGCAGTCTTGGTTTAAAGGTAGTAATGGGACTAAATTGTGAAATTATTGTCTCTGGCCGAAATGTCCATATGCGTCTTTATAGCTAAGGTCCGGTGACATTCCCAGCATTAATAACTCTCCTGTTCTATTTTTGTTTTTTTCATTAACCTGTAGGCATGCACCCCGAACCTTCTGTGGAAATGTGGGATGTATCAGCTCGACGTCTTGTTGGACTGACTTATACGCCGATCTGCATCCAGCCTGACACGGATCTACATTTCCAGTGCCAACTTAAAGTAGCCAGACCAGGCTGGGATGTAGCCTGGTTCTTAGATGGAAATGAGGTTGGAGCTGGCTTCACCAATTTTACCGGTAGCGCAGCTGTTGGATTGGTCAACGCTACTAGCTGGTTCATCATATCCAAGTGGCGAAGCGATGGCCTCAATAAGAAGAGTCTTACCTGCCGAGCAACAAATGAAAAAGGAGACTCACTTAACGTCACAGCGCACTTTGAGACCTGCTCTGGTAAGAAAATGGACTACGGTTGATCTGAACGTATATCTTTTTTATGCATTCCGCCCAGGCTTTCAGTGGCACTTGCTTGATTTGGCGGACTGTATCTTCTGGCTGGGACCCTCCAAATTCTTAGTCTGAGTATCACCCTTTGTCCACCGAGCCCTATTTCCGGTCGATCCAACGTCTGATGAAAGCAAATTTTATGCGACCCCGCGCACCAGCCAATTGGAGTCGACTTACTAGCTTGTGACGTAATTTCAGTCCCAAATCTGGACTAAGATTGTGATTGGTCGATTCGGATGCATTGTTTTTGAAATACAAGATAGGCCGGGTGTGCATAGATCTGCGAAATTTACACACTACCGTGATTGGCCGGCTGTATTATTGCTTGGCGTATCGCGAAATATTATGGCTCGTGGCCACAGACTTTTTTGTCAATACACAGCGTAAAAAAAGAACAATAGATGTCGTGTCTAGGTTTTATTTAAAGAGATCCATGACAAGACCCGATATAGAAAGCGCCCGCTGAAGGGTCAGAATGTCGAGGTCAAGAAGCAGTCTGTTTTGCACAATTAGTCGCTGAATCAGCTCACATACTATTACATACACTACCAAATTCTCATTTGGGTGCAAATTGGAGTACTAAGTACTTGGGTACTAAGTAGCTAGGCGTGACACTGACAACCCAGCGCCCCTTTGTTACACCACCGTAGGATTCCCCCTTGTTTTAAAATAACTGTAATTTTCACTGTCATCCAGACCGAGTAGTGAATACTTCAATGAGCCTTGTGGATCTCTCGTCCGGGGAACTGGTTGGCATCAAGTCTGAGCCCACCTGCTTCAAGGTGGGCACGAAGCGAACCTTCGCATGTGAAATCCTAAACACCCGGCAAGGTATTTTGGTGACTTGGATCATCGATGGAATCAGGAATGAAAGCGGACGAGTGGATTCAACTCAGACATTGGGTGGATTATTCAACATGAACACAAGTTTTACCGTCTTCAACTCCTTGGATGGAAGCCTCATCAACAGCCTTACCTGCCAGGCTTCGGGTTTTGAGACAGAGCCTCTTCGCGTCACCGTGCAGCTCCAGACTTGCCCTGGTGAGACCACCATTCGTTTATTTTATTTTGTCAGGTATACAAAATTATGAAAGAATCTGATTACCTGCAAAAAATCCTCTTTTGAAAATTCAGAAATTGTATCGTATACCGTAATGGAGCTCCGGGATCTCTCGACTGGAGAGTTTATCAGCGATGCTTCGGAGGCCATCTGCGTCACACCGGAGACGGGAAGAGCATTCGAATGCACCGTTCGACAAGCCACACCCGACGCGTGGAGAATCGTTTGGGTCATTGACGGCGTGAGGGAGGAAACCGGATCCGTGGTTCAGACACCGAGCTTGGACGAACTAGTGGACGTGTTTAGCAGATTCACTGTTTCAAACCCGTCCAGTAAAGACGTCGTCAAAAGTCTCACATGCCGAGTAACGAGTCCAGAGAAAGAAGAGCTTGCAATCACGGTTCAACTCCGATCGTGCGACGGTAAAACAAATTTAAATAAACAATATTTTCACTTATTCCGTGACCAATGCATCCAACAGAAACAGTTGTGTTTCATTTTCTTCGTAGTTTTTTGTCCAATTCAGATGTTTTTTTTCGTTGTGGACTATTACCTGTGCATGGGAACCACTCTCAGCCGAGATTGGGTGCTTATGTAAAACCTCTCGGTGATCTAGTTCATCCGGAAATGTCCTTAACTCGAAACTAAAGAGTCATTAACATTACTCCTTCACCAGTCACCGTTGACAAATCACATGTTAATAATCACTTTAAAAAGTCTCTGATGCCAGATTTGACTCGGATACGAGTTCCATATGACCTGTTAATTTGGGGGTCAAATTGACACTTCTGGGCCGATATGACATTTTGCCATCCGCTCTAATGGGTCAATATGACCGGAAAAAATAACGATCAATGGGAATTTAAAATGTAATCGTTTTTTTTATTACGATAGGCAAGAAGCCAGCAAGTACAGTCGACATGACAGTAATCCTTGTCATAATCAGTGCAGCGATGGGAATGCTCACTCTTAAAGTCGTTGCTATTGTCATTTCATCAGCAAGAGCCAAAAGGAAAGAGCAAGCACCAGGAAGTGTGCAAAGTGTGTCGAATCTTCAAGAAAGTGTCGACATGGTAAGATATGTACATGAGAATAAACACATCATACCTTCACATGTACATTCTATTGAAAAAAAATTAATATAAAATAAAAAGAGGCTATTTTAGAGTGTAATTGATTTACAAATGACATTTTTACGGGTAACAAATGACATTTTCTCGGTAACAAATGACATTTTTCCGGGTCAAAAAACCCGAATCTTTCCTGGTCAGTTTGACCCGGAAACATTGTCATAATTGTCATTTTTGACCCGACAAGTGTCACATTTGATCCTGTATGAATATGGCCCAATGAGAACCCGGATTTCCGGTCAATCTGACCAAAGACATTTAACTATATTCTCATTACTGCGATGGATGCATTGGACGTACAGGAGTCGGTGGCCCCTGATTTAGAGTCTGATACCACAGCAGTTAAGGAAGAAGTCGCTTTCCAGAACACCATAACAAAACAGAATGTGATGAATGAAGAGATCCCATCAGACACTGGCCTGCCGTCTTGGGCCGAGGGATGGGGGATTCCTTGGAGCGACCTCATCGTCGAGGAGCGAGTCCTCGGCATTGGGAACTTTGGTGAGGTGCGATCAGGAACTGTGAGGAAGGATGGAGACGTGAACAGGGCTGCCATCAAGATGCTCACAGGTATAATCGAAATTAAGGAGAAAACAATTGACTGACATTCCTTTGATGAGATTTTGATTTTCATTGCTTTAAATTTCACTTGTCATTTTATTCATTTTGGTTTTTGTTCCAGATTTGGATCGTTATTGACATATCAAAATAACTGACAAATACAGCTCTTCAAGAAACTCTTGGCTCTAGTTTTCCCACGAAAAGTATACAAACAACATAATGGACTACGCAAATTCATGCACGTTAACACATTTCGTGGGCGTTTTATTTATGTAAACGATATCATAACTCAAGTTCCTCTCCGTCTTGTAGGACATGTATCTGCATGCGACAGAGATGATTTCATGGATGAGCTACGGACGAAGGCTTGCATCGGCTACCATCCTAACATCGTACAACTGCTTGGTACTTGCCAACGTAAAGGTAAGTTTTGAGACTTTTCCAAAACCAAGGCTTCGGCTGGGTCTCCGGCCCATTGCCAAACTTCATGCCTGAAGCCACAGACCGAGGTGAACCCGGGTTTTGAAAATGACCTTAATCAGTGGAAAAACGAGTATTAGGCCAAAAAAAAGTCGGTCTCTGGTCAGCGCGCGCGTCGATTTTAATCATGCGCGTCAATTTTTTTTCCAAAATGTTCCACGGTAGCTCCCACAGCGCCCTCTATTGCCGCACCTCCTCATTTTTTAACCAAAGAGCACCAAGGAATGGGATATTGCACCAAGGCAAATGATCGAGAGCACCAAGGCAAATTATGGAGGACACCAATGTACATGAGGACACCAAAAAAAAAAAATACCCCACCTTGTCTGTACAATCCAAGCTTGAAGAAAAAAAGAAAAGCCAAAAAAAAAAAAAGCCGCGTCCCCGCGTCATTTCCGGAACTTTGGTCTGACCAGAGACCGAATATATTTTTTTTGGCCTTATACTGGCTTATTAAAACGAGTATTTTACAGATATCAGATGGGTCGAGGGTTTATATTTTGGAAGTAGTAAATGCAGACTTTTTCGGCTAACCGCTGATATCATTCATTTGTATGTCAGTATCCACATTTCCATCGACATACAGAGAGAACTGGGAGCGGGTCCAATTGAGCAAAATCAGAAGGAGTGGGGTCAGGTACGGTGGGGTGAGCTCCCTCAATGACCTTAAATGATGAAAATGATTAACCACACCCTACTAGGACGACGATATCTTCTTTGTGTTCCTATACATGTATTAAGGAGTGTTGTACGTCGCCTTGGAATATCTTCCTTATGGTGATCTGCGCAGCTACTTGCGGACGGCTCGCTCACAGTCAGACTCAGACGAGGAGGCCTTGTCTTCCGATCAGCTAGTCAAGTTTGCTCTGGATGTTGCCAAAGGAATGGAGCACCTTGCTAAGGCGGGGGTAGGCATAATCGATTAAACCATCTTGGCAACTCCGAGTTTTGAAGTAACTAATTCGGCTGTGTTGAACCTATAATTTGAGTATGCACAGCTCCTGTTCAACCACCATATGTTTTTTTTTTAATAAACGAGATACGTCGTGTCACACTGCGAATGTCTTTTGAATTTAAATGGATTCGGATCCCAGCAATGAAGTAATTGAGAAACCATAGGGATTCACTTTAATTTAGGCCTACTAAAATGTCAAAATTGAACTTTACCAGTACTGAAAATATTTCTTCTTTTTTTCAGGTTATTCATCGCAATTTGGCTGCAAGAAGCATCCTGATCGGGAACGGATTGGTTGCCAAGGTTTCTGACTTCAGTCCGTCCCGTGGGGAGAACGTGGAGACATCAAGGGTTTGTGGTTTTTCTTTGGCGATTTATTGAAGGATTCTATCATAACAAACCCCCCCCCCCCAAGTGAAATTGGGTTGTAATTTTTCATTGCCCATCGTCAGTTTATCAGGCACTTGCAGGCTTGCTCTTCCTTAGATGAGGTCATTGTATGAGCCGGTAACGCAAACCAACAAAACTTCAAGTCTGCGTCACTCTGGACTGATTTAAAAACACTTGCAATACTAAAATTTGTAATTTTCTGATGTTGGGGCCTGGATTGATTTCGGAGTTTACAAATCCACTTGGTCAATTGCTGGAGGGTAGGGGTGAAAATAAATGTGGTTTGACGACAAATGTTGTACATGATCTGAACGGTTTTCAGGCTAAGCATCTTGCTCAACTACAAGAAATCAGGAAGAGTTATAGTCAATCGAAAGTTGGAACAGCAACTTAAGATTAAGGGAGCAACCAAGCGGAACAGATACTGTATTATCTGTTGATTGATTTGTTCTCTCGTTTTATTTTTGTATGCAGCGACGAGTACCACTTCGCCGGTTATCCGTCGAATCAGTGAGGCACCAGTTGTATACCTCACAGAGCGATGTGTAAGTTTACAGGAGCGTCTTTTTATCCTGAAATGCGGGAGCTTATTCAAAACAAATCCTAATAGTCCAGCGGATATGTGACAAAATATCGATGAATTGTGCACTTTTGCATAAAAGCGTGAAACTTGGCACAGATGTTCGTATTCATGCCAGAAAATGTTTTAGATGTGGCGCATCGCAAATTTACGTTTTTAGGGGCGCGGCATCCATTTAAAAAAAAGGGGGGCGGGACTTGTTCCCACTTGTCACAAAAGCAGGAAACTTCACAAAGACATAATTATGTAGATTATAGTGTTTTCCAGATTCGAAGCCACCACAAAAGTACCTTTTTGGGGGCGTGGCAGCCATTTAAAAAGGGGGGGGGGTACCCTTAGAAAATATTGTGCCCATATTTCATGAACGAATCAAACGTCCCCCAGACGTTTATGTTCATGAGAAAAAAATTCAGATGTGGAGCCATCGCGAATACACCCTTTTAGGGGCGTGGCAGCCATATTGAAAAAAAGGGGGCGGGATTCTCATTATGCCCACCATGGGAAAAATGTGCCCACATCTGATAAACGAATGAAGCTAATTCCTACAGACATTAATATTCACCAGAAAAAAAAATTCAGAAGTGGAACCATCGCAAACACACCCTTTTAGGGGCGTGGCAGCCATAGTAATATGGGGGGGGGTAGTCAAGATGCCCCTATAAAAAGTTGTGCCTATCTTTCATAAACGGATTAAACTCCACATTGACAATATATTTATTAGAATCTTTCTTTTTTCGAATGTGAAGCCATCACAAACCTACCCTTTTAGAGCCGCGGCATCCATTTGCAAAATGGGGGGGGGGGGGGGGGGTGGTACTCAATATGCCCACCGTGGAAAATTTTGACCGCTTGTCCTCAACATCTGCTTTACTTTTCCTCAACATCTGCTGATGCATGAGGCGACTTTTCTTTAATGTTGGTTTCGACTTAAAAAAAGAACAATATCTCTTGGAAGTCAAACCTTGTACCGAATTTTATATTGTTATACACAGGTGGTCCTTCGGAATTCTCTTGTGGGAAATAGCCACTTTCGGTAAGCACCAGTAATCAGGATATAGACTGTTATACCTTCTCCATCGGCATTATTTGTTTCAACATTTGGAGGATATATCGCTCTTGAAGCTAACAACTCTTCTTGCAAAAGAAAACGAAGTAGTTGCTAAAATAAAAAGCTACTTCATTAATGCCAATGTTGTGTTGTCAAATTGTATCCTTTGTGACTTCCTTTCAACCTGTCTTTCGATATTTTTAAGGTGGATGGTTGTAGTTTTGAAAACGATGATGAGTTTTTTTTACCATTTTGCCTGTGAATGTACTGTGCAACAAATATAATGCCTCTCCTCACTAAACTCTTATCCCCAAAACCATTAATCCCATCACAGTTTCCAGGCCTATAAAAACAAAGCTAACTATTATTAACCTATTTTGTTTAATTCAAGGCGGAACTCCATATCCAGCCGTTTCGAACGACTTGCTGGCAGAAACAATCAGAAGGGGATACCGTATGCCCAAACCAGACAACTGTCATGAGAAAATGTAAGAATTCTCATTTCTGTGGAAGTGTTATCAGCACGGGCCTCTAAGTATATATATAGGCTGTGTCCGAATGACTTGGCTACGGCTGGGTTATACACGCGATCATATGAGAGCGGTTGTAGCCACTTCCCCATAGACATGTGACTTATTTCCAGCCGTAGCCAAAGGACCAAATTGGACGCGGCCATATCTAAACTCTTAAAGATATCACAGTCCATCATTTGCAGCTATCCAAAAAGTACCTGACGTAGTTATTGTTGAAAACCATACTTGGTTGAAAGATAGTAAGGGGACTAAACTCCCTGTGAAATTATTCTTTATGGCATGCTGTCATTCTCAGGAAATCAACGAAAGAAGGCCTTTCTAACGGTGCGTCAATCGTTGGAAGTTTCCGTTAGTAGTTGGTTTTTTTTTTTAATTCGGCAAAGCGCGCGTAAGCGTTGACACGACGCACACGCGCACGCGGTTGCTGTAATTCGTCGGATCAGTGCGCGACATCGCTAGCTGCAATCGGCTCAGTAAGAAAGTGTCTCGGACGCTGAATTCAGGCCCAATTCAAAACATGATTCAGTAACTTTTGATATGAAATCGAGATCATAGAATGCTGTTTTTCTCGAAATATTCAGCTGAGGCTGAGCTGAAACTTCACAAGCAGGTTAGTTGTTTAGCACCCTTCTTTAGATTTGAGAACTTTTGTGCTTCAAACGAACAAAATGCACAAATTACCTTTAAAACTCGCGGTATTTGGGAACTACATGTGTGGACTAAAGGGAGCGCCCTGCAGCTAAGCAACAAGACTGACGAAGGGTAGGCTACTTACAAAGTCCTGGTGCACCAGCGCTACAAGGAGGCGGCTATTTGCCTAGCAATAAAATAACAAAGTACAGTTTGGTTCCCGGTCCTCAGTTCGAATGTCTTTGCAAAAAAAAACAATCCAGATTTACTGCTCAATTATGTACAGTGATGAAAATCTGATCCGAAAAAGACCAAACTTGGTTCTACCGTTGTTGCTTTTTAGTTATGCCGTAATGCGCGAGTGCTGGGACGAGGATCCGAACAAGAGACCGACCTTCGCTGACCTGGTGTATACCTTGAGTGACATGGCCGACAATCGGATCAAACACGTGAGTAAACTGTCTACAGATCTGATCGTAAGGACTTCCTCACAGCATCATCAGCTCCTCTGAGAGCCACCATAAATACAAAAGGTTGTAATCGGTTCGATTATAAGCCAATCAGTCAATGGCAATCAGGTCAATTGCAAGCCAGTCGTAAAGTAATCGCTATACAATCACAATTCCATCACGTGAATGTGACTTGTAGTCAATCACAATTCAATAACAAGTCAATTAAAAAAAATCAATGAAAATTAAGTTAATGACAAGTCAATCCAAGTCAACCGCGTCAGTCGCAAATCAATGGCAAGACGATCACAAGTTAATTAGCCTGGGAGTCATCCAAACAAACAACAATGACAAGTCAATCACCAGTGAATCCTATGTATACACAAGTCAACCCCAATTCATTTGCAAGTCAAACCACATGTCTGATCACAATTTAAAATGACAAAGCATCTCACGCTTGTCACCGTTCATCATCGAAAAAGTTTGTCACTTGAGTGAGACTGAATTGCATGACTGACTTTCGACGACTTGTGATGATTAATGAAGAATAGGTCACAACTGTGCAACATCATCTTCCGAAAATATTCTGCTACATTGTGGGTCCGAAATTTATGGAAGTGTAGATAGGACATGGTTAAAAATAAAACTAATTCGTACGTACGAATTACTAAACCGTACGTACAAAATACTAATTCGTACGTACGAATTACTAAACCGCACGTACGAATTACTAAACCGTATACGAAATACTAATTCGTACGTACGAATTACTAAGCCGTACGTACGAAATACTAATTCGTACGTACGAATTACTCAACCGTACGTACGAATTACCAATTATTTCGTACGTACGGTTTAGTAATTCGTACGTACGGTTTAGTAATTCGTACGTACGGTTTAGTAATTCGTACGTATACGAATTAGTAATTCGTACGTACGGTTGAGTAATTCGTACGTACGGTTTGGTAATTCGTACGTACGAATTAGATTTATTTTTAACCATGTCCTATCTACACTTCAATAGAAATTGAACATCTTCACGATACAACAAAGCCTGAGGCCCTGCATCATAGTCATAGCACATTGTTGGGGAAAGTATCTAGTTACCAATTTGATGAATTTATATCATGTATTTGAATTTAATGCATTATATTAATATTTTTTTCACAGACTTACATGGCAGTAGTCCGAAGCGGGAGTGCCATCATGCCAGAGCTTGATGACTACTGAGGGGCGTGGCCAATGGCCGATTCGTCGAGGAGTTCCCGTTGACTTGTATATACATGTATACCTATGACGTAGATGGTTGAGTCCTGAACAGCCTCATAATAATTATCTTTGGTAACAGACTTAATAGTCTCGGATCGAAGTTGTATAGGGTGAGTAAAAAAAGGAAATTTAAATGGCAGGACCAATTATTTTATTGGCATGTAGCACTTTCCAAATCTAGGATATTAAAGCCCAATTGATAAGCTTTTTTTAGTACAAGAATCATTCAAATCATTCATGTACTTTTCAAGTTACGGAATTTTAATCACAAACACCGCCGTCTGGACCGGTTGAAGCCGATGAAGGCCCTTTGTCCCCTCGTCTCGGCATGATGAATTCTTGTTATCGTTCTGATCAAGACCTTGGCATCTATTGGTCACATTTGAAGTGACTTTTTTGGGACGATCCTGGGAACTCTTTACACACACGTCCATCTACATAGCTAACTTCCAGGCATTACTGATTTTATATCCATAATGCAGACCACACTGTTTCCATAAATATATATGACTGAATTACATGTCACTAAATAGTCTTTGATGCAAAAAAAAATCATAATTAAAGTTTATTGTTGTTTTGTTTAGTAAGAAATTATTCAGCAAATACATGTAAAGCTTTGGTCATATTCAGTGTTGTATACTCAGTATTTTTCCAAAGTATCACTGAAATGTTCCATGTGATGCTGAAAGATAACTTAATTATCGTTTATCCAAATTAAACAAACTGTCTAAAACTTGAATTCCGAAGATTGTAAATTGATGGGAAATAATTACAAATGTATGTAATAATACAACTTGATTTCTAGGCATTATTATTCTCAAATGCAGAGCTGAAAATGCTCTTTGTAGATAACCGAATTACATCATTAACCCAACATGAAGTATTTTGACGCCACAAGTTTTATAATTGTAAGGGTTACACAGTATGCAAAGCATCAAATGATGCAAACTTAACGCTTTGGCTATATCATGCCTTGTTTATATGCGGACAAATTGGTTTTTCAAGGCACCACTGAACTTCCTATTAATTCCACAAAGTGAATCTGAACTTTAGACTATTGCAGATTACTAAATTATGTCATTAACCTAAAATGAACCGAAAGATTTTATGGTAATTAATTAAGCAGGTATGCAATGCTTTTTCAAGACATTATTTAGTTTTTTTCTCTTACATTTTGAGCTTGACAAACTACATGTATTTGTAGATGATTCTCCATGAAAGTCATGATTACAGTTCACATTTCTACTATCTTGACCAAGCTGATAAAATACTCATACATGTTGCCGCGCGTGTAGTTACAGGTGGTGTTAGCCAACTAATGGAAAAATATGGCTGATCATTGATGACAAATACATGTATATGTATACCTTTGATACATGCTTATAGACAGGGGCATAAGACAGTGTCTTTAAAGATCAATGCCACTTTCGTCACCATCGCTGGGCAGGCATTCCAAGTCTGAGAAGTGTTGTTCCCGCAAAATTAATGTTGAGTGTGGGATTTGTACTCGGGTCAGTGGAAATGGAGGCCAGCGTTTTCCCTTGGAGCTACTCGTTTGCTCGGTTTAAAACATAAATTGATAATCTTGTGTGACAAAGACACATATGCGTATTTGCGTGTTAAGAGAGATTACCAGCACAACAGCGGAAACTTTGAGGGACCGTAGGATCCCCAACCAGCCAAACTCCAACGCCAGGGTTCGTTGGAATCTGTTAGGATGAGTACTGCACCTGCAAACTGATTGTGCTTTACTTTAAATATGGCGTACCTCAAATACCAACTGTTTATCTGCACAGACTGCCATATGGTGATGCGATTTGTAAGGATGAGGAAATCAGCCATCATTCTGACCTTTTAATGTCTTTCAGCTATCAAAATTTTGAGTAAGAGATATAAAAAATAGTAATCATTCAGTTTTTGACCAAGTTTTCATATAAACGAACAGTCATGTTTAGAGACTTTTTTATGCCTATAGCAGAATCAATCTAGCTGGAGTTACCTCAGCCCTAAATGTCTTATCATTGGGTTGTCATCACCTAATGATACAAATTAATATAGGGGTAATGTAATTCCAGCTAGAATCAATCACCTTTTTGGTTTTGAATCATACAGACATGCCATTAAACCTGGTTAATATTCGGCGCGAAAGCGAAAGCGAACGCGAATTTGTGACGTCATGACAAGTAGTCGCGCTGTGAATTCGTTAAAGTTGAACATAATTATTATAACTCGGCGAATTTCGCAGCGAATGTTTCATGACGTTGAATTCGCTTCGCATTCGCATTCGCGAGGAGTATGAACCGGGCTTTAGAGGGCGCACTATGCCAGATCCACTATCGATCACTGGCGTCTTGTGCTAAGACTAGGTTATGAATAACTTCAACATACGATTCGATTCAGTTCAGTTGTGAAACTTTCTCCGTCCGGGCCATCAATATGGATGCTCTGCTCATTTTGACAGTATTCGCACTTCAGTTTCATTCGTCAAAAGGTAGGCCTGTAAAACAATCGTAAACATTGACATCTCGTTAGGAGTTTAACTATTTTAGTTACTAACATTTCTGATCTCGGAAAGACTCTCACCCGGTTATCGTAACACACAAATTCCAACTACAAAAAGCCACTGAATTCAAGTAGACCGTATGCTTTGCAGGTATCTCGGATTGTGTTCTTTGCTATTTTAAGCTTGTTACAATGAACGCAAAGAAGTTTAAAACTCATTCATAATCGGCAAATACAAAAATATAGAGGAATTTCAAATTGGCACTGAAACCGAGGTCTTCGGTGCTGTCTACTGTTGAGAGAATTTTAAAAATGTCGTCGAAGTCATACAATGCGTCGTTTGTATAAAAAGTAGAATTTGGTTTACTACCAATTTGTAAGCATTTGCTTGGATCCTTATGAATAGAAGTGAAGCGAATGCTTTTACTGGTTTGCTAAAAAATTAAAGGTATGTACTTTTTACTTTTGTAGTGTTTGCTAAACAATTAGCTTTCGCTTCGTTTTGTATGAATGAAAAGGAGTAAATTGTTCAGACTTGGATTAATTACTAGTCATTTATTAAGGCTGGGTCGGGCAACTTGAAAAGAGGGAAGCAAATATTAGTATGCAAAATAGCTGCTTATATAAATGTGGTTAGGCAGGAAAAGGTATATTGCACGGAGGATGGAGTGTCTAAAATCAGAATACAAGAAGGTGTACTGATTTGAGAAAAGAAGTGTGGCATGGGTGGCCGACCATTTCTTGAAAAATCGGAGAAGCGAAAATTGGGAGCAATGATACAAAGCAGGAACTTGAGTTTCGTTTCATTTAACCACCCCTGATAGCTTACGGGTTGATGTGTACGTAACCTGGAAAAATAGCACACTGTCTTAAACACACGTGGGAGAGCAAATTGTCCTGGTTCAAATGACTGGGCACGAAATACTTTTAAGAAGCTGGGACAGAGACAGGAGTTGATTTTCAAACAACAACCCAAAAAATACTTTTTTCACATGAAACTCAACAAATTTTGGCTCAGTATCAAACTCACCAAAAAAAGAAGAAGAAATTTCAGTTGCTCAACAAATCATTTTAAGAGGGGGAATAGTTAGTTATCCAAAACTCAAAAGTTATCTTCAAATTTCCCTTTAACTGGTTTCCAAAAGCAAAAAAAATAATTTGGTTCGAAGAAGAGAGGAACAGAAAGAGAAAAGTATAAATAATAGAAAATACCAACACAGCACCAATAGAGAGGCACTAAATGACAACACCTCTAAAGTTCAGTGAATGGATGACCAGGAGGGAAAATCTGGCATCAGCTATGTACATGTGGCAAGGGAGCTAGTGAATAGAGGTGCTCACTTCATGATGCCTTGCTGCTCAATGATCACATAACTCTTAAAAGGAAGGTCAGTGACCCTCTCTAAAGTAAACAGTGTTAGGTCAAGAGGAGTCGGGGTATTAACCTAGAGGGGAAGCAGTGGCGTATAGCCAGAAATTTTTCAGTGGGGGGGGGGGGGGGGGGGGGGCCGCTGGGGGGGGGGGCGACAAGGTTTCACTGAGCGGAAGGGGGTGCTACTCCTATTTAGGAAACAGACTAGGAATAAAGTACAAAGAAAACTAATACTCCTCCACATGTACAATTACCAAGTGCTGAACAGTAGATTGTTACTTTTATTCATACGAATTCAAGCATTTGCTTAAGTTCCATAATGCTTTTACTCCAAAGCAAATGCTTTTGCTGATTTTTCCCCTAAACTTTTTAGTATTTGCCAGTTTTTATACGACCCAATGTAATTAACACTGAGAGCATCGGTGTCAATTTGAAATTCGTTTATTGCCCTCTAACTCCGCCTTAAAGGCATGAAGGACCATTAGCTGTTCATGCCTTTTGTATGTTTACAATAATAACACCACTCAAAATCAAACGAAGAAGTTCAAAACCTAACCTCAAATTTCAGCTCAGTGGATATTGCATTTTTTAGAAAACTTGGAAAATGCATCTTAATTTTCTCGATGCAAAGCGAAGGTTTCTGTTGACAGCGCGATGGTTAGGTCCTAACCATCTTGAAAATCACTATAGTCGCAGCGATTCCACCGGATGCTTGATCCTATTGTTTACTTACAATCAAGTCGGATATTTCTCAATATTTTGCAGTTCCGTTTTTGCGAATGATCCCATGCCTTTAACGAATTAGGTCTCTACGATTATAGCTGCGGTATTAATTGATAAGCATATAATTGAATTTTGAATTCTATAATTGTGGACCTGGGTTAGGGGAGGAGAGGGACTCCATCCGGCCGGACCAACCCATCCCTTGATCGAGATTCACCAATTCAGTCGCATTGAGCTTGTACATGTTTTCTGCTGCTGCCTTGCGGACGTTTTGACAACAGAATCTGAAAATCGGATATACCGTTCGAATAGACCTTTCTCAGGGTACGCCATCTTGAAAAACAAAGCGAGGCAAAATAACGCCCCAAAACATTGTGGCGTACATAGTGTGCCACGGTGAACGAGTGACTCTCGCAAGTTACAACAGATTGACAACCTTTTGAGTGGATCACAGCTCAAATCCCCCGAAACATCAATCCGTACCGGTAGTCTAGGCAGGTCATGTCTCATTGCATTTTGAAGAAGGGTCTTATAATGTAAAGTCTCTACTGGCCGAACTGATATTTCCTTGAAGTAGTTTATAAGCCGCATCACCGCAGTCAACGTCCGAGACTTTCTATTTAATTTCACTTTTCCATCCGTGGCGTTTTCTGAGCTTAAATTGTATTTGTTTGGTAGGAAGTTCTTACATTATCAGGCTATCCTTGAATTTTCATTCACACAGGATCCATTATTTCCCAGGAATAAGCGGAACGGAAGCCCGATACGAACCGTTGAGAAATATCTCCCTGGAGGAGAATTTTTTTATGTTCGTGTCGGGCTCCCTTTCCACTTATTTCTGGGAAATAACAGTTCCTGTGCGAATGACAGTTGGTGCAGCCTATTTCCACCAAAATATCAGCTCAGAAAACGCAAAGGGGACGGATTAAAAAGGGATTGATTTGAAAATCTGATTGACGTTCAATCGTACCCCGCCCTGCAAACAGGACGCTGGGAAGGGCTGATCTCTTCGAACTCTCATTGGATAGATTTTCCGTGCCCTGTGACCCAGCACGCAACACTGCTGTTGTTTATCATGCGTAGCGCGCAATCCTGGCTAAATCTCGCTGGGCCACAACCCCCGGCCCCCTGTCATTGTTGTCTCTCATTGCGCGGTGTGGGCTCCATCAGCTGGAGAGAACAACTTTGACCGGGGAGCGGGGGAGTTGGTGACCGTTGGAGGCTAAGTTATTTCCAAGTGTCCCAACCATTTTGGCCGGGATTGGTCAAGGAGAGATAAGCTACCCGTGCATAATGACATCCATACTTCCTTCACAATATTGTGAAGGAAGATTGTTTGCAGGGCGTAGGTTAACGAGCGAAACGTTGACGGCGGCTTAGCTACTTATACACGGAAATTTCAGTTCGGCCACTGATTTTAGGCTTCATTAATAAGAACCTTCTTTAAAATGCAATGAGACATGACCTGCCTAGAATAAAGATTGATGTTTCGGGGGATTTGAGCTGTGATTCATTCAAAAGGTTGTCAATCCGTTGTAACTTGCGAGAGTCACTCGTTCACCGTGGCACACTATTTAGGTCGCCATGTTTTGGGGCGTTATTTGCCTCGCTTGTTTTTCAAGATGGCATACCCTGAGAAAGGTCAAAGGCCGTTGTAGAAAACAATTTAATTTTTCGAATTGACAGTGTGGCAAAATGTAGAGTGCTTGTGGGCAGACCCGATTCAGTATGAGTTTTAAATGATAATAACAACATGCATTTTTACAGATGTAAAGTCCTCGTAGGATAAATCTCATTTCCGGAAGAAAACAACATGTAATCGAACAGCCGATATATAAAGGGGCAATTAAGTGCAAGGAAGGATGGCCTCTAGTATACTCTCTTCCTTTTATCCCTGTTAATTCATGCTTTACAGGTCCGGTGGCCCCAGAGGGTCAGCCTGCAGTCCATTTTGTAACTGACTTAATACTCACTAAGAGCCAGGAACAATGGCGTAACTATAGAGTTATACACCTGGCACCCGGGGTGCACAAATCTTTCAGGGGGGGGGGGGGGGGGGGGGGTGGCACTAAAATCAATGATATATATTTTTGTTCAATTCAATATTTTGAATGGGGACACGTTACGTCAATGCAACACCCCTCCCGGAAGCTCGTTGTGTGAAAATCCAAGTTCCCCTTTCTCCGTACAGCTTACGCCACCAGCTAAATCCGGCATGCATGGAAACACTTGCAGCGAATATGAACCAATTAAACAGCAATCCGTGTGCTTTAAAAGACCAGTTAATTTGCTAGGCTTACCTTACCTTTTTTAAAACTATAGACACGGTTTGAGTGCATGATTTTTCCCCCAAAAATGCAGGTGAGGCGGTTTCGCACAGTATCCTCTCGGCAGAGAATTATGCTTTCGTTGGAGAGAATGCAACGTTCACGTGCTTGGTAACAGGTAAAAATGGAACTGTTTGGCAGCAGGACATTGTTGTCAGTTGGCACAAACCTGGTCTCAGGCTCGTATTGCACCAATGTTCGTGGCCCCAACACGGTATCCACGACGGATTTGAGGAGCACTGCAAACTGAACATCGCCCCAGTGAGAATGACATCGAAAGGCTGCTATGAGTGCGAAGTGGCTTACCTCGGCCAGAGTATTAAAACCCTGCTACTGGATGTATTCGGTAAGGCTTGAAAAGACTCGAAATTCACGTGGACATTTTGGGTTGGTTTGGTGGTGGTGGGTGGTGGGTGGGGGTGGGGGTGGGGCGGGGGTCGTTGATTACCAATTGTTGAAGAATGCCTTAAAACATAACGCCTATGTAACTCCCCGCCCCGTGGGCCCTTTGTGTCAAAACCAGTGGTTAATCTATATTAATATCGACCAGCATGGCGGAGTTTTACTCATCTTATTCTTTTGTAATCAAACGCCATTTCTTTAGAAAACCATGCTATCATTCCTCATTTACACAACGTAAAGTGAGGTTTGTACAGTCATTGCCAAGTCGTTTCTATGGTGAAATTGCACCCTACACGATATACATTTTTTTTAATAAAGACAAACAAAAACAACCTTAACATTGGGCTTCTGTTTCTAATGCAGGCACCTTATTTGGAAACCACCTACAATGCCATATATATATTTTTTTTCCAAAATGATACCATTTCAGGCGGAAAAAATAACATGATTATTTGATATACCAGTGTTATATTCACTTAGGCAAGGTGCCTGTCATTAAATAGGTGGGCCCTTTTCTGGGTAATTCCAAATGATCCTTCCCCATTTCAAAGTTCATGTAGCCTTTTAATAAGATCTATGCAGTATGTCAATGTGGTCGAGTAGTACTTACCTTGTTATAATCGAAATGGAAGAAATACGGTGTATGAAAAGTCCCAAACTTAATATAAGATAGTAAAAAACATGCAACACAAGAAAACAGGCTGGCACACGAAACAACCAGTACAACACCCTTTATGTACTATTTGCTGCTCCTTTCCGCAAGATACCTAAAACTATGCTGTCATTTAATGCCTTTTCCACAATGAATTATCTCACATCTATAGAGCTATTATATATTTATTTAATGCTACTTCTAATGACGCATCGCAATCACCATGAGCAACCAAAACATGCAACTGTCCCATATGTCGTAAATTAATTTTTGAAAAGCGCTCCTCTTGAAAATGCACCTCTCTGTCCCATTTAACCTTATTTATATTTTATATTTTGCCATTTTCAAGGATGTTTTGGTACCTCTTTTATTATATGCTAATGTGATTTTGGATATTCATGACAAAGAGTGTGACGTCATTTTAGGCATATCGTCAACGTCACAGGTATTTCAGCACAGGAAGTTGCCAGAATTTTGGATATTGTGTTGTCGTAACTTTTATTCTCTTTGGTGATACGCTGTTTTTTTCAGAACATGGCAGTATATGCCAATGAGCAAATTTTCCCACAAAAGTTTTTCCATGAGCAAATTTGGAGTTCACAATTTGAACAGAAAACCCCTAAACTGAACAGTATCTTCCCAAAAACACATTCCGTTGTCACGAAAGGCATGGATGATTTTAAATGTTTAAAGAAGTGCACTTCACAATAAAACAAAACCAAAGAGGGATGTCAAAGAGTTTTCATACATGTTGGAGAAGTAGAAAGTGGCACAAAATAGTATTATGTTCCTAAGTAGATTCCATGTCATGGTCTTTTAATCCCTTTAGGCATATTTTGCACATTATTTGTTCCTTATTAAACAGTACCAAACAGTATACCGACACCTTTAAACCAGTCAAACCTCAAGACATGTAAATATTGCGAGGAAAAGAATTACCGTTTGGCAAATTATGGCGTCACATCCAATTTTTAAACAAATGTCACGTTGTCTACATACAGTGTCCGTTTAGTACACTTTATAAAATGCCCGTATAGTTCTACCTTTAATTGCATTAATTTGTTTGATAATTTCGAACTACATCTACATTTATATTGCTCATGTAAATAATTAAAACAAAAGAAAACCGAAAGATGGTTTGTATAAAGTTCTAAACCGAAATTATCATACATTGCTGTTTCGATTCGGCTCAACATTTGCCCGTTTAGATAATGAAAAAGGCGGTTCCATGCGGGCTGTCATGATACTTTGGTTTGCTCCACGGAATGTTTTCTTTTAAATGGTTACTATTATATTCCAGCGTGTCATACTGAAACTTGCAAATTTAAAGTCAGGTTTATTGGTTATACAAGAAGTACTTGTTGAGTTTCATTTTACATTATGATACACTTGGAATGAGAATAGAGCATTCTAAACCAATCATAAATTACTGAAATGTTTAATAAATATTGAGAAAGGCATGGACAGGACGCGATACCGAGAAATACCTATTTTAAGGCTCGAAAAACACCTTTGTCATGGATGATGAATAAACCCGGCATTTCGTGCACAAACATTATGGGTTAGCGAACTGGTTAAAAGTTGCATTGATTCCTTATTAGTTAGATATAAGATCATGTGAAAACAAAAACAAATGACTTCACTCGTACATTTTGACAATCGATTTGCAGTCTAGGTATGCATGACAAGAATCAAGAGATTGTGGTTAAACGTGGTTAAACGTAAGATGTGGACATTCATTGGATATGGTTTATTTGTATTCACTATAAGAGGTTGGTGTAATACTCTCTCATATATCAAATTAAATTCAGAACGACAATAGCACGGCGTTAAAAACAATTTGGATCGCCAAATTACGGTTCGACCTAAGGTCTAGGTCAGTTCTAGATGCCAATCTCCTGCTGCACCGAACTTAATTGACATAAGTGTGACAATAGCTCGTCTATAGCACTGCATTGCTAAACGCTGAACTTAGTAGTCGATCCTTGATGCATCTCCAGCAAAATATGCTACATCACCCTGCTTAGATGACACTGGAGCGAAGCTTTGTGGAGAGCTCAGGTCATCGATACGGGCGCACTAGGTACTGCAGGCCATCCACTACAGCTGAACCCATCTTCAGACGTCTCGACTCTGTCTTGCCTCTGGCCCCCGGTGAGCGAAGTCGATAGAGTGAGGTTGACTCAGCGCAAAATCAAAGTCACGCGCAGGTGCGGTAACATCTCCGCCGCGACCCCCCCCCCCCCGCCCCCGCCCCCCTCCCCAAGTACACAGACACATCCTCCAGGATGATCTTTCTACCGTTAGTGATCATCAAAATGAAAATATGTCATCGACAACTTACTCACAAAGAAAGCATATCAACTGCAGGAATGCGAAACAACGTCCGCTTAACTTTGCGGCATGGACTGTGCGAACACTCCGTGATGCCCCTAATATAGACCTATACGAAGAACTGCACTCGTTGGCAAAGAGCTTGCCAAATACAACATTGACATATCAGCACTTAGTGAAACTCGTTTTGCTGAGCAAAGGTCATCTCAAGAAACTTGGCGCTGGTTACATCTTTTTCTGGAGTGGTCGTCCCAGCGATGAATATCATGAAGCTGGTGTTGGTTTTGCCGTAAAAACAATCACATCGTAGATAATCTTGATACCCAGTGGGTATCAACGACCGCTTAATGACTTTGCGTCTGTCACTCACAGCGAAACAACATGCCATCATAGTCAGCGTGTATGCACCTACCATGACAAACCCGGATGATGTCAAAGACAAGTTCTATGATGATCTGGAACAAGTGATCTCCCAGGTTCCCATAAAGGACAAACTCATAATTCTCGGCGACTTCAAAGCTCGTGTTGGCTCTAATTCATCATATATGGCAGGGCATAATAGGGAACCACGGTATTGGAACATGCTATTCAAAATGGTCTCCTTCCCCTCACGAAATGTGCAGAACACAACAACACCATCAACAACACTTTGTTTCGACTTGGCACCTGATTGATTATAATCAGGAAGAGGGACATCGCAGATGTGAAAATCACCAAGGCTAAGAGAGGAGCTGACTGCTCGACTGACCATCGACTCATCCGTGCGACGTTCAACTTCAACATCACAGCACTCAGGAGACCTCAAGGCAAGAAGCCGCCAAAGAAGCTCAACGTTACCAAATTAAAGACCGCCGCTGTAAAATGTGAACTGTGCAGTGCAATGAACCAGCAGTTCAACTCTGTTGAATTGGTCTCAGGACATATTGAAAAGGACTGGAAATGCTTCAAAGATGCAGTCCACACAGCAGCTTTTGAAACGTTGGGCCCCGTTGTTCGGGAACACCAAGATTAGTTTGATGAAAATGACGAGGAGATCAAGAAACTTCTTGAAGAGAAATACCGCTTACACCTATCCATGATTAATGATGAAACATCCGCATCAAAGAAAGCAGCCTTCCAGAGCATCCGTAAGAGACTGCAGGCCAGACTCAGAGATATGTGCGACTCACGGTGGAGCAAAAAAAAGCGGACGAGCTCCAGACCTCCCCAGACTGTAAATAAATGAAGAAGTTCTATGATGCGCTCAAGAAAATTTATGGTCCAAAATCAACTGGCTCTACCCCGTCATGAGCTCTGATGAAACCACACTAATCACAGAAAAGAACCATTTCATGGACCGTCGCGATTCTCATTTTGAAAATTTGTTTAACTCAGCACTGAGGCAATAGATCACTGCTTCAGAGTACTGTCAATGTAGCCCTAGCTGAAGTGCCCACTACCGCCGAGACTGAAGAAGCCATTGATGGACTATCCTTGGGTAAAGCAACTGGTTCCGACACAATTCCTGCCGAGATATGCAAAGCAGGAGATGCTTCGTTTGTGCAACGCCTCACAGAGCTAGTATTCCAACTGATATGAACCAAAGGAGTGCTTCCCCAAAGGAGTACTTCAACGATGCCTCCTTTGGCCACATTTATGTAGCAGTATGCCAGTAAGGAGGTCCGCTCAAATGATTAGATTTAAGGACGCCAAGGACAAATCAAGACAAACAGAAACAAATCAAAGCAGGAGTCAAATTATGCTTGGTCTCCTGAACTTGTTCACAAAAATCGATAACAATAGTTTAAATTAACACCTGATCTAAATTTGAACTCACAAAAACAAGTGTTACAAAAAGTATTGATAAGATAGTAGATCAGTTTCTAGCTCTATAAATTGTGACACTGTTGCCAATGATAAAATATATTAAATCACAAAGTTTGTATTTCTAAAGTTCCCAGATTCAAAGTGAGGTTCCTAAGATTTCACCGGTTACCCGAACGCCTGGCCAGTGTACGGCTGTTGTGAACTAGGCCTCCAAATTGCACCTGACATGAAACAGCCATATTGCCATAAATCAACATGTGACACACGGTGATTAAAACTTTGAGATTGTGAAGACTAATTCACCTCCAAATCACTCCTTTTGTCAACATGAAATAAACTAAAACCTAGCCCAGCGGTAGCAGAGAACTTGCTTTATGACATTAGAATGTAAAGATAATACAAATTTTGCTCATTTGAAACTAAAATGTTGGTTTTCAAGCACAAGTTTTGTACACGATACTCACACTTTGGTGTGCAGGCAGAAAAGGGCTAATATTCGCGCGTTCACGGCACTGAGTGCGCGTTTGTATACATTTTTCTGGGCTGTGTGCCAATTGTACGGTGCCTCGTAAAAGACGTCTCACTACATTTATAAGAAGAAAGGCACATTACAAACAGTTTGTACGCGGCGAGTCGCAACATGAACAGCAGTATTAAACTTTATTAAGTCAGTTTATTGATTACGTGAAGTGCGTGTGGAACGGTTTTTGTCGCAGCAATTGCGTATATCCCTTGCATGAGTGTATACGCCGTGTGTGTCAGTACAAGTCTACCATCGCCTGATCGCGCGGGCGCGCGCGCGTTGACTTTGAGTTGTTACTTTGTAACAACACAGTGGTGGAGCGTAGCAAAATGGTGTTAGCCGTATTTTATGGCGGCCAAAGGACTGTTGAGTAGACAAATTTTTACAGTGCCAAGTGTGCATTTATTACTTGAAGTAACGGCGCGTCATGAATACGGGAACTTTCAGTGCAGTACGCACACTGCGGTAGCCCGCCGGTCACACTGTCAATTACGTGCAAATCTCTGTTGCTCATTCTGCTGTTAGTCAAAATTTGCGTGTTGTCACAAGTAGGGAAATGTACAAGGTACGGATGTTTAGTTGTTCATTTTGTAAAACTTTTCCTCCAGAATGTTTAAGTAATATATCTTCTAGTTGAAACAGCCGTGAGGCCGTCTTTTTCTTTGCTTTGTGTAGAATCGCTATATGGAGTAGAGCGCGTCGTGTTCATGCCACTACAAGTGCACGCGCGTGGTCGTCTATGGAAGATGCGACTGAACTGTTTGTAATGAATCATTTCATGTGTGACACCCTCAGAGGAATTTCTCTGCTGGTCATTGCTGGTACGATACTCGCCGGAATAATGCTTAATCGCTTCACAACACACATTGCCAACACATTAAATTACCCGACAGCCAGTGTGGTTTCAGAAAAGGAAGAGGTACATCTGACATAATCTTTGCAGCCCGGCAGCTACAAGAGAAATGCAGAGAGCAGAATACCGACCTCTACTGTGTCTTCGTTGACTTGACAAAGTCTCAAATTGGCTGCCCTAAAAAGTATATCGAGATGGTGAAGCAGTTTCATGATGGTATGATGGCGCGAGTAATGGACGATGGGGAGTCTTCAAAAGCCTTCCCCTGCAGTATCAAATGGAATTAAACAAGGCTGTGTCCTTGCACCAACGCTCTTCAGTGTCGTGTTTACTAGCAGGCTTCTTTATGCTTTCCGTGACATCAACATCGGCGTGAAGATGAGGTTCAGGGCTCTTGGAAAACTCTTCAATCTCAGAAGATTTCAAGCGAAAACAAAGGTATTCGATGAGTTAGTTTGTGAACTCCTATACAGCCTGTCCCCCCAAAAATTCTGCAAACAGAAACGGGCTCTGTGTCCTTGGAATATTGAAAAATATTTCATGATGTTTATATACTGTTTTCAAATGCTATTTGTTTTACTAATTTTGCTTTTGCCGAATCAGAGATATGGTCCATTGAACACAAACACTCAAATATCCACTTGTGCCACTTTCCGTAATTTGATACTATAAACAGCAGTATTGCCAATATTATGCTCAAGTATGATCGGGGGAAAAAACAACAATTAGTAATGAATAGGTGAAGAAACACTTTTGTTATTCATATTATAATGTTGTTTTCATTACTTGTAACACACTCTCCAAATCATCATAATAAAAACATATCTTCTGGAATTGCAAACCTCAATAGAAGTCGGATTTGAACAGGTGCCATGTCTTGTCATGTCATAGGCCTAACGCGAATTTTTATGCGGATGTTGTTTGGGAAAAAATTCGCAGGCCTAACAATGTAGAAAGTGGCACAAATGGATTTTTGAGTGTTTTGGCAAAAGCAAAATTGATAAAAACAAATATTTGAAAGCTGAATATCCCAGGTTTAACATTATGTAAGCATCATGAAACATTTTTCAATATTCCAAAGACACAGAGCCCGTTTCTGCTTGCAGCATTTATTTTGGGACAGGCTGTATATGCCGATGACTGCGCTCTTCTCGCCCACACTCAGGAAGACTTACAATTCATCATGGACTGCTTTGCAACAGCTTACTCAAGCTTTGGACTTTCAATCAATCTGAAAAAGTCAGACGGGATGTTTCAACCTGCTCCAAGTATTATGGTGACCCGTTATCACTATTGGAGATCACACCCTTCATTCTGTTGACAAGTTTACATATACTTGGGCAGCACCCTGTTAAGATCGAGAGGTCCACATAGTAGACAACGAACACACACCGGATATCCAAAGCCAGCTCAGCTTTCGGAAGATTTCGTGAGCGTCTGTGGAATAGAAGAGGCATAAGCTTGAAAACAAAGTTGCGTGTTTATCAAGCTGCAGTCATGACTTCTCTGTTGTACGCCTGTGAAACTTCGACGACCTACAGCCGCCACATTAGAAAGCTGAACCACTTCCACCTTTCCTGCATGCGCAAGATCTTACGCATCAGATGGCAAGACAAGGTCCCTGACACTGAAGTCCTGAAGCTTGCGGAGTTGCCCAGTGTAGGTGCTTTGATCGTGAGAGCTCAGCTTCGCTGGTCAGGTCATGTAGTACGGATGCCTGATGATCGACTCCCCAGAAAGATATTCTACGGTGAACTAATAACAGGCAAAAGATCAGCTGGAGGTCAATTCAATAGATACAAGAATGCCTAAAAGCTACCAAGAAGCTTACATCAATGAGTAGCTGGGAAGAACATACCCAGGATCAAACGGAATGGAGAAGATTATCACACGAAGGTTCATCAAGTTTCGAAGCCCGTCGCATCAGGGAGGCTGAGCTGAAACGATAGCAACCAAAATCTCGTCAGCTACATGCTTCCCCCTACGTGTCCACCCCCCTCCCGACCTAGTGTGTCCAGTGTGTGGCCGTAGCTTTCTGGCTAGAATTGGACCTATGCAATCTGACCACACACAACACCGGCGACTAGTATGGAGATGTTGGCTAGCATCTTCGAGTTTGGAAGGACGAACTATACAATTTAATATAGGTCTATGTATACAGTGCATACAGCTAGCACACTATGTGCGCTACCGCCCTCTCTTGCACGTCACGTCACTTACAATGTTTTGTTTTTGAAGACTGCGCGATGCCTCTACCAAATGGATACTTGAAGTCACGGTTTTTTCGCCAAAAAAACTGTGTAAAAGTCATTTGCGCGTGATTCAGCCTATGAACCATCACGCGCGCGTACTCCATTCGTTTGCACTACACTTTCTGGTTCTAAATGACGTCACACTTTGGTACTCAAATGGGACGACAGAGGTACGTTCACAACGCCGAAATCTCGTGTTTGAAAGGATTGATTCTGCAAAAAGAAATCTTTCAAATAATAAGCACTGCGTTGCGCGTCAAACACATCGACTGCAGTCCTATTTTATGAAGGTCACTTCTTATTTACATACATTTAGATACATTTGCATTGAGTTCGGCTCACTAGAGCGACGTCTGATAGCAGGTCGCTCCCGAGTCGTTTGAACGACTCTGAAAGTCAATCTTTCGCCATCTGGCGCGTCTAGTGTAGTCGCTCCAAATTGTTTCAGACGTCGAACTGTTCATGTAAATTCAAATCTTGCCTTTTTTTTGGTTCAGCGCGACTCTGGAACGCCAGTCGATGTCTGAACCGAAGGTTAGGCTCTCTAATTTTGTTCATATTGTTTCAGGTCAATCTTGTTAGTAAGTAATTTGCAGCAGTTTTCTTTATTTTCACTTCTTAACATTTCTACAGAACCAAATACGACGGTAGGCGTTACAGATCTCCTGACAGGCAAACTCGTCGACAGTGATTCTGAACCAATCTGTGTCCGTCGGTCTGGTTCAGCTGTACGCAGCTTCGAGTGTGTAGTTCGGGACGCCGTACCCAACGTCTGGGACATCGTGTGGTTCGTCGGGGGAGAGCGAGTTGAACCAGGTTTCGTTGAGACCGGAGCAGGAAGACTGGTGAAAGTGAGCAGCACCTTCAATTTGTCCCCGTCGGAAGACGAACTTCCGAAGAACGTCACTTGTCAGGCTACGGGTCTCGAGAGACTAATCAACACCACATTTGAGTTGAAGTCTTGTAATGGTAAGGACAAAGAACCCACAGTCTTAATTTTCAGGGACACAATAACTACGCCATTTACTACTCGTACACTTCCTTCTATATCGGCAATTAAGGTCGGGCTTTATTATGGTAATGCCATGCAAATTGCCTCATACAGCTGCTCACAGTGCTCAGCTCATCGGCAGAGCTTACCGCATATCCCAGAAACATGACGATACTGGCCCGATGCAGGCTTGTTATGGGTTTGTTCCGGCGGTACCGTACAGTTTGAACGTGGCGGTATATAAGACCAGAAGCGGGCCAATGCTGGCTTGGCTGCGGCAAAGCAGCTCCATGTTGACGGTACGGAGTCGGAATTGGTCTAGTGCTGGCGCTATTACGGCAAACCGTAACAACAACACGATACAGAGCCTGAATCGGGTCTGTACTGGTTCGTTTACGGGAAACCACAACGGCAAGATGGTATGGAGCCTGGCTCCGGCAAGGGGCGGCCCTTTTTTAATGTACACCATGCTGGAAAACGGTACGTAGGATTCCCCCTTGTTTTAAACTAACTTTAATTTCCACTGTCATCCAGACCGAGTAGTGAATACTTCAATGCGCCTTGTGGATCTCTCGTCCGGGGAACTGGTTGGCATCAAGTCTGAGCCCATCTGCTTCAAGGTGGGCACGAAGCGAACCTTCGCATGTGCAGTCCTAAACACCCGGCAAGGCATTTTGGTGACTTGGATCATCGATGGAATCAGGAATGAAAGCGGACGAGTGGATTCAACTCAGACATTGGGTGGATTATTCAACATGAACACAAGTTTTACCGTCTTCAACTCCTTGGATGGAAGCCTCATCAACAGCCTTACCTGCCAGGCTTCGGGTTTTGAGACAGAGCCTCTTCGCGTCACCGTGCAGCTCCAGACTTGCCCTGGTGAGACCACCATTCGTTTATTTTATTTTGTCACGTATACGAAATTATGAAAGAATCTGATTACCTGCAAAAATCCTTTTTTTGAAAATTCAGAAATTGTATCGTATATGGAGCTCCTGGATCTCTCGACTGGAGAGTTTGTCAGCGATACTTCGGAGGCCATCTGCGTCACATCGGAGACGGGAAGAGCATTCGAATGCGCCGTGCGACAAGCCACACCCGACGCGTGGAGAATCGTTTGGGTCATTGGCGGCGTAAGGGAGGAAACCGGGTCCGTGGTTCAGACCCCGAGCACGGACGAACTAGTGGACGTGTTTAGCAGGTTCACTGTTTCAAACCCGTCCAGTAAAGACGTCGTCAAAAGTCTCACATGCCGAGCAACGAGTCCAGAGAAAGAAGAGCTTGCAATCACGGTTCAACTCCGATCGTGCGACGGTAAAACAAATTTAAATAAACAATATTTTCACTTATTCTGTGACCGTTGCAGCCAACAGAAACAGTTGTGTTTCAGTTTCTTCGTAGTTTATTGTCCAATTCAGATGTTTTTTTTTCATTGTGGACTATTACCTGTGCATGGGAACCACTCTCAGCCGAGATTGGGTGATCAAGTTCATCCGGAAATGTCCTTAACTTGAAACTAAAGAGTCATTAACATTACTCCTTCACCAGTCACCGTTGACAAATCACATGTTAATAATCACTTTAAAAAGTCTCTGATGCCAGATTTGACTCGGATACGAGCTTCATATGACCTGTTAATTTTGGGGGTCAAATTGACACTTCTGGGCCAATATGACATTTTGCCATCCGCTCTAATGGGTCAATACGACCGGAAAAATAACGATCAATGGGAATTTAAAATGTAATCGTTTTTTTTTTATTACGATAGGCAAGAAGCCAGCAAGTACAGTCGACATGACAGTGATCCTTGTCATAATCAGTGTAGCCATGGGAATGCTCACTCTTATAGTCGCTGCTATTGTCATTTCATCAGCAAGAGCCAAAAGGAAACAGCAAGCACCAGGAAGTGCACAAAGTGTGTCGAATCTTCAAGAAAGTGTCGACATGGTAAGATATGTACATGAGAATAAACACATCATATCTTCACATGTACATTCTATTGAAAAAATGTAAATATAAAATAAAAAGAGGCTATTTTCTGGGTAACAAATGACATTTGTCCGGGTCAAAAAAACCCGAATCTTTCCTGGTCAGTTTGACCCGAAAACATTGTCAAAATTGTAATTTTTGACCCGACAAGTGTCACATTTGATCCTGTATGAATATGGCCCAATGAGAACCCGGATTCCCGGTCAATCTGACCAAAGAAATTTAAGAGTGTAGTTTAACTATATTCTCATTACTGTGATGGATGCATTGGACGTACAGGAGTCGGTGGCCCCTGAGTTAGAGTCTGATACCACAGCAGTTAAGGAAGAAGTCGCTTTCCAGAACACCATAACAAAACAGAATGTGATGCATGAAGAGATCCCATCAGACACTGGCCTGCCGTCTTGGGCCGAGGGATGGGGGATTCCTTGGGGCGACCTCATCGTCGAGGAGCGAGTCCTCGGCATTGGGAACTTTGGTGAGGTGCGATCAGGAGCTGTGAGGAAGGATGGAGACGTGAACTGGGCTGCCATCAAGATGCTCACAGGTATAATCGAAATTAAGGAGAAAACAATTGACTGATATTCCTTTAATGAGATTTTGATTTTCATTGCTTTAAATTTCACTTGTCATTTTATTCATTTTGGTTTTTGTTCCAGATTTGGATCGTTATTGACATATCAAAATAACTGACAAATACAACTCTTCAAGAAACTCTTGGTTCAAGTTTTCCCACTAAAAGTATACAAACAACATAATGGACTACGCAAATTCCTGCACGTTAACACATTTCGTGGGCGTTTTATTTGCAAACGATATCATAACTTTCCTCTCCGTCTTGTAGGACATGTATCTGCATGCGACAGAGATGATTTCATGGATGAGCTACGGACGAAGGCTTGCATCGGCTACCATCCTAACATCGTACAACTACTTGGTACTTGCCAACGTAAAGGTAAGTTTTGAGACTTTTCCAAAACCAAGGCTTCGGCTGCGTCTCTGGCCCCATTGCCAAACTTCATGCCTGAAGCCACAGACCGAGGTGAACCCGGGTTTTGAAAATGACCTTAATCAGTGGAAAAACGAGTATTATACTGGCTTAATAAAACGAGTATTTTACAGAAATCAGATGGGACGAGGGCTTATATTTTGGAAGTAGTAAATGCAGACTTATTCGGCTAACCGCTGATATCATTCATCTGTATGTCAGTAGCCACATTTCCATCGACATACAGAGAGAACTGGGAGCGGGTCCAATTGAGCAAAATCAGAAGGGATGGGGTGAGGTACGGTGAGGTGAGCTCCTTCAATGACTTTAAATGATGAAAATTATTAACCACAGGTTCAAATTCAGATTTAGCCCTACTAGGACGACGCTATCTTCTTTGTGTTCCTATACATGTATTAAGGAGTGTTGTACGTCGCCTTGGAATATCTTCCTTATGGTGATCTGCGCAGCTACTTGCGGACGGCTCGCTCACAGTCAGACTCAGACGAGGTGGCCTTGTCTTTCAATCAGCTGGTCAAGTTTGCTCTGGATGTTGCCAAGGGAATGGAGCACCTTGCTAATGCGGGGGTAGGCATCATGGGCGTCGCCAGGATTTTTTCTAGAGGGGGGCACAAAAATTTTGCCAAAAAATGCTTGTATTTCTCAACACATTTTCGATTTATCAGTTTAAGAGGGGAGCAGGGACATTTTGCCCTCCCCCCCCCCAACTCAATACATTTACACCACTTTGTCTTCGCGCCTCTTTTTCTTTTTCTTTTTTTCTTTTTTTTTCTTCCTTTTTTTTTTTTTTTTTTTTCCGGGGGGGGGGGGCCAAGTGCCCCCCCTTGCCCCCCCCCCTCGCGACGCCCATGGTAGGCATAATCGATTAAACCATCTTGGCAACTCCGAGTTTTGTATTAACTAATTCGGCTGTGTTGAACCTATAATTTTGAGTATGCAAAGCTCCTGTTCAACCACCATATGGTTTTTTTTTTTAATAAACGAAATACGTCGTGTCACACTGCGAATGTCTTTAGAATTTAAATGAATTCGGATCTCAGCAATGAAGTAATTGAGAAACCATAGGGATTCACTTTAATTTAGGCCTACTAAAATGTCAAAATTGAACTTTACCAGTAGTGAAAATATTTCTTCCTTTTTTCAGGTTATTCATCGCAATTTGGCTGCAAGAAGCATCCTGATCGGGAACGGATTGGTTGCCAAGGTTTCTGACTTCAGTCTGTCCCGTGGGGAGAACGTGGAGACATTAAGGGTTTGTGGTTCTCTTTGGCGATTTATTGAAGGATTCTATCATTACAACCCCCCCCCCCAAGGGAAATGGGGTTGTAACTTTTCATTGCCCATCGTCAGTTTATCAGGCACTTGCAGGCTTGCTCTTCTTTTTTAATTTTCTTATGTTGGGGCCTGGATTGATTTCGGAGTTTACTAATCCACTTGGTCAATTGCTGGAGGGTAGGGGTAAAAATAAATGTGGTTTGACGATTTATTTGTTGTACATGATCTGAACGGTTTTCAGGCTAAGCATCTTGCTCAACTACAAGAAATCATGCAGAGTTATAGTCAATCGAAAGGTGGAACAGCAACTTAAGATTGAGGAAGCAACCAAGCGGAACAGATACTGTATTATCTGTTGATTGATTTGTTCTCTCGTTTTATTTTTGTATGCAGCGACGAGTACCACTTCGCTGGTTATCCGTCGAATCAGTGAGGCACCAGTTGTATACCACACAGAGCGATGTGTAAGTTTGCAGGAGCGTCTTTTTATCCTGAAATGCGGGAGCTAATTCAAAACAAATCCTAATAGTCCAGCGGATATGTGACAAAATATCGATGAATTGTGCACTTTTGCATAAAAGCGTGAAACTTGGCACAGATGTTCGTATTCATGCCAGAAAATGTTTTAGATGTGGCGCATCGCAAATTTACGTTTTTAGGGGCGCGGCATCCATTTAAAAAAAAGGGGGGCAGGACTTGTTCCCACTTGTCACAAAAGCAGGAAACTTCACAAAGACATAATTATATAGATTATAGTGTTTTCAAGATTCGAAGCCACCACAAAAGTACCTTTTTGGGGGCGTTGCAGCCATTTAAAAAAAGGGGGGGGGGGGTACCCTTAGAAAATATTGTGCCCATATTTCATGAACGAATCAAACGTCCCCCAGACGTTTATGTTCATGAGAAAAAAATTCAGATGTGGAGCCATCGCGAATACACCCTTTTAGGGGCGTGGCAGCCATATTGAAAAAAAGGGGGCGGGATTCTCATTATGCCCACCATGGGAAAAATGTGCCCACATCTGATAAACGAATGAAGCTAATTCCTACAGACATTAATATTCACCAGAAAAAAAATTCAGAAGTGGAACCATCGCAAACACACCCTTTTAGGGGCGTGGCAGCCATAGTAATATGGGGGGGGGGTAGTCAAGATGCCCCTATAAAAAGTTGTGCCTATCTTTCATAAACGGATTAAACTCCACATTGACAATATATTTATTAGAATCTTTCTTTTTTCGAATGTGAAGCCATCACAAACCTACCCTTTTAGAGCCGCGGCATCCATTTGCAAAATGGGGGGGGGGGGGTACTCAATATGCCCACCGTGGAAAATTTTGACCGCTTTTCCTCAACATCTGCTTTACTTTTCCTCAACATCTGCTGATGCATGAGGCGAATTTTCTTTAATGTTGGTTTCGACTTAAAAAAAGAACAATATCTCTTGGAAGTCAAACCTTGTACCGAATTTTATATTGTTATACACAGGTGGTCCTTCGGAATTCTCTTGTGGGAAATAGCCACTTTCGGTAAGCACCAGTAATCAGGATATAGACTGTTATACCTTCTCCATCGGCATTATTTTGTTTCAACATTTGGAGGATATATCGCTCTTGAAGCTAACAACTCTTCTTGCAAAAGAAAACGAAGTAGTTGCTAAAATAAAAAGCTACTTCATTAATGCCAATGTTGTGTTGTCAAATTGTATCCTTTGTGACTTCCTTTCAACCTGTCTTTCGATATTTTTAAGGTGGATGGTTGTAGTTTTGAAAACGATGATGAGTTTTTTTACCATTTTGCCTGTGAATGTACTGTGCAACAAATATAATGCCTCTCCTCACTAAACTCTTATCCCCAAAACCATTAATCCCATCACAGTTTCCAGGCCTATAAAAACAAAGCTAACTATTATTAACCTATTTTGTTTAATTCAAGGCGGAACTCCATATCCAGCCGTTTCGAACGACTTGCTGGCAGAAACAATCAGAAGGGGATACCGTATGCCCAAACCAGACAACTGTCATGAGAAAATGTAAGAATTCTCATTTCTGTGGAAGTGTTATCAGCACGGGCCTCTAAGTATATATATAGGCTGTGTCCGAATGACTTGGCTACGGCTGGGTTATACACACGATCATATGAGAGCGGTTGTAGCCACTTCCCCATAGACATGTGACTTATTTCCAGCCGTAGCCAAAGGACCAAATTGGACGCGGCCATATCTAAACTCTTAAAGATATCACAGTCCATCATTTGCAGCTATCCAAAAAGTACCTGACGTAGTTATTGTTGAAAACCATACTTGGTTGAAAGATAGTAAGGGGACTAAACTCCCTGTGAAATTATTCTTTATGGCATGCTGTCATTCTCAGGAAATCAACGAAAGAAGGCCTTTCTAACGGTGCGTCAATCGTTGGAAGTTTCCGTTAGTAGTTGGTTTTTTTTTTTAATTCGGCTAAGCGCGCGTAAGCGTTGACACGACGCACACGCGCACGCGGTTGCTATAATTCGTCGGATCAGTGCGCGACATCGCTAGCTGCAATCGGCTCAGTAAGAAAGTGTCTCGGACGCTGAATTCAGGCCCAATTCAAAACATGATTCAGTAACTTTTGATATGAAATCGAGATCATAGAATGCTGTTTTTCTCGAAATATTCAGCTGAGGCTGAGCTGAAACTTCACAAGCAGGTTAGTTGTTTAGCACCCTTCTTTAGATTGGAGAACTTTTGTGCTTCAAACGAACAAAATGCACAAATTACCTTTAAAACTCGCGGTATTTGGGAACTACATGTGTGGACTAAAGGGAGCGCCCTGCAGCTAAGCAACAAGACTGACGAAGGGTAGGCTACTTACAAAGTCCTGGTGCACCAGCGCTACAAGGAGGCGGCTATTTGCCTAGCAATAAAATAACAAAGTACAGTTTGGTTCCCGGTCCTCAGTTCGAATGTCTTTGCAAAAAAAAACAATCCAGATTTACTGCTCAATTATGTACAGCGATGAAAATCTGATCCGAAAAAGACCAAACTTGGTTCTACCGTTGTTGCTTTTTAGTTATGCCGTAATGCGCGAGTGCTGGGACGAGGATCCGAACAAGAGACCGACCTTCGCTGACCTGGTGTATACCTTGAGTGACATGGCCGACAATCGGATCAAACACGTGAGTAAACTGTCTACAGATCTGATCGTAAGGACTTCCTCACAGCATCATCAGCTCCTCTGAGAGCCACCATAAATACAAAAGGTTGTAATCGGTTCGATTATTAGCCAATCAGTCAATGGCAATCAGGTCAATTGCAAGCCAGTCGTAAAGTAATCGCTATACAATCACAATTCCATCACGTGAATGTGACTTGTAGTCAATCACAATTCAATAACAAGTCAATTTAAAAAAAAACAATGAAAATTAAGTTAATGACAAGTCAATCCAAGTCAACCGCGTCAGTCGCAAATCAATGGCAAGACGATCACAAGTTAATTAGCCTGGGAGTCGATCCAAACAAACAACAATGACAAGTCAATCACTAGTGAATCATATGTATACACAAGTCAACCCCAATTCATTTTGCAAGTCAAACCACATGTCTGATCACAATGTAAAATGACAAAGCATCTCACGCTTGTCACCGTTCATCATGAAAAAGTTTGTCACTTGAGTGAGAAAGAATTGCATGACTGACGTGCGACGACTTATTGTGATGATTAATGAAGAATAGATCACAACTGTGCAACAACATCTTCCGAAAACATTCTGCTACATTGTGTGGTCTGAAATTGAACATCTTCACGATACAACAAAGCCTTAGGCCCTGCATCATAGTCATAGCACATTGTTGGGAAAGGATCTAGTTACCAATTTGATAAATTTATATTATGTATTTGAATTTAATGCATTGTATTAATATTTTTTCACAGATTTACATGGCAGTAGTCCGAAACGCGAGTGCCATCATGCCAGAACTTGATGACTACTGAGGGGCGTGGCCAATGGCCGATTCGTCGAGGAGTTCCCGTTGACTTGTATATACATGTATACCTATGACGTAGATGGTTGAGTCCTGAACAGCCTCATAATAATTTTCTTTGGTAACAGACATATAGTCTCGGATCGAAGTTGTATAGGGTGAGTAAAAAAAGGAAATTTAAATGGCAGGACCAATTATTTTAGTGAAGTTCTGCATGTAGCACTTTCCAAATCTAGGATATGAAAGCCCACTCATAAGCTTTCTTTTAGTACAAGAATCATTCAAATCACTCATGTACTTTTAAGTTACGGAATTTTAATCACAACCACCATTTTAAAGTTCGGTCCACGGATCAAAAAAAGGTAAGTGTTCTTTCAGCAAAACGAAAACAAATCACATTGGGATGTGTGTGAATTGTTTTCGTTTTGCTGAAAGAACACACATTAATTGGGCTGTTATATCCTAGATTTTGATAGTGCTACATGAAGAAATTTATTAAGAAAATAGTCCTGCCATTTGGGTTTCCTTTTTATTTTACTCACCCTGTATTGTTCTTTTGATACAAGGAAGGGGAAACACAATGATGAAATGATTTTATTCGAATACCGCGACGAGATGCCAATCTTGTGATTGGCATAGACTATTTATGTTGATTCATGAGTTGCCTGGGAGGGATAGCAGTGTGGTCGCATAATTCCTCTTCACAGAGGACATTTGTGAAGTTATTTCTCTTATGTAGAAAAACGTATTTAAGGAGTCCATTCCGTCGATTGTCTTTGCAAGGTAAAGCGGCAGTGGATGGGTTGGGTTGGGTGAAAAACCACCGCAACAGTACTGTTTTAAATTAATCAAATTACCACAGCTTTGCCAGTCTTCCTCGGAGTTTACTTTAGTCAGTTTACTTGCCAACAATGAGAACACATCCACCGTATTGTGCACTTCCACCGCCTGATGTGAAAACAAACGTGACCGAACAAGAAGACCTAGGTACGAAAATCTGGATGTGAAAGTTCCTAAGTAAACTTAGTTTTTCAAAGACAAAATGGCGTACTAAATCAGGCTCTGTTGCCGCCGACTAAGGCCCGTCGTTGCTAAAGGTACAGCCTCAACGACACGTCCGAGTTTTCCATTTGGTACAAGTTTACATCGTACAGACTTTGTGCAAACGTTTTGGTCAAAATAATGTCGAAATTTGGGAGGGAATCGATAATAATGATGCAGATTGATGTGTATTAGGATCATGTTTTAAAGATTGTGTTATGTGCAAAATGTATCTTTTGTAGAAACATATAAGGCTAAAAAAATGTCTCCGGTTTCTGGTATGGAGCTTGCCCAAAAAGTGGTGCGGCGATGCGGCTTTTTTGTTGTTGACTTTTTTTCCCTTCAAATGTCGGCTGATGACTGCAAATGATGGCCGATTAAATTAAAGTTAGTGCAAAATGTATGGGAGCCCAGAGTGGCCACAAGCTTATACTCGATCGTAACCCCATCAAAAAACACGTTGAAATTGTGCAGCAGCAGGATTCCAGTCAAAGCAGTGAGTTTGGCGGTTTTGAGACATCATCTTACATTGAAAAAAAAAAGTTTTAATTTTGCCGACGCGCATGGCTATGGCGACGCGCACCCATACCAGAAACCAGAGACTTTTTTTTTTGGCCTAAGCTGCTTCAGGAAGAAAAAAAAATCGGATTTGATAATTTGATTTTTACCGTTGCATGTTTGTATTTAACAATTCCTGCAAACTGAACACATCACTGTATACGATAAGCTAATGAAATAATTTGAAATTACCAATTATACAGAAATTCGAGAACAGGTATTGTAAAAGGGCATTGTAAATAAGAAAAGGTTTCACCAAAGGGAATTGTTTTACTTTCATACCAATCGCCAGAAGGTGGCACATTGTGTCATGTGAAATTAATTTCGCGGTGCCCCGATTTTGGAATCTTCATAAATTTTGTTTTGTCAAGGCCCCCCCCCCCCCCCCCCCCCCCCACCCCACCACCACCACAACGAAAAATAATGGTAATTAAATACTGTTAAAAATGTGCTCGTTTATTCAGAAATTCATGAAGCATATTCAAACTGATTGGATGTTTCCAAAGTGTCTTTCCCATTTGCAAAAGTTCCTTTTAAAAGCCCATCAACCATTAGAGACACACTCTCGGAAAAAATGGTTCGGATAACATTGTTAACTTATTTCTTATGATGGGACTGCGGTTTGGCCGAAGTCAATTGAGCGTGATCGGCTGACTGATAAGGTTTACGTACAAAACCCCAAGACAACGAGGTTTTTGTATAGAAAGCTGCTGGACCACATTTTGCGAGAGTGTGTCCGTAATGTACATAACACATTCTTGGATGTCCCTCACTGCGTTATTAATAGGCTTGGTAATACAGCCCGAGGAAAAGTAAGCTCAGCGGACATATCACATCAGCATGTATCGTGCTCATGTAACGTGCACTGTAACGTGCTCAACTGTCCGCCGAATCCTACGGAGGGCGTGCGCGCTAGCCGTATAGGTTGAGTATTACTACGCGTGCCTTTTCTACTTTCTTGCAGAAACATAGATCGGTTGATTAACATCTAAACGTTAATTTCATTTTGATAATCATTGATGAAGGGTGGAAAAATCTAAAAATGTATTCCCTGTGCGCTGAATTCATTATAATAACATCAATATAGCAACTTATGCGTGTAAAACCAGGGGGCGGGGGGACAGAATTAACTGGAGGGGACAGAATTACCTGGAGGGGGACAGAATTAACGGGACAGGGGGGACACTTTTACCTAGGTAATTCTGTCCCCCCGGACACTTTTACCGGGGGACAGAATTACCGTCCACACCGGCACTCCCCTAATGTTAAACAGTGTAGCTGCACCCAACTACCAAAGCAAAATGTAGGCGGACACGATCTGTACTGATGTCTCTGTCATGTCTGACTTTAATGTTGACAATGAACTGTCTCCAAAGATGAACACCGTGAGATCTGACAAGCAAATAACAATGATAATCATAAGTATAGATCTCAACAATTTGAAGGTTAATGTGGTAAATTTAGTCTTCACAAGGAATTATTCAATGAGACTCATATGACCTAAAGAAATGACAATGGACATTTACATTACTATACTAGTAAATAACATGCATGCATAAAGGACACAATTACTTTGACTTAATAAACCATTATTTTCTAACTTAATCCTACATTTAAGAGAGTAAAACTGATGCAATATTACTAAGTAGGATATTTACCTCGTGGGCCTGTAGTGGGTGTGCTAAATAATCTTAGGATGGTTGCAGAAAAAGGCGGATTGAATCATCCTCAGCGCAGCAAACTGCTGAGCACATTGTTGGAGAATCAGGCCATGTGCAAGAAGCAATGCATTATGGGAAAAGTAAAAGTTACACAATTTTCCTCAAAGTCACTATAGTCTACAACAAAAACTAAATTACAATCAAACTAAAGTATCACAATATCAAAAAGGACCTCTCACTTAATGTTTGGACTGTTTTACATGTAGAAAAACTTTGATCACATGACCAAACAAACATGGCTGCCTCCTTAAGAATACTGCGCAATAGTCGTAGCCTTGTTGCCATTTTGTGATTGGTCAATTAACGACGTTGAAGTGCATGTACGCAAGTACGTACGGTACCATGTACACGTACGGGCGCCGCATGTACATGTTCATCGTACAAGGCCAGATTCTGCAGGTTTTTTGTGACACATTTCGTTCACATAATGATACAGAAAGGGGGAAAAGAAAAATCATTTCACAAAACCCTACTGTGAATATATATCTCGATATTTAAATGAACGTTAATATTTAATTGCAAGCTATCTGCAATGATTCGTTGGACATTAATTTTGTGCATAAACTTTGGGAATGGAAGAATTACTTCTCTCTTTAAAAAGAAACTTATATTATTCATCTATATTCATGCTTTCTTTAAAAAAAATATTTTATGAATGTAAATTTATTTATTTTATGTACATGTTGTGCGTATTAAATTGACCCCTGCTTCTCTCTTCAATCATTGTTTTAATTAAAAAAAAAACCATACATCCCTAATATCTAAAAAGGACTGATAAGGATTGAGTGCGGACGGATCCCAGGTGCGTAAGCAGCATTACTTGCGACCGCGCTTGCAGCTACTTGCACTGGAGATACGAAAACACCATCAAATGAACGTCGTCCATTGTCCAATCACAAAATGGCAACAAGGCCACGACTATTGCGCAGTTTGCACATGTAGTTGAACAATAACAAAGATGGCTGTGCACATAAACAACCCAGTGTGTGCAGCAAGTATAGGCCAGTTCACCAAACACATACAATGTCTTATCTACATGTACAATGGAATGAAACTTCCTTCAACAGCATATTGTGGCTAGCATAATTCTAGGCTCTATAAACAAGTAAATGTAAGTAATTAGAGGGAAAAAGTGTCAATAAAAATGGAAACTTTGTTGGATTCTGTTACAAACAGGTATGTTATAATCTCAGGTTTTGTAAGTGTTTGGTAATTATTACCAAACATTTACAAAACGTAAACGTAAAGCGTTCAGACGTTTTCACTTCTTCCAACGAAAAAAATCGTAATGTCAGAATTTAGTACATTAGAGTCTGGATATTTTGTGAACGCAATTCCGAATACTTTGTGAGGTCGTTTAAATTTCTTAATTTCATGTCATCAATGAAGGTTTGGTAATTATTCTGAATGTAAAGTAATTAGCTTGTGGCCTTCACTCTATGCATAATAACCAGAGGAACAACAATATGCCTACCCCGATCGCTGGAACTAAATCAATATCGCCAGAGTATTTCTTGTTATCGTGTGGAGGAGTGCTTATTGTTAAGACTGCTGCTAAAATTGAAGACGTATTTATTGCGAATGGTAGCTCCAATTGCCATTTCATTTCATTTTTAGAGTAGAAATCGGTGACCGTGAAATCGTTTGCAATAGTTGAAAGCGACAGTTGGTGCTTTTATTATTACATTGGAAACGGTAACAAGCAACTGACCCAAATAAGACGTCAACGTCTCGCTTTCTTCATATACAGAGTGATACGACCAGCACGCTCTGATTATATTATTCAACCAATGAAATGTTACCGTTTGGCATTCGCGGGAAAACTGACCAATTAGGAGCCCTGATGAAGAATGACGTATTAACTTCGATGACCAATCAATGCATTACAAACCATCAACCTCTCCCCATTCCTTCCAGACATTACCTTATGCCATCAACACGGACCCTCTACATCATTTAGCGTTATCTAAATCACGGTGTACAGAAGTGGTCACGAAATGAAGACAAAATAGACAGAAGATTTAAACGAAATATTGTTTTTCTCTTCCAAAACAGTGTCTTGTGTCGCAACACGTAGCAAAACTTGGCGATGGGCTGCAGTGGCAGTCCAAACAGAACATTTGCCTCACTTTTGCACAGGAACGATAGTCCAAGACGACATGTTATCTCAAAATGTAATTGGAGCATTGAATTGAATTTTGGCCAGATGATTGGACACTAAAAGAAGACAAACAAGACAGAAGATTTAAACGAAATATTGTTTTTCTCTCCCTAAACAGTGTCTTGTGTCGCAACACGTAGCAAAACTTGGCGATGGGCTGCAGTGGCAGTCCAAACAGAACATTTGCCTCACTTTTGCACAGGAACGATAGTCCAAGACGACATGCTATATCAAAAATTAATCGGAGCATTGAATTGAATTTTGGCCAGATGATTGGTCACGAAAAGAAGACAAAATAGACTGAAGATTTAAACGAAATATTGTTTTTCTCGCCCTAAACAGTGTCTTGTGTCGCAACACGTAGCAAAACTTGGCGATGGGCTGCAGTGGCAGTCCAAACAGAACATTTGCCTCACTTTTGCACAGGAACGATAGTCCACGACGACATGCTATCTCAAAAATTAATTGGAGCATTGGATTGAATTTTGGCCAGATGATTGGTCACGAAAAAAGAAGACAAAAGAGACAGAAGATTTAAACGAATTATTGTTTTTCTCTTGCTAAACAGTGTCTTGTGTCGCGACTTGTTGCAAAACTTGGCGATGGTCTGCATTTGCAGTCCAAACAGAACATTTGCCTCACTTTTGCACAGGAACGATAATCCAAGACGACATGCTATCTCAAAAATTAATAGGAGCATCGAATTGAATTTTGGCCAGATGATTGGTCACAAAAAGAAGACAAAATAGACAGAAGATTTAAACGAAATATTGTTTTTCTCTCCCTAAACAGTGTCTTGTGTAGCAACACGTAGCAAAACTTGGCGATGGGTTGCAGTGGCAGTCCAAACAGAACATTTGCTTCACTTTTGCACAGTAACGATAGTGCAAGACGACATGCTATCTCAAAAATTAATCGGAGCATTGAATTGAATTTTGGCCAGATGATTGGTCACGAAAAGAAGACAAAATAGACAGAAGATTTAAACGAAATATTGTTTTTCTCGCCCTAAACAGTGTCTTGTGTCGCAACACGTAGCAAAACTTTGCGATGGGCTGTAGTGGCAGTCCAAACAGAACATTTGCCTCACTTTTGCACAGGAACGATAGTCCAAGACGACATGCTATCTCAAAATTTAATTGGAGCATTGAATTGAATTTTGGCCAGATGATTGGTCCGAGTCACGAAAAGAAGACAAAATAGACAGAAGATTTAAACGAAATATTGTTTTTCTCTCCCTAAACAGTGTCTTGTGTCACGACACGTAGCAAAACTTGGGGATGGGCTGCAGTGGCAGTCCAAACAGAACATTTGCCCCGTCGTTGCTAAAGGCTAGCCTCAAGGACGCGTCTGAGCTTTCCATTTGGTACAAGTTTACATCGTACAAACTTTGTGCAAAATTTTTGGTCAAAATAATGTCGACATTTGGGAGGGAATCGATAATAATAATGCAGATTGATGTATTGTATTAGGATCGTGTTTAAAGATTGGGTAATGTGCAAAATATATCTTTTGTAGAAGCATAATAAGGCTTAAAGAAAGTTTCGGGTATGGAGCTTGCCCCCCAATTTTTTAATATTTTTTTTTGACTTCAAATGTCGGCTGATGATTGCAAATGATGGCTGACTAAATTAAATTTAGTGCAAAATGTATGGGAGCCCAGAGTGGCCACAAACTTATACTCGATCGTAACCCCATAAAAAAAACACGTTAAAATTGTGCAGCAGCAGGATCCCAGTCAATCCAGTGAGTTTGGCGTTTTTAACATTGAAAAAAAAATAACTTTTGAATTTTGCCGACGCGCATGGCTACGGCGACGCGCACCCATACCAGAAACCGGAGACTTTTTGGGGGCCTAAATTAAGCTGCTTTAGAAAGAAAAAAAAATCAGATCTGATAACTTGTTTTTACCGTTGCATGTTTGTATTTAACAACTCCTGTAAACTGAACACTCGTTGTATACGATAAGCTAATGATATAATTTGAAATTACCAATTATACAGAAATTCGAGAACAGGCATTGTAAAAGGGCATTGTAAATAAGAAAAAGTTTCCCCAAACGGAATTGTTTTACTTTCATACCAATCGCCAGAACGTGGCACATTGTGTCATGTGAAATTAATTTCGCGGTGCCCGATTTTGGAATCTTAATTAATTTATGTTTTGTCAAGGGCTGGAAATTTTAAAAAGTATTTAAAAACACGAAACATTACTCTTTGTATTTACAAAATAAGGAAAGCATTTGCACCTATCCCAATTTACGCACAATTATACATAGGCCCTAATAGTCTTTAGAGAAAAGTTGGTGCAAAATATAACAGGTACTAAAACGGTAGGCTATAATGTTTTTGTATACTTCTTAAGCTTTACCACATGTTTTGGTAAGGTTCCATGAGCTATATAGGCCTACATAATACGTCAATTTGGTGAGCACAATTCAATTATCCAGAAGGATATACAATGCAAGTCAGATTGCCATCTTGCACACAAAGCCGTTTGAATTTGTACACCAAACACTTGCCCAAAAGCCATCGTAAACAGTCACACAGGCGCCGTAAGTTGGCTGCCTGGGATACCAGTTCTCATAGCCAGCTTCGCTGGTCCCATCCACCCAGATGAACCTTCCTTGAGCGTTGTCGTACTGGTATCCAATCCAGAACCTTTGGTTCCCGGCCAAAGTTGCGTACGACAGCAGGAACTGGTTTTCCTCTTCGCTGGTGACCGATACCAGGTGGGCCGCTTTGCCATCAGGATTAGTGAACTGCAGGCAATATTGCATTCCGTCGTGAAAGTTGTAGTACCGGGTTGCTGCAACGCTTAAGTAGCAGTGGTTACCCCACGCGAGCCACGGTGGTGGGCACTTATTAGTTGCCTGCATTGTTTTGATGCATTTCCCCTTCGCTTGTATCACCCACGGTTGAACTTGAAGAAGAAGGATCGAAACAAGTAACAGATTTGCTACTTTCATGGCCGATCTCGTCTCTCTCGTCAAAATGTACCTGTAAAGTGTAAGCATTGTCATTGTTATAAAAATGGCATACTATAGGCACAAACTAACACTATTACATCATTGCGATCGAAAGCTCGAAACTTGTATACAATTCAGCAGCATTTTATTTTTTTTATAAGAGTCTTGTAGTTGGGGGACACGTACACAAACACCTTGTCAACTCGCGGGCGCAAGAGTCCAAAGTACGAGCTGAGGATCTGTTGTTGTGCAGTGACTCGGCCACTTTAGGGTGAGTAAAAAAAAACAACCAAATGTTTGAGTGAAGTTCTACGATATGAAAGCCCAATCATAAGCTTTCTAAGAATCATTCAAAAACACTAATGTACTTTTCAAGTTACGGAATTTTAAACACAACCACCGTTTTAAAGTTCTGTCCACGGATCACAAAAAAAGGTAGTGTTGTTTCAGCTAAACGAAAACAATTCACCTAGGGCGGGGATGTGTGTGAATTGTTTTGTTTTGCTGAAAGAAAGGTGGTTGTGTTTAAAATTCTGTAACTTGAGAAGTACATAAGTGATTTGAATGATTCTTGTACTAAAAGAAAGCTTATGAATTGGGCTTTCATATCCTAGATTTTGAAAGTGCTATACATGCAGAAATTTACTAAAACACCAGTCCCGACAATTTGGGTTTCGGTTTGTTTTTTTACTCACCCTGTAAAGGTACAGCTTTTTGCACTGCAAGTGCTGCGTGCTGTATACCACGAGTCTATGATGATGAGTCGTATCAGAATTTTAACTCTCTCCCAATAGCAGAAAATATTCCCACACGTCAGTTTAAAAGTCCGAAAGATAATTTCAGATCGTGTGCTTCAAATTAGCCAAGTGCCGGAGCAGGGTGTGTTTACCGTAGGCCTCCTGCTGACGACGAGTGAGTCTGCTTAAGTACTCTGCTTGTTTCGCCGCACTCCGTTTATTGTGATGTGTCGTCTGACTTATAAGGTCTTGCCTGTCATGAACAAAATACTCGATAGCAAGAACGTCGATACCACTTTTCTGCGGTAATCGTTCGCGCCGTAATGGCTGGCTTTAAACGCGAGGCCTTGATCGTGGCTTTTACGCGTAAAATGTAACAAGGCATGCTAGGTGCGCAACCACCCTCGTTCCCAAGGTGTCGAGCAGTATCCTCCCACCACCTGTTCTCACCCTGGTATTAGATCATTTGCATTATCCAAACATGTTGGATATGTGTGCAAATGAGGAAAAGTGTGGTGCCTGCCTGTGCTTTACATCAGCGTTTGTTTTTGTATGTGGTGTCTGGGGTAAAAACAGAATCCATTCGTCACGGCGTGAGTTACGAAAACACGCTTTTTATTTTTCAAAGTGAAAATGTTACAATCTTATCCAGCCAATATGCAGTATCACATGTCACATTAATATGAGCAAATTGGAAAGGAAAGGATTATTTTTAAGAAGGTGTGGAGTAATAATTAAAATGAACGTGAAAACACGTTATACACGTTGGAAATAACAACACCAAGTACACGATATAAATCCATTACCTGCTAATTGCGCTATCGAATCAGGATACAGGAAGCAAGTTCCCATCCCAGGGTTTACTATTGATAATGAGGTTGAAAATTAAGTAAGCTTTGGGGACGAGGTTGACATTCACGCATCATGCAGATCGTGCATCGAGTTTTAATTATTGGCTCTTTTCTTGCAAGTGGGCGGGGTTTATTCGTCGCTTCATTAACAGAAAACAATTTCACTAATCGCTGAGTCGGAAGTCCATGATACTACGCAAAAAACCGTGAATAGTGTGTAATTGACATAGGGGTGCACACCTGTAAATAGGCCAAAAATCCGTCCGCCGAGCTCATGGATAAAAGTTATACCCTCAAAATATTCTATATTAGAGAGTTTTGAGAGCCATAAAATTGGGGAATTGAAGAGATATGGTAATGAAAGCTGGCTGCTATTGGGCTCGAAAGTGGCGCTATTTTGCCATGTTGTGGAGGGATCGTTTTTCAAGATGGCTACTTTTCCGCTTTGGGGAAAATAGGGGTCGTCTTCTTTGGGTGAGAATATCTCGAAAAGTCAATGGTCAACCCACCCAAAAATGAAAAGAAAATGAAAGATGACACATTGATCATCATTTTTCTGTGCAGCTTGAATACCTGTGACAGTTCTGAGTATTTTTAAAAGAATTTTGAAGTATGCGCATTTAGCACTAGTGTCTATGGGATTTTTTTTGCAGGGTTGCACCCATAGAGCTATATAGCTCTATGGTGATTGTCCATTCTTGCATTAAACAGTTAACGCCGGTCATGCCAGTCTGATCATGGGTGCCATTTAGTTTGTGCGGATGCGCATAATGCGCGACATAATTATATTGCCGCTGTATATTAATGTGAATTCATTTTCGCGTGGCCTCTGAGAGTAAACAAATGGTTTCCATGTATTCGTCTACATAATTATTGTAAAATGCAGTATTATATTTAGGTCTGAAAATCTTGAAAGTATTAAAACCTCGGTGTGAAATTACGGATTAAAAAAAACTATTTTGAATTTTCAACGATTTTTGAAAAAGAAAAGGAAAAACACCTGTCGATTTTTACCTCATTTTGCCCAAGATTACATTTTCCCAATAGAAAGCTATATATGCGCATGTGTAGTCGATGGACTATTCAAGCCTGCAGTCTGGGTTTAAACCGGGCAATTTCGGCAGATTTGATTGCAGTTGAGTTTAAAGGTTTGGCTAGTGTTTTTTTCGCTACCATTCCGAGTTCAGTTGGAGCGTACATGCACATGACGACGGTGCCGACGATGAGTACATCGTGTCAGAACGCGTCCGCTGAGCCTCGGTACATAATAGAATCGACACTGAATACAGCATTGAGCAGTCCAAGCTCTCAACGGCTATACACTAGGACTAGTTCCCGGCTCCTCGAATAGTTCCTAGCGGTAACTTAGGTTTTTTACAAACGGTTTTAGAGAATTGTGAGCTACGCAAAATTCACTTTCTTGACGACATAATGAAATTGCCATGGTAAAAATACCATCAATGGATTAATGGGCTTGATTTCCTTCTATTTTTAATAGCAAGCGGTTTCTTGTCGCTGACAAAATGCAATCTTTTGATGAAGAGCACCTCACAGACATGCACAGTACATAGTTGTTGCTTATCTTTGGCCAAATTCAATTCAATTGGGTTCAATTCTGCTTAACTGGATAAAAACACCACCAAATAAAAAGTCAAAGATTAAAAATACAAATGTATACTAAGAATTAACATAGCATTCCAGTATTCAAATGAAGTTCAAGTTACAGATTAACCGATTAATAAAAAAAAAAATATATTCAATTGCTCACATTGAAGTTGAGTAAATGTTCTCCGATAGCAAGTGACCTAAACTACAAAGCAAGGTTATCACCCACCCTAAATCTGCAACACTTTTGTGGTTTCCACACAGCATCGGTTCATGAATAATATTTTTTTTTTAGTTTTCTTTTTATTTATTTCATAAGTGAGTTGCTTTGAACCAGGATGCGGTTTACAGAAAAAAAAAGGAAAAGGTCATTCAACAACAAACGGATCGTCTGGTAGTCGAGTAGATGCTAGACTTGCACCAGTCGGTTAAGCTGTCTTTCAGTCGGTTCAGCATGTCTGCGATATTTGGGCGGCCCTCGTATAAAACAGCCTATAACTCGAAAATGGCGTTTTGAGAAAAAAAAGTTTGAATGTTTGCCTTTTGTTGAACCAAAATTAAATGTTTTGTTGTGTATTTCTTGACCAAAAACGGTTTGAAGGAGTTGGAAATATGTAAATTGGTCAAATGGATTCTTTGCCGCAAAATATAAAACTAAAGCACTTATCTCTAATATTTTGATGGTAAAAAAAGTATATCAAAGGCAAAATACAACATTTGCAAACATAAAAAAATAAAACTACCAAATCCTTTTGAAATACCTTGCTTTACTGTTAGTAAATGACAGTCTAAAGCATCCTGTAAAATCATGGCACCTGGTATATTGTCATTTTCAAGAAATGTGGTATTTTCGTATCAATTTCCCACGCTGATCGGCCGACCAGTGCTGGAAAAAAACTGTTTTTTTTTCTTCAGATACTGCCCCAATTGACTATATTTAGTTAGTCCGCATTTGTTTGTAATCGATTACACAAACACCTATGAACGGGTGCAAGCCAGCTAGACTGGTTCACTGGCCTTACAATTTCCCAACGTCTATAAATTGCTCCGTTTCATCTTAAATGGAGTCAGGGAACCAGACTACAGGAACATGATTGTTTTTCTTGGTTTTTATAGCATCTACGAACCCAAAACATCAAAAAAGTCAGTGTAACAATATTTGCTATATATTACCAACCCCCCAAATCCATCCATTTCCGAAAATTAAAGCAATATTCCCTTTAAATTAAACTTAATGATATGAGCGTAACTATAGCATCATGCAGAAAGATGAAGTTGTCTTCCTCGAACGATTTTTGTTGGCAAAGCAGCCAATTTTCAAGTATATACCATTGAACTTAGGGTAAGGCTGTTTAACCATAAAAAAAAAAAACCAGACACGTGTATGACCTAACTCAAAGGTAAATTGTTTTGCTATCAATAACTTCAAAAGAAAAACGAGTGAGATAGATCATGCTACATTATCTTCAAACGAAATGTATCATAACGACTTTAAAACTTTCGCAAACGAAAAGTTTGCCCTCGATATCTAAAAAAAAATAAATACCCCCCTCAAATTTCGAGTTTCACTGTTCTGTCATGGTGGAATGTTGTGATGAGCTCCTCAAACATTCATTCTCCGAGGGCGTTTAGAATAAACAAGTAGTGTATAACAAAGGCACGCCCCATCGAGCCAATGTACGTGCCTTCTCTGTGTTTTTACGGCCCCCGTCCTCAGAATTTGGTGAACATAAAAATGTCTAGCCAAACTCCCCACCCCCACTCCCGGCCGTCCGTCCGTCACTCACTACGTCACACTAGCCACCTCATCAACTCGGAAAACAAGTATTCGCAATCTCTCTCTCTGTGTTCAGCTTCTATTTCCTGGAAAATGATCTTCCACGTCATATTTACCAGGAAGTTTCTTCTGGATCTCCCCCTTCTTCTTTCCTTAATTGGACGAGGTTTTTTTTTCATCAGTTGGCAATTCATATTTCGACAAGCATGTCCAAAGTGTGTTATCGTTCTTTAATTCCTGATGCATCCCAGGAGTTTCCAGCTCTAAGCATTCTTCGATAAAGCCACATTTCTGCTGAATGTTTCTTTTTCTCATCTCTTTTATTTACAGTCCACCCCTCAGCTCATTCGGTGATTTATAATATTACTTTCAGAGTCGTGTCAAGAGTTTGTCTTTCCATATTGGTTGTGTCATTTTCTTCTTTGCCATAATTAATTCTGATGTTGACATCTTTTGAGCAGTCTCCTGGAGGTCCGAGTTAACTGAGCCGAGATACATTTGAAACTTTAAACTGGTTCATTATCAATGGTTAATGAGTTACTATCATCTCACTTCCTACTTTAATACACTTTGTTTTTTGACATTCAGTATAAACACTTCCTCTTTCCAGTGTTGTTAAGCGCACCGGTCACCCAGCATTAATTGGGTTTCTCCTTTACTTTTTTGAACAAAGAGCAGTGTCATCTGCATATCTTAAACTTGACATTTTTCTACCTCCAATGTTCACCCCATAATTCTCCATTTCTGCTTCTCTCATGACTTGCTCTATGTACACAGACTAAAGAATAAGGTGACATGATGACTAGACCTATTTAACTGCAGCCTCTTACAGATTGGGCCCGGGTTATATAGTTGTTCGTTAAGATGCTACAAGGAATCATATACAGTGCAATTATGTGAACGCCGAAAGCATTGCACAAGTCTAAGGTCTGATAACATTATTTTTATGAATGGACCGATTGACCTCATAAGGTCAGGGAACCCGGATCTTACAAAGAATGCGTGGGTTTTCATGCGTACTCCCGCTGAGTGTATCCGTCAACAAACTGTGGCAGGATCAAAGGATGGTTGCGTCATGGATCCGGTTTTCGATTGTGATTTCTGATGATAAATCACAGGAAACGAGTGTCATGTTCACTTCTCTCTGAACGGGATGTTGGCGGGTTCACGTTGGTACGGCGCATCAGCTCCACCAGACGAAAAGTTCGCAGTTTGGGAAAAGGCCGCTCTTCGCAGACACGTACATAGCGATAAGTGAAGTGACATTGCGTACGTGCACTGTGCAGAATAAACGAGCTTGAAACATTTATTTATTTTCGATCATCAATGCGGAATGCTGTGGATCTGATCCAAGTCGGAACCTCTGATTTTTGGAAATAGACTTTCCGCCCCGAAGTATCGACTGGCATTAAGTGGTACTCGTACAAATTAATGTAATTGGAAAGTCCGAATCCTGCTTTTCAAGTTATTAAGAAGATCGTTAGAGTGTCGATCAGTCGGCTGGATGATAAAAACAGTTGCCGAACGTCAACGAACATCACTTCTGAACTAGTCTGACTCGGAGTTGTCGTGGTAATTCAGTGAAAACGTTATCAAGAACAACAGTTCTGTCTCATATAAACAATTCTTCTCAGTACCAAAAAGATCGTCTCTCTTAAAACTTTTCTCAATCCACAATGAAGACGCTGGTTCTGCAACCGATGCTGCATGACGCGCACCACTTCACCGCTGACGCGAAGCGACGGTGTGCGTACGGCGAGAGCTGGAGGATATTTCACCCGTCCATCTACGGCGAACGCCTTGACGGGAAAACGGTCGGGTCGTTGGAAGACTCGCGGAGACTGTGTAAAAGTCAACTGGTTAGTACAGTTTTCACATTTCAATCTGTAGTTTCAAAGGAAGTGAATAAATTAAAGTAAGTTTGGGGAAGAGTAAAGTAGGCGTGCATGTGCGGCATAGCATCTTGTATAAGGTCTTCAAAACCAACCAAATAATATTGGCGCCATTTTGATTCTTCATTTTTCCTTAAGGATTTTACCCTATGTGTTTTAATCAGCACTTCCTTCTTCATTATGACGAAAAAAAAGGACAAAGGATTTTATGGAGATGTATAGGTTTTTTTTTTCAAGGCAGCAGCGTAAGTTTAAAAGTGGATTGATCTAGGGTATGTTGAACAATGCATATTTATATACCAGAAATTATTCACACCGTCACCACCTAATAAATTTGACTATAATATACATTTAATTTGATGTAATTAACGTTGATCCACTGTGAGCCCGAAGCCCATGTTGAGATTTTTATATTCGGCAAATAAGCGTCTGTAAAGATAGCGTTTTTCACTCCACTTCGACCCATCACACTCTTACAAAAAATAATGTCATTAGGTTTTAACCTACAAATCAACAATATTTAGCAACAGATCATACTACACTATACCATAGAGCAAGGTCCTTGCTCTATGACTATATTAATTATTAATGTACCGATACTGAAAGAGATGTATTATTTGTAGCTATCGTAAAAAAGGAACATCGCAAAAACTTTATAAAAAGGATTTGCACTTTCGGTTTCTCTCTCGCTCTCTACACTATACCATAGAGCAAGGTCCTTGCTCTATGACTATACTAATTAATGTACCGATACTGAAAGAAATGTATTATTTGTAGCTATCGTAAAAAAGGAACATCGCAAAAACTTTATAAACAGGATTTGCACTTTCGGTTTCGCTCTCGCATCGTGCTCTCAGTAACGAACTCTGACGCATTAGCTTCCATGGTAACTAGATCAACATCATGTGTAACATAATCCGAGGAGCTTCACTCTCTGAGCTCATCTGATGAGCTTCTGGTATAGGAATGACGTCATCGCCCTAGACACGGCTGGATGAGGATTAAGATGGGGTCGTGACTGCCTGTTCAAGAAGGCTGAAAATGACGGGCCTCTTCGATATATATATATGACGTTCTGACGGCGGCTTAATTATTTTTGTTCCGGGAAAAATTTGAAGGGATAATTCAAATCACGAATTCAGCTACCTTTTGACTTCGGTGGCATTCCATGGTGACCTTTTTGTTTCAAGCACCTGTAATGCTATCCGGGAGGTTGAGAGAAAAAGAATCAACACTTTACTCGGGTGGAACTTGAACCCACGACCTCCTGTATGTACATGTGCTTACTAGTCTGTTTAGCCTATTAGTCGCTCCACCATGTCACTCTATCTTGAGCTGTCTGTTGCCGTGCCATGTCACTATGTGTTGTCAATGCATCCCTCCATCTTCTAGATCTGTTTGTCTCCCTCTCTTCCTGGTTTGGTTTGTTGGAGTCCTATTGGTGGTTTTGCATGTCCACCGGTTGTCATACCTCCTTGCCGGGTGAAAATGCTGTAAATGCTGCTTACTATGCCTCGTGTTATACATCAATCCAAGCAGGGTATATCATTGTACACTCACCACGGAAACCCCCTTCAATAAGCATTGTGCCAGCTATTGCTGAGATAATAATAATCTACATGGGGCAGTTGCTTTGTACATGCAGTAGCTGGCACTCATTACTTCCGCCATTGAAGGGGACCTCCCAAAGGCGGATCCAGAACCAAATTTTCGGGGAGGGGGGGGGAAGAGGGCTGTATAATACAAGAATAGTGCGCTGTTTCCACATTGTAATATTAAAACTAAAAGGTGTGTGTAGCTGATGGCTTGCAAGGGAGATACTCAACGTTTAATTTATTTCCTTTAAAAAATCCGGCTTTTTTAGGAGTGGGTGGCCCCCGTTTGCCGTTTCCCCTTCTCGGATCCGGAAATGGCCGGGGCCTCTGTGAGCATGGCGGAATTTCAAGACCGGCTCCGTTTTGGGGATAAATTGTGATCCAACTACATTTGTTGTATAATACTGCTTGTAACACCACCGTACTTTGACACAGAACTTGTGCACTCATCCAAAGACATAAAATATAATTATTCGGTCTTGTGAACAGCTATAGTAAAGAAAATCGTGACCAGCAAATCAACTTTGCCCACATCATCGGCTGTTGGCATGACGTATGATTGCTATCTTTATACGTCAGCAACAGAACTATTGTTGCACGCCATATTCCAATATTTCTTTGTTCGCTATAGCGGAGCTATATATGGAACAAAACAATTTAAATTCCCCCGATCGAGACGCGTGACAAAGTGAAAATGAATAGCACAAGGTCGTTCATTTTACTTTCTACTGAGTGATCGATTCAGCAGGGTTTACCGCCCTGCGTGCGCCGACACGGCGTCCTTGACTTATTCACAGCGATTCCGAGTACTTTAGGTATAGCGCGAACTTATCCTGGAAATCACTGTATCTCGTGGGCGCGCACCTTAATTACCACTGTACCAGCAGGAACTTTCAAACCGAGTTCTTTGTCCGCGAAGTTTGGAAACAGCCTTTCTTCCCGGTCGAAAACGATTCTGTGAACGGCTGCATTATAAGTTTCCCGCACGAAGTGTTGTGGTTTAATTTTGTCTGAAAAGTTTTTTTGATTTGTATTCTTGGTCACAAAAACTGGGCCGCGATTGGTTCGTTTATAGGACGCGTTTATAGGTCAACGCTAAAGCAGTCTGATCCCGCATACTGGATATAACAGGGACGATATAGTGCAAGCCTATAGAAGCGCCAACCGGGCCATTAGTACAAGATTTTCAGGAAAGTTGACACCAGCTTCTAAACGCTTTTGCTAACTGCTGCAATGTTCTGCTGGATCGCTTGGAGGTCATCTACACCGACGTTTCTTTTTATAGAAGCACCGGACGAATGACAGGAAGTTCATTGGAATCTGATTTCCAAGAGTGTAAAACGCGGTCGCTTTAATATAATATGTGACTATGTTCGACCGTAATGTGAACTCTACTTCGGATCTTTTGACGGTCTTCCTGGAAACAAAGTGTTTGTGTAACTTTACTTTTGGACTACGAGTTTACGCTGTTCATCGCCTTGCAATGAGGAACTTGACTCGGCGGTAGAAGGACGCAACTAAACTCTTGGCGCGTGCATCATCACCTCGTCTGCTGACCGTTTCACAAGAACCGGGTTTTTTCCCATCATGTCTGCTGAGGTGGGCGTAATGTCGGCACCCTTGCAGCCGCCGGGTGAATCAGACTTCAAGGTATGATGGGGATCTTCTCTGCCCCAGAGTTTCTTCTTTCGGGTCGCTTGCGATCTTGACCAAGATCTCGCCGAATAGTGAGGCGGTGAAATTAGAATAAGGCTTTACGATCGGCTAGTTAATTAACGAAGCACCTTCATGTTACTCCAACAAATTCTCAAAGCTGCGTTTGTGGAGGAAGAGGACAGAACAAGAAGAACCAAAAATGATGTGCCATCGCATCATTTGCAATATGATGGTGGATCTCGAGTGCCCAATTCAAAAACTTCCGAGACATCCGAGTATCACTGGGCATAATTCACGCTAATGCGCGCGCGCGTGTGAGGTATGCTCTGAATTTCTTGGGAGCAAGTACCAAAGTTTCCAAGACTGGGTTTGATTCTTCTTGTTATAATAACCAGGAATCGAGGTCGGCTGCAATTAGGGCAACGAAAATCCAAACCCAGTCGATCTTGTACCACGACTTCGCATCACTTAATCTTCATCAGCTTCATCTCCAATAAGTCAGTAAAATGATCTAATTTTGATACATCGCGCTAACGCTGCGTGTGGATGAGACGAACTTTGAACTTGAGTCATTGTTTAGCTGCGGACAGCAGCTCAACAAATGGTCGCGTCTCTCCGTTAGTTGGTTCGTTGGTTAGTTAGTAACAAACGTCAGCAACAGCCTTGCATGGCTATCGCCCCCATCCCTCAGGCCCGGGTAACTCCTCCCTCAGGACCAGGCCCTCTGTTAATGGGTCTGCACTGACCGCCTAAAAATGGGGCACTATGGTCAAAAACCTGATGTTTGTACTGAACACACGTACTACTCCTTCCAAAAATTACATGGCACAATCATGTCACACATGCATGAACACAATGCAGTGGCCCGCAGCTTCCGAGATTATTTCGTGCTTGTTTAAATAAGTGATTCTGGAGACTTGGCAACCTTCGATACTCATCCAAACAGGCGGTTCATTTTGGTGTTGACTGTACCATTTTCGCTACATCATTAACCAGACAATCTTGAGTACACAAAAGCAAAACATTTCAAAAGTCCCATTTCTTCATTTCACTCTGTTTAGGTGAATAAGTGGTTGGCGCTCAAGAGACGGACAGCCAGTCTGCCAGTTGTGTGTTCTCCTACAGCATCCAGTGGCGGGCTGTCATCAGATGCGAACGGGAACTGCAAAGTCAAACGATTCAGGCATCAGGACCGTGTCACTGACCCGCTTCAGCTGCCCATCGGTAAGAAACTCCCATATAGACATCAATGATAAAAAACAAAACTTTCAAGAGTGACATATTTATTGACACAGCTCCCTAGGTGTACATCCAAATGAACGTAGATTCCTCATAACTTTGGTCCGTTTTGTCCAAATGTTTGTAGTTTTAAAGTCCTTTCGGCAGTATAGGCACCTTGGATGGAGGGCTTCTTTGTTATATTCAAGCCCAAACTTCCTAGGCATTTTTGCAAGGAAGCAACCTCAATCCTGCAAAATCCTCCCCAGCAATCTCCGTCAATATGTTGAAGCAGAGCCAGTGACAATCCTGGAGCAGTGCAGATGATTTCAAGTATAATCTAGGCCTTAATGTAATGCACGGCTGAGCATAAACAACACAATGTCCGGCCCAAGACCTTGACACAGTGCATCCTCCAAAATCAGCCACACCTTTTTGCCATATATAGCCTCAATCCTGCAAAATCCTGCATTTTTGCAAAGAGGATTTGGGAAGGTTACGGTTAATTCATCAGGAATATTGATTGGTTTTTAAATACATTGGTGTTTTTTTTTTTAATTCTTTAGATCCCAGATCCTGGTCCACCAATGATGTCAGGACCTGGCTAGGTCACATGACAAAGTCACATGACCTTGAGGTCGACCCCAGCTTCTTCCAAATGAACGGCCGCGGCCTCTGCCTCATGCCACTGAAAGGATTTCTGTTCCGGGTACCGGACCACGGGAAGCTTCTGTACGAGGACTTCCGGGGCAGGTTGAGGCAGTGCTTGCTGGCGCCTGGAAACGACACCAGGCCCAAGACTGAGCAGGGGGCTGGGACAAAGTCTAGCCGTGAGGCTGCCAGTCCGAGTGGACCAGCGAGGAAGCACAGAAGGGCCGTCGTGAGCTACCAGGGAGTTGTGGTTGTTGGAAAGTCGTCAGTGACTGACTGCAAGGGACAGATGTCACCAACGACCTATCACACATTATGAAGGCGAGCTGTGATTGAGCCAACGGCTGCTTCCAAATCTCTTGTCTAAGGCTACTTCCTAGGTCTTGAACAATTACTACGATGTGGGCACATGCTGACAACAGATATACCTGGATACACCAAAGCTTTGGACGTCAGTTTTTGGACATGGAAACTCACAAGCCAGTTCAGATGTTCAAAGTAAATTAGGAAGAACTGTGAAAGTGATGTTTACATACATGTACATGTTCAGACGGAAAAAGAAACACTAGATTTGGTTACAAACTTTCAGAATTTTTTTGACACACCCTTCCACCATCATACGGTTGGGTTTCATTTGTTGGAGGTTTAATACATGGTACTCGACACTTTGCCGATAGCAGATAAATTGAACCATTCAATTTTGTACAAAAATTGTCTCAAACTATTAACATGAAACGGACAATGTATATCTCCCTGAATATATTTTTATATTTCATGTGCATGTACTTGCTTACACAGGTAATAATACTATGCTCTGTATTGTTTTTGCTCTGTACATGTACTTGTAGTAAAAAAAAAATAATAATATACATGTAACGAATAAGTCTAACACATGATACATACATGTACGTACATATAAGTATGTAAGTGTGAACAAATCAAGGCATTACACTGAATATTCATATGAAATAAACTGAACATTCATGTACATGTAGTATGTAAATAAACAGGTAAAGATATACAAGTACATGTACATTGTACCTCCAAAAAATGACATGTGAAGCTTTTTGCAAAATTAATGTCTCACTGCTAGTCTGCGAGTCAGAATTGCGACTTCTGTCACAATCTGACAATAATCTAAGATTCATTTTTATAAGGGCTGTCCAATTTTGAATAATTTAGTATGCGACTTACACGAAACTGCATTGGACCGAATATTCAAACTGCCAGCTGCAACTGCGTGCTGGGCCAGTAAAAAATTGCATGAAAAGTGTGCCGGTTAGAGTTTGCGTGTGGCGATATATAAGGGGTGGTGGAGTATTTGCAGTTTAAAGTATTTTGTTCTGTAAAAGGGCTTTAATCTGCTAACAGGATGAACCGCCATTGCCAATGAAGTGTATAAATGTATATTTTTTTTCCTTCCAAATATTCAAACTGGCAAACAGCTACTCGAAAATTTGGTCGACGAATATTCGACAATTCGGTATATTCAGGACAGCCCTAATTTGTATTACTTGTACCTGCATGCATCAGTGAGCATCGTACTGTATGCACTTGAAGGTTTATAGCACCAAGCATGTACAAGCTTGCAAATACATGCACAAATTTTGCCGCAAGCTTGCAAGTACATGTGCATGCTTGCAAGTACACATGCAAGCTTGCCGCAAACTTGCAAGCTTGCCGCAAACTTGCCGCAAACTTGCACGTACATGCAAGCTACATGCACATTATATGTGCAAGCTTGCCTCACATCCATACAAGCATTGCAAGCTAAGCTTGCAAGTTGCTTGCAGCTAGATTGCGTGCAAATGTGCAATCTCATGCAAGTTTGTGGCAAGCTTCGCAATCTACATGTAGTTAAATACCAACTTAATACAAGCTTGTAGCGAGCTTGCAGCGAGCTTGCGGCAAAATTATTTTTCCGTAAGGGTCACACCACAAGGGCAGTGTGATACATGGTTTCATTTGCTGCAAACAGTTTTTTAGCAATACTGCTGTTGACCTTGTGAGCCAACACATCTATTGTCAAAATGTGTACATAAAATGTGAAGTATAAAGTGTACTACATGTATAGTGTGCTGTGACAGCTGAATAAAGTTTTGTTGAATTGTACATAAATTTGAAGTTTGTAATTGATGATTATAGTGTCTTGTGTGATCACAAATTAATTTCCTGTTGAGTGGGAAAGGCAGACTACTTGTGTGAATAAATAAAGTCTGCAAAATACAATTATCAGTGAAAGAAGCAGATTTTAAGCATTGTTACCTGTAACAATCATACATGATACATCGTCACCGTTTTCACGAACAGCCATATACTATATATATTATGATGGTTTTGAAGAAAAGTGTTTTCGAGATAATCGCAAAAGAAGTTTCTCATATTTTAAAACTGCAAGAACTACTGCTTTGCAACAACTTTGTGCAGTAAAAAAAACCTTCACATGATTCTATGAGAGCTGAAATTTTACGTGAACCCAGTAATTATAATTAATACTACCGTATTAATTAGTTAATTAGTGAAAATTAATAAGTGAAGATATGTGGCTCTTCGTGAAAACGACAATTCAAGTTTCCTACATATTGGCCCTTTCTGTTCAATGTGTTTTTCCATATGGAAGGGGCGCGCGCGTGTGTACGCGTGCGCAGCTGAGAATAATTATAACAAAGATATGTGGCTCTTCGTGAAAACAAAAATTCAAGTTTCCTACATGTACATATTGGCCCTTTCTGTTCAATAAGTTTTGTACGCGTTCAAGGGGCCAAAATGTATGTGGCTCTTCGTGAAAACGCAAAACTCATTTCTCGAGATATCTGCCCCTTGCATCATTAATGTTATTTGGAAATTAATGATGTAATGCTTACCGAAACATGTCAAAATGGTTAAGTTCAATGTTTTAAAGCAAAATCGCAAAAATGGTAATAATTTTTGACATACATATTACATGTATGTGGCTGTTCGTGAAAACGGTGACGACATACCTGATCAGCCGAGTTGTAATCATGTTCTAAAAATTTCATCATCAGTCTACATGTACATCCCACTGTCAAGTCAGTTGACGAGCCATTCATATGAACTGGGACAAGGGCAATCCTTTGTCATTGAGGACTGATGACCTGACGGTCCTGATTTATGCTGACTTATGGTTGACTTGATTAAAACTCTGCTTATCAGGACATCAACATGCACGCATAGAAAAAGGCTTTCTTTTATCAAAAAAGATACGGAAAAATTAATACATGTACACACTATTTCGTCGCGTCCGTGCAACAAGGTCGTACAATGTATCTCCTAAAATGGCCTGTGACGTCATGTACGTCAAACACGAGTTTTCAATATCAAAAGGTCTTATCTCGGTTAAAATAACCTGGATTTACATACAAAGTCAATGGACATCGCGATACACAAGATACGACCTTCTTGCACGGAGAGTATTCGCGCGAGATACGACTTTGTTGCAAAATCGAGTTACAATCTTGTTGCACTGATGCGATAATTTGTGGACTGCTTTATAAGCCGACTTCAATTTCAAAAAGGGGAATTAGCACACTAACCGGATAGAGTTCCATACCTGGACATCACTCGACACCCTGTGCATAAACCCTATGAGACTGGCCTGATAAATTCCAAGTGTTTTTTCAGTAAACGTTTCATTATTTTCCGGGCTAATTTTGACTTTTTAGAACATGTTAGCGCTTTCAGATGGCTGATAGGGAAAAATTAGTGATGTCCATGTAAGGCAAAAAAAAAAAAGTCTCCGGTTTCTGGTATGGAGCTTGCCAAAAAAGTGGTGTGGCGATGCGGCTTTTTTTTTTTTTACCTGTTTTTTTTGGCTTCAAATGTCGGCTGACGACTGCAAATGGTGCCCGACTAAACTTAGTGCAAATATATGGGAGTCCAGAGAGGCCACATAAATCTTATACTCGATCATAACCCCATCTAAAAACACGTTTAAATTGTGCAGCAGCAGGATTCCAGTCAAACCAGAGAGTTTGGCAGTTTCGAGACATCATCTTGTATTGAAAAAAAAACCTTTTTCATTTTGCCGACGCGCATGGCTACGGCGACGCGCGCGCATACCAGAAACCGGAGACTTATTTTTTTTGGCCTATGGAATTCTTTCCCACTAACCACTTACAGGCACAGCATTAGTTTGTTTCTGGCTGCCTCTGGCAGCAGTTTTAGTCTGTGTCGCAGGCTATTACTCATCCCGTACTCTGCTTCTGGCGTATCATAAGCCAGGATTCTAGCCTTGGTTGCAGTCTTCTTAGCTCTACGTTGCCTTTGTTGGCTGGTATCCCTGCCAGTGCCTGCATCAGTATCATCTGATGTACTAATTTCGCAAAGCCGTGCTACCTGTAATTTACTTGATTTCGTGTCCGAGTCAGATGAGGTTTCAGATAGAAGGAATCGGGAATGGCAGTTTCTACCATTTCTAGTCGATCCACGAGTGTTACGGCAACTTTGCTCATCACTACGTGAAGTTGTTGTAACGACATGCTTCTGCAAGGTGCGGTGAGATTTTCGTTTGTCGGTGATCAAGTTCATCCGGCAGGTGTTGTCATCATCTGATGTGATCATGTTCTCCCCTTTGACTTGGTTTGATGACAGTTTGTCGGAATCACCTCTACCACTCTTGTTTTCTTTTTGACGAGCTGCAACACGAGTGCATTGATTGTAATTATTACCCGGTGCATCACTCACTGATGCAAGTCCCGCGTTATTTTGCCAATTTTCAGTGAAGGCACGATCCACGATCCGGCTGCTCTCCGATTGCGATCTCCTGCGCTGGGCTCGAGTCCTGCCAGCAATTCCAATTTCTCCGAGCGGGGTTCTCCTCTTCTCGGCTGACCTGGTTTGCTTCTGGGCTCCTTCCCTCGATGTTTCATCAACGTCAGTCGGGGTGGAATCTGTGGAAGTTTCGGACGAGCTGTCTGTGCTTTCCGTTGCACGTGCGGCTGTTAACCAATTTGCGGCCTTATCGCCTTGGGCCTTGAGGAACCGGAGGCTTGTGAAATGATTTGTTGTCTCCCTCTGCACGATCTCCTTGCGTCGCTGGGTCTGCATTAATGGATCCAGTGCGCATGCCGTCTTGTTCCGTCTGGCCCGGCATCTCCTTGGGGTGCGAGGTGCATTTGGATCTATCTGTGGCGACACCTTCACAAAACCACAAAAAGATGTATCTTTAGGTGGTTTGAAGCAAGACAACTTCTGTAAAATGTGTCTTCCGATTCCTTTTCCGTGTTTTGGAATCATCGACTGTATCTTTTCTTGAAGCTCATATCAACAGAGTGCATGGCCAATGAACAGATTTTAGATAGGCTGTTAATTATACATTGTACATTTACCTGGGCATTGGTTTAAACGTGGTGTCCCTACAGGTTATGTGACAATGCTTCCATACTAAGCCAACTCCACTTTTCTAACAAAATTAAAACTCAGTTAGTGGAGTGCCAGAGTGGTAATGTAGAGGTCAAATCCCGCTCCAGTCAATTTCTTTGTTCAACTTTTTCAAAAATTGTTTAATTCAACTAGTCAGTTTCCCCTTGTGGTTCATTTGAAAATTTGTTTTAAAAAGCCGTATCCTCTCTGAGTGATCCCGTTTGCTATTTCCCAGGTCTGTATCGTGACTTTGGGCGTGATCCCTGGCTGCATGGCATTTACAGGTTCATGGCTTCTGACTAGCGCCCCTTGAACAAAGATATGGACGAATTGGGGAACCGCCAACATAGAGCTGGAAAGCTCAGTTGGTGGAGGGCTGGAGTGGTAATCTGGAGGTCGCAGGTTCAAACCCCGCTTCAGTCTATTTCTTTGTTCAACTTTTCAAAAATTAAAAAAACCCAGTCATTTCAAACGTTTTGGCGGTGATCCCCGTTTGCTATTTCCTAGGTCTGCATCGTGACTTTGGGCGTGATCCCTGGCTGCATGGCATTTACAGGTTTATGGCTTCTGACTAGCACCCCTTGAACAAAGAAATTGACGAATTGGGGAACCGCCAACATAGAGCTGGATAGCTCAGTTGGTGGAGGGCCGGAGCGGTAATCCATGGGTCGCAGGTTCAAACCCCGCTTCAGTCTATTTCTTTGTTCAACTTTTCAAAACTAAAAACTGACCAGTCATTTCAAAAGTTTTGGTGGTGATTTCTACCTTCGTCATCCCCACTGCCATGTCAAAAGGACATCTTGCATTTCACAAGCATTGTGGGTAGATTACGTCAATGATCAATCACTGATCATCGACATAAAGCACTGCCCAATGATTTTTGAGTTTGACAGGTAAAGTCTAAAGAGATTTAATACCAGTGCCCCGGCAAAGTTTTCATACCCATAATTGCTGCTGTTCGTGCACTGCGACAAGATCTGCGGTGACTGGGTTTCTAGCTGCGAAGACAGGACTTGGAAAACGACGACTGACTTCTACTGGACTCTCCGTGAACACCAGAGGGCGCTTTCTTGATGAACCTTTTCTCTTTCTCCTCGGCATTATCTTGATTTGTTTTTTTAGTCAAGGATTTGTTTTTTAGTCAAGAAAAATTGTAAAATCAATGAGCGTTTAATATAATAGGCCAAGCTCAAGTATTTTTCTTTTTCAAATTTTTAAGCAGCAGCACAAGTACATGTATGTATACATGTAACATCGTCAGCAACATTTTCTTTAAGGAAAGGGGACATGTAGCTTGAGAAACTGCAACTCCAATGCTCATTGAGAATTCAACATTTAGAGCTGGAGGTCAATGTACGTTGTAGCCAGCGGTCTAAAAATGGCGGAGGCCAAGAAATTTGGCCTCAACACAGCCACCGAAATCATAATTTTTTCCCCCATTTTGATCAGTTTTGTTCTGTTTCAAGTCAGCAAATTGATCCTTTGCTGCATGAATGATTCACAAAGCAAATTAAACTAGGATCGACTTGAAACAGAAGAAAACTGACTATAGGCCTTATATGAAAAATAATAATGATTTCGGCGGCTGTGTGGATCGAGGCCAAATATCACGGCCTCCGCCATTTTCGATCTGCCATGTACAACGTAATTTTGTCTTCAGCGTTAATGTCGAATTCTCGATGAGCATTGGAGCTGGACTTTCTCAAGCTAGAAAAAAGGGGGTAATCATGGTAATCACCGTTAATGAATATATATTATGGGCCTAAGTTAAGGCTTTAAGTTTAATTACCATGATTACATTGTATTTGTAGGCCTACTAGCAAATTTAATTGCAAAGTAGGCTACATTTCTATTGACTTTGGAATTCAGTCAGTAATGACATATAAATAAAGACGGACCTAAATGAATTTGTCATACATTTGAAGCCTTCACATAAAGTTTCCCGCTTTAAAGTTCAAACTACAAAGTTATTTTGTAAACTTTAAAGAGCGCCCTCTATATCTAGACACATTAGAAAAAAACCACACAAACTTCAACAGAAGTAAATTTTTGTCATGTTTGTAATTTTGTGAATAATGTTTCCTTGCTCTATGGTTATGTCAAACATGTCACATTCTGACAAGTTGACTGTCTTGAAGGTAAACATCACAAGGATACAGATTCTGTTCAGGTCTTGTGTTGAAATTTCAGCAAGGCCCAGTCAACTCAAATTATAAATTTCCCGGCGCGGACGACCATTTTTTACAACTTGACCGCTTGTTGGCTCAGCTGCCTACTGCGCAGCCGCAATATTGATTCCAAACATCAAAGATACAGAAAATGTGATTGGTTAAAACCAGGTAGTAGTACGTGTTCTTTCCCTCCACAATAACCAATGGCGCATCGTGTATGAAAGCCCTATGATTTCTTGTAACGAGAATCTACGAGAAAATGAGAGACTTAAGATACTCGATTCTGATTGGTTGCCTGGACCACGGGGAAGTTTAAATAACCACTGGGAATTTTGCGAGCAGCCGACGACGGAGTTTGTGAACGCTGATGTGTTATTTTCATCTTCATTTTGTTCACTAAATGGATTTGTTTTTGGAAGTAAGATATAGTTGAATTGAATATTTTAAATAAGAATTGTCAAGCGTTTAAGAGATGGTTATACGCTGGATAAATTTAGGAGAATTTTTGAAAGATTTAAGGCGTTGTTTACCGTACGGCGCGGCCCGGACTTGTTGTTTGTCACGTTGGTTGCATGCACATGCAGTGCATGCTGCACAGCCACACGGCCAACGACGTCGACGCGACCGGCGTGACCGGAAGTCAAATTAACAATTTGGATGGAAGTGTGTGTAATTATTTAAGCCTAGCCTATTGTGGTATAACTATAATTTTGGAAAAAAATGTTGCAACCTGACGCCACTTCAGCGGTTATGTACAAAGTCTGACTAATCATGCTAATGGAGAGTCAAGAAAATTTTCTGAGTAGGGCCTATTTCCTAACAACATGACTCATGAGGAACACAATCAATTGGAAATGTTTCTCAGTCCCAGATTCTTGTCTTTAATATCATTTTTGCAATGACTGACCTTCATTGAGATGATAATACACATGTATGAAGAAAAATGTGGCGTCAGGTTGCAACATTTTTTTGTAAATTTTGATAAAAAAATTGTGGAAAGAACATGAAGAATGTTGCAAAAAATGACGTCACTTCAGCGGTTGTGTACAAAGTCTATGGAGAGTCAAAACAATTGTGTAACTTACATAATTGGTTACTCCTGACAAAATTGAAAATGTTTCTCAGTCCCAGATTCATGTCTTATCATTTTTGCAATGACTGACCTTCATTGAACCATGGAGGAATAATTCCTCCATGATTGAACATTGCAACATTCTTTCCGAAATTGAAGTTACAAATTTATTAACTCGACCATTTCCATTCGCCAACTCGACTCCAACCAACCACGCACGACCGTCATAACAATTTGCAAACTCGTACATTTTGACCGCTTTGCGTTCAACTGGTGGAAAGTCAAGTCGTCCAACAATGTACAAAATTAACTCGTCATGCTCGTCCGATCTGCAACTCGTCCGTTGTACAATGTATGTGACATAGATGTATGTGACATAGTATACACGGACTCCAGAGGGACATGGAATGTATTGCAAAAATAATGGTTTAAAACTGACAAACATGACAAAATATAGGCCTAATGTAAGGGAAAGATGGGGGGAAAATAATTAAACAAAACAGACTGGCCTAACCATCCTAGCAATGCCTAGGCAGCAGCCTAGTGGTGGTACTAGACCCTATGGAAAGAATGCTGCAACCTGTCGCCACTTTCTTCTTCCTATATCATGTCAGTAAAGGTCAGTCATTGCAAAAATGTTGAAAAGACATGAATCTGGGACTGACAAACATTTCTAATTTTGTTAGGAAATACATGGGAAAGATTGCCATATACGAAGTTCACTCAACACCCTGTGTACAAACCCTATGAGATTGGACTGAAAAATTCTAAGTGTTTTCTAAGAAAATGCTTGTATTTTCTCACTGCTCAAATTGACTTTGATGACATGAAATTGCTATCTGGGGGCTTGTTAGTCAATACAGAGGAAAATTTGTGAACTTCGTATATGGAAATCTTTCCAATACATGTACTTAATGTTTGAAAAATTTGCTTGACCCTCCATACACTTTGTACACAACTGCTGAAGTAGCGTCTGGACATTGGAAAGTACTACATTCTTTCCAAGCAAAGGTGTCAAAGCAAAGTGTCGATCAGGATTTCAAGGAACTCGGGCATATCTGGAAGTTGATTTTTTCCTAAATTTTCTTTCCAATATTGGACGTGCAAATTATGTAAATTGATAATGTTTTGGAGAAATCAAGATTCAAAGTAACATAAGAGGGCAAGTTGGGGCCAACCTATTTATATGACATATCACCAAGGCCCTAATTTAAGTTAAAGCTATAGTCCATCATTTGTAATTTGTGCATTTTGTTCGTTTGAAGCAACAAAAGAGTTCAAAATCTAATGAAGGATACTGAACAACTAACCTGATGAAGTTTCAGCTAAGTTTCAGCTGTACATTCCGAGAAAAACAGCATTCTAAGATCTCAATTTCAAATCAAAAGTTACTGAATCATGTTTTGAATTGTTTTGAATTGCAGCTATACGTGACGTAGCGCACTGATCCGACGAATTATAACAACCGCGCGCGCGTGTGCGTCGTTCCAATACTTGGTGGAGCGCTGCGCTGAATAACAAACGAACTACTAATTTAAATTTTCCTACGGTGCTTCTTAAGAATCACCGTTGGAAATGCCTTCTTTCGTTGATTACTTCAAAATGACAGCTTCCCAGAAAGAATAATTTCACAGGGAGTTTAGTTCCCTCACTATCTTTCAACCAAGTTTGTTTTTCAACAATAATTACGCCAGTTACTTTTCGGATGGCTGCAAATGATGGACTATAGCTTTAAATAATCATCGCATTCGTAGCGAAATTGTCCCAGAGAAAGCCGTACGCGCACTGCACTCTACATACAATAATTAAACGTCCAGCATGCACATGAGCGCAACTCTTACAGACATGTGAGGAATCAGGTACATGTAAATGTAATCACGCAGCCCCGGGCGTTTGTTGTACGGTCGTGTTGAGTCCACATTTTAAGTTGAGTTGTATAACAGACAAATTTTGGTGATCGGTTGAGTTGGCATGGTTAGCAGAAGCACACAAACAAGTTGGTTGGAGTCGAGTTGGCAAATGGTCGAGTTGACTGGATACCGGGATTTTGATATTAACATGATTAAAGTAAAAATCGTTGCTGCAGAGACCTACATGTACATTGTACATGTACATGTAGATTATACTTGAAATCCTCCATACCTGTACTGCTTCAGGATGTCACTGGCTCTGCCTCAACATATTGACAGTGATTGCCGGAGGATTTTGCAGGATTGAGGCAGTGGTCACTGGTCACCCCTCCAAGGACCACATTCAAGAAATAACAGGATTTGGCAGGATTGAGGCTGTTTGCAATTTTTACATAAAGGCAGTTGGAGGATGTTGCAGGATTGAGGGTGCATCCTAACAAAAATGCCTAGGGAGTTAGGGTTGAATTCTACAGTGTCATCCGTTTATTTACAAAAATGTGAAGGAACACTATGTTAAGCTTGTTTCAACTGTGTTGTTAACCTTTTGCTTCCCTCAAACATTGTCCAAAACAGGCCATGACATGAGTGACAACGCAATGTCTGACCGAGTGGAGCTCTCAGAAGCCCTACGCAGCATCCTGGATGATCCATACTCGGAGTCCGAGCCAGAGGACCAGAAGGAAAACCTCGTTAAGACGGAAGATGGATCGGCGGGGTCCCTCAGAAATAGGATAAAATGCTGTGTCACGCCTATCAGCAAAGCCCTTGGTTCTATCCAGAGGACAGGGCACTCCGTGAGGCCTGTCCTTGCAGCCTCTACAGACAGATCCAACCACGGAATGATCCACACCAAGAGGAGGAAGTCTGGCTTTGACGAGGAGCAGTCCCCGCCCAAAAAGCGCCGGCACGCCAACCATGTCATCATACTCCGCCAGCCGAGAAGTAAAGGGAAGCCGCCACAGAAATCCTCGCCCAAGCCTTCCCCAAACAGGCGAGCACAACCCATGCCATCAGAGAGCAAGCATCCCAGGGGGAACGGTGTCAAACTGAGCCGCTCAAGTAAAGAGTTCACTGTTGAACTGGACAGTGGCATCGGAGGTACAGCTGCTCTTACGCACTCAAGAAAGTTTGCCAGAGGTTTAAGTACTTGTAAGACCACCCCTCCTCCTAAGTCGGTCCGATTTGACACTCCGAGTTCGGCCGAGAAGTACTTGGATGCTGCCATCGAGAGCCAGATCAAGACAGAGGTGAGCGAGGAGGAATTGGAATCGGGCCTTCCTGTCTTGGACGGTCTTGACCTCACCGCGTCGCCGTTTTGTCACTTCAAGGATGCTGGCCAGCAGCAGTTGTACTCGGAGTTGGAGGCGTACGAGTCCGGGAGTCTCGAGGGGAATCAGTGGCCGGCCAATCAGGAAGAAGCACTGCAGCTGGCGGCCAGCCAGCATATGCTGCAGTGCGCCGGTAATGTCTGTTACAGCAACACGGGCCGGCCGTTCTTACCCGGGGAAACGCCATTTGGAAGATGGGTCACAAGAGGTTGGTTTGTTTGGTTTTGTACAAGTCAGAGCTGCAATCGAGTCAATCGCAAGTCCGCCTGAGACCTAATGACGTCACGCTTTGTTTACATGTGCGCTTTGCTATGTGGTAGACGGTCCCTACTTCGACTGGCGTCCCGACTTCGCTCCCGTAGGAAAGCGCATATGTAAACAAAGCCGTTACATCATTAGGTCTTGGATCTATTCCCAAGTCGGGACAGAAGAAACGAGAGATGAACAACGACAAAGGGATGCCTTTGTCACAGTTCATTTCAATAGCTTGTGAGTTGACTAGGGACTGGAGGACTTGTGATTGGCTTGCGATGACTTGTGCTGACTTGTGATTGAGTCGATTGTAACTCTGGTTATATGTAGAGTAAGGCCACATCCGAATTACTTGGCTCTGGCTGGCAATAACACGCGCAAGCAGTCCAATCGATGCATACACTTAAAATGACGAAAAGCATCTCTAACTTTTGGCCCCACTGTAGGTTTCCTAAGACTTCAGGTACTTAATGTATCATTCTTGCATTTATTTGTTTTTAATCTGAAGGGGGCAGTGCGGATGACAGCCTGACTAACATCACATGGCTGAAGAGAATGTCTGCTCCTGATCTGGACCCAAACTCACTTCAAACCTCACAGGTTGGTAGCCAAAACGAATTAATATTTTTGTTGCTTTTTTCCCCCAAGGAACACATACAGGTACCATCACATGATGAAATGTGTTTGACTTTGAAACAAGCTTCTGAGCTCTGTTCCTGGGATGTAGTCGAGTCCATCACAAGTTCATCACAAGTCCAACACAAGTCCTCCAGTCCCAATTCAACTCACAAGCTACTCAAATGAGCTTTGACAAAGGCATTCCTTTGTTATTGTTTATCCACTGTTATTTGTCACTTGTGATGGACTTGCCTACATCCCTGCTCTGTTCTAAGACGGGCAAGGCAGGTCTTCTTTAGACCGTGTGGAAGGACAATGTGTTCAAAATGCTGCTGACTCAAGATTGACGGTCATTGTGCTGTTATGAATAAATTTATGGGTTTTTATGCCCCGCGGCGAAGCCGAAGGGGCATACTGTTTCCGCCTTGTCCTTCCGTGGGTGGGTGGGTGGGTGTGTGTGTGGGTGGGTGTGTGTGTGTGTGTCCGGACAAATCTTGTCAGCGCGATAACTTGAGAAATACTTAACATATGAACTTCAAATTTGGTTTGTGGATTGTTTTTGGTAATCCTAAGAAGCCTTTTGCATTTGGGGCCAAAAGGCCAAAGGTCAAGTTCACAGTGGCTAAAACAATAGAAATCTTGTCAGCGCGATAACTTGAGAAATACTTAACATATGAACTTCAAATTTGGTTTGTGGATTGTTTTTGGCAATCCTAAGATGCCTTTTGCATTTGGGGCCAAAAGGCCAAAGGTCAAGTTCACAGTGGCTAAAACAATAGAAATCTTGTCAGCGCGATAACTTGAGAAATACTTAACATATGAACTTCAAATTTGGTTTGTGGATTGTTCTTGGTAATCCTAAGAAGCCTATTGAATTTGGGGCCAAAAGGTCAAGGGTCAAGTTCACAGTGGCTAAAACAATAGAAATCATGTATTTATTCTGAGATTATAGGGATTAGGGATTAATTCATATAAAACCTACAGAAGACACTGATGCTGTCAATGAATGTTCCATGTGACCAAGGTACATGTAAGTTGATGTTAAAAGAGTGGTGTTATGTCATGGAACTGTCACCGTTGCGGGGCATTTGTGTTTGTAAACACACCTGACTTGTTTAAACATGCTTGACTGCAGACAATACTGGGGCAGGCATCAGCCTTTGTGAAGTGGCTAAAAGTTTAAACAGTACTTAATCCGCTCTGTTCACAAGTACCCCCTCACCGGAAAAGAAAGTACAGTTGGGGGTGACCGACCAACGCCATATCTTGCCTGACTGCAATTTTGCCACGACGTGTGGCCGTACTGTACCACTTCGTGTACATAGTACAAATCCCCTGGTGTACGTGCGTCACACACACAAGGAACGGTGCGCGTCAACCAGCTAAATGTCCCGCCCATGGGATGTCGTTGCTAGGTAAAAGAGCGCCCTCTTTATTGGTGCACGGAGCCCATACCGTACTAGTTTTGCTAAACGTTTACAAAATTAAATGCAAAGTCCCATCCGTACTCCCACCCCACCTCAGATGATCGACCCACGGTTTGAGAGGCCCACCTACTCCTACAGCACGCTGATCCAGTTTGCCATCAGCAGCTCCAAGTCGGGCAAGATGACCCTGCGAGAGATCTACACCTGGATCGAGGAGACTTTCCCCTACTTCAAAACGGCCAAGGCTGGATGGAGGGTAAGTGTGTAGAATCGAGACTCGTGTCATTTATTCCAGTCAACCCAACCAACAGACCAGTAACCAGAGGCCATAGAGCACATCAATTCATGGGGTGCTGTGGTCCAATGTGGGGTGCTGTGGTCCAGTGGTTACAGAGTTCGACTCGTGTGCCGTGGTACATGGGTTCGAATCCTGACTGTGGGAGCATGGTGCTTGTGCTCTTGAGCAAGGCACTCTTTGCTTTGTCCTTCGGATGGGACGTAAAGCCGTAGGTCCCGTGTGTTGTGTAATGCACGTTAAAGAACCCAGTAACACTTATCGCTAAGAGAAGGGGTTTGCCCCGGTGTTTCTGGCAGTGGCTGCAATATGCCCCGCAGCACCTTGTAAACCCTTATAAGGTGCTACAAAATGGTCTCATATTTCTCATACACTTCATTTACTTGCTATTTAATAAATATATAGACATAATTTTACCTAATTGTTGGTAGATCTACGTGCGCTATATAAGACTCCAGTATTATTCATCAACTTCCCGGCCGCAACAGAGAGCTACAAAAACAGTTTCTAACCCCGGACCATCCGTCAATGGAATCTTCTACCATCTACTATCATACCACATCTACATGTACTTCTGCTAAGTCGTTCAACATCAATCTAGTAAAAAGTAGGAAAGTCTGTCATGAGCCAATGTGGCCCATCAGGTCGGCGTTTATTTCTTTCAGTAGCATAAAACGACTGAGAATATTTCATTTACTTTTCATGCATTTTGTTCTTTGCCAATAATAACACCACTCAAAATTTAAAGGAGAATGTTTAAAGCCTAAACTGTTAAAGTTTCAGCTCAGTGAAAAATACACTTTTCAAGAAAACAGTGAAAAACCTGTGCACAACCTTTTTATCACAAAACGCGATTTCGTCCATAGCACTCTGTTTCCAAAAATCAGTCCGTAGATTAACTGATCGTTGGAAAATGAAAGCAAGCCAAACGGAACAATTTCACTGGGGAAGATTTTTAATCGAAGTAAGGTTTTTTGAAAATAATTTGGCAGGTTACTTTTGGGACAAATGCAAATGATTCTATACGCCTTTAAACGTTGATATATTCTGTGCGCATGGACATTTCTACATTATGTCATCAATTTAAGCAACTTTTTCCTTTGAGGTCCGCATGTCTTTTGCTGGTGTTACTACTTACAGTCGCCATGAATTAGAGGAAGGCCAGCAGAAAATTGCTGTGAAATCGGGCCCTAGTCTCACGAGTGCCAAAGGCTCCTTCATTTCAAAACTCTGCAGTGAAATATCCACTCAGAGCTTAACTTTGTCTCTCTTGTATTTGTAGAACTCCATCCGACACAACCTCTCCCTGCACAAGATCTTCGTTCGGGAGCCCCCGCTGAGCCACGGCCAGCCCGCCTTCTGGACCCTCCGCCCGGGCACCGTGGTCCACCTCCCGGAACACAGGATGTTTGTCGCCGACCCGGAGGGCGGTGGCACCCTCTTGGAAGAAGTAGCACCTCCCCCAGTAGCACCGATTCTGCCGCCCGCGATGGCAGACCAGCAACAGGGCGGAGTGCCTTATTTTATGGGCGGGGCTATGCCGCCGGTTGTCATGGTTCCGGGGCTTCCTGCAAGCATGGCAAGCGCCAATAACTCCAGGGACTGTAAAGGTACGTGAAAAATGAGACAAGCACGGGCTGCTTAAGTTGCATTCACCATGCTATTTCTGACTTTGATACCGAAAAATAGAAGCCTTTTTTAAATTTCTATATTTCTAGATCCTGAAAAATAGATGCCTTTTTAAAAATTTTATATTTCTAGCAAATCATCTCGTCTTCAGAGACTTCAAAACAGATGTGCAAGGCTTATCTTTCAGTCATCCAAACACACCCATACCTCTCCTCTGCTCAAACAATTACACTGCCTCCCAGTCACCCAACGCATTCATTTTCGTACACTGGTTCACATTTACAACTAATACAAGTCACTTAAACACACTGCACCAGATTATCTCTCCTCTCTTCTCACAATCCAAAAGAGTTCTTACTCCCTTCGTTCTTCTGCTTGTGAGTCTCTTTTCATCCCCAAGTCACGTAAACTGGCTGGTGACAGGGCCTTCTCTGTTGCCGCCCCCTGGTTATGGAACAACCTGCCCATCTCCAGAAACTCAGGCAGTGGCTTTTCCTACAAAAAGGCTCTCAAGACCTACCTTTTCCCCCAAACGTAGCTGGAAGTCCTTTTCTTTTTTTTGTCTTCTAATTTCTATTCCTCTTTCTTCTTTTTTCTTTCTTATATCCTTTGGTAATTTGCTGTATATAAATCCAGTTATAATTATTATTAAGTTAATCACTTTTGAATGAGACATCCACCGAAAATAATTGGCAGTCCTCAGTTCATTTTTTTGTCTATTGGAAATTGTTTCATCCCTTTCCTAAAACTGTATTCTATGTATTCTTTCCGTACATGTATGGTTAAAACCCCTTCTCCCTCTATGTAACGTTAACAGGTCCAGGACCGAAAACAAAGAAACCACCACTAATCCTTCCCAGAGGTAGCCAGCCATATGCACTCATCCCTGTCCCAATGCTCCTACCCCCTAACCAGAACGGTGGTCAGACTCCAGGCGACGGCACCCAAGGGGTCCCCCACATCCTCTCCCCGGTCATCATGGGCGGAGTCAGGCGGTTCGCTGCGGCCCAGCGGGTGGTAGGAGGCCGACGAGTGGTCCCGATCGCCCCCAAGATGAATCCTGACGACGGGGCTGCCGCTATCAATCTTGGCTGGGGCGATGGTAATAGCGCCTCGTCGTGCAACCTCAGCTCCGGTTCCGATTCCGCCGTCGACCTCAGCGGGCAGGGCTGGACCTCGAGCCTCATGTCCACCTCTGGAAGCTCTGACAGCTCTGGTAACCCTACGACCCTGAGAAGGGATCTGCCTTACAAGAAGCAGGGGCACGGCCGCAAGTCGCTGCCCAAAATCCGCAAGGAGTTGGACGAAACTGAAGCGGAGGACTCCTTCACAGCATTCTTCGAGCAAGAGCTTGCCTCACCCCCGAAACCCCAACCCAACAAAGGCATGCCCGTTGTGTCCACTCCTTGCAAAGAGGGCGACCTCCAAACCTTTCTGTCGCCGCTCCGCGGGTTCACCCCGTTTAAGAATCAATCCTTAGACCCCGACAGTGGCATCTTCCATGATCTGCACGGCGATCTCTCCTTCACTCCGCTCCGCACCGGGCTGACGCCCAACTATAAGGGTTCCCATCAGAATGCTGCCAGGGGACAACGGTCAAGGGTCGGGTCACTCGGCGAGTTGGGTCTTCCAGGACTGACCCCGGAGAAGGAAGGCGCGTCCACCAGCGGTGGCATTCACAACCAGAGCCTTGGCCAGATCTTTGGGGATCTGGTTGGGTTGGATATGGTGGGTGATGGTCTAGATGCTGGGAATATTAGCTGGTCCATGTTCTCCCCAAACAAGCAGCATGCCAAATGAGTATCTAAGAAGGGGGTTCATTTTTGAATCAATTATCTTGACTCTTTGAGGGTAACCAATGACCAAATCCAAAGTATCTGACAGTGAATATTTATTGTACAACCCTATTTTCAATAAATTTTATTTTAGTTTTTATTTACATACATGTACAGGCATGCAATTTTTCCTCGGATCAGCTGATTTCCTCTTTTTTTTTTTTTTCTTTCTTACCATGTGTGCCACTAAAATAGACAAACACTGCACAAAGTCTTGGAAAGACTTGAATTTCCTTTTTTTTTTTTGCGAATTCCCAGTTGCATGCCTGCATGTACACGTGCAGCAACCCGCCATACTTCAGTATTTATTGGGTTCGAAAATCAAAAGGGGTCTGTATGTTGACGATGCGCCAGTTTGGAATTTCAACTGCGCAAGCGCACAATGATATGTCCCAGGTCATTTGGGATGATCGAACGCTCATCGAAGGCGCATGAACGCGCAAGGAGACAGTCACATGATGCTTAGGCGTTAATTACGAGTAGAGTGAGCATTCGTGTACAAGACGCTCGAGTTGTGTACAAGATCCTTGACTCCTTGAGTCGTGTCAGCGATATTATACCGAATGACTTCTGGTCCGGACTACATGTATTTTGTCGAGAAATTGGCTTATCTTTCATTCCTTGATATCAAACAAATTGTTATAAAAAGGCAGTTGTTTAAAAAAGAGAAACAGACTGAATTAGAAAAACTATTTGTACAATTGTACATTACTGCCTTATCCCTTTAGCTTGCTAAACAACTCTGTATTAAAAGAGATTGGCTGGGAGTTTTTAAGTTTGGTTTGTCAAAGTTAACAATTTTTTTCATATTCAAATCCATCTACCGGTAAGTGTAACACTTCGTTACTAATAAGAAAAATGTATTGAGCAGTATTTACATGTAGCTATTTTTTTATCAACACAAAGGAATATTGGAAGGATTGTTCCCAGTACAGTATCCATATACATGTACTTGATATACATACAGTGTGTGTCAATAAAAACGCAGGATTCAAAGCGATTTTTTTTCTGAGAAAATTATGCTACTGGTGTGCCTAATTTGATAAGGATTTGATTGTCCATAATTTCATCTTTGACAAAATTTTTGTTTGGTGGAATTTGGACTTTTGGTTCAAAAGTTATGACAAGTTTTGTGAAGCCCTTCTGAAGCGGGTTGGTCTGATTCAATGACCTTAACACAACGACCAGTTATGTACAATGCAGGTATGCATTGAAGACAATTAAACCAGAACAAAACTTTCTTTGAAACAACTGATGATAAGTATCACTTAAATTTAACTGGACTATCATTGTTTCAAAGCATCATGAATTATTGACTAATAACATTGATTGTGGACTAAAGGATTATGTAAGCCTAATCCTGCCACACATGTCCTTCTTTGTGATCCACAAATACTTTCACCTTTCAATACTATAACCCTTCTTCAATGTACTCTATCTCTGGACAGGATTGTCCAAATGAGATGGGATAAAAAGCATAGTGAAGAGAAGGAAAGGTACTTTGAAAAGAGGGTTAACATTATGATGAATAGGGGTGGTTTATATTCTTAATATTTTTGTTTCTAATCCTGCGTTTTTATTGACACACGCTGTACAGCAAACACTTCATGGCATTCGACACATGAACCTTGCTACAATATAAGTTATCCCGTGAGCGCGAGTGGAACACAGAATAATGTAATGTGCCTGTGTCCCACATACCACGAGGCCAGCCGAGTGGTATGTGGGACACAGACGCACTACATTTTCCGTGCTGCGCGAGCGTGATAACGAATTTATCTTCAAGCAAACTTGACGCACAGTTAAGATGGAACACGCAGACATCGCATCTTAGAAAAGCGTAACACGCGGAGTGCGCGGTATGGACCGAGGCCGTGCTACATGGTTATATGTAGCATGGCTTGTTGCCATAGATCCACCAATCAGGATCGAGGATTCAAGTTTATTTGAAGAGAAGTTTTGATTTGCTTCTGTCACGAAGCCTTGTAAAAAGTTGTAAATAATTGGAAAGAAAGGAATATATGTGCTGTATTTAAGTATTTGTGAGTGATGCAATTTTTGTATGCAAAATCCTATCATTTTTTGTTTTAACCAGTTTCAAACGTCTACACTTTTAATACTGGTACCTAATGACAGTCATTTGTCTTCAAGCAACTAGAACACCATACCTTTCAGTTTCTCCATGTGGCCTCAACTTACCAGGTTTCTTTATGTTTCAATATATAAAACGGCAATGCCCCTTCCTTGGTCCGTGGTAAAACCTGTTCATTCCCTGAAGCCCGGTTCATACTCCATGCGAATGCGAAGCGTATTTGACGTCATGAAACTTTCGCTGCCAAATTCGCCCGAGTTGAAACATGTTCAACTTTTACAAATTCGCAGCGTGAAAACTTGCCATCCCGTCACAAATTCGCGTTCGCTTTCGCTTTCGCGCCGAGTATGAACCGGGCTTAACGGTGTAAAGCTACTTTTGGCAATTTCTGTTTTTATAGCTGATCTTATTGCATTGTTTATTTGGTTGTACGAGATCCCATGCGTGAAATGGGGAAATAAACTGCGTATTACTCCCAAAGAATGTTTCCTGTGAAAGTGTATGTTTTTTCTTAAAAGAAAACAATAAACATGTACAGTCGAACCCTGATAAGAATAGCACTGTTAATACAACATCCTGCTTATAACAAGCAAAATGATAGGCCCCAAGTCTTTGTTTTTCTTTGTTTTCAATTACTGTTAATACAAGGTACCTGTTATAACAAGGTAATTTGTAAAGTCCCAATGACCTTGTCATAAAGGTGTTCGAATGTGCATGTAATGGTCCATGACGTAGTGTGCAGTCTGGCCAAAACTGCATGGAATAAGTTAACACAGTTTGCAACGAATTCTAAGAATTCTTTTGCACAAGTCCTTTTATGTCCCATTACCTCTCCCACCCAAACTTTGAATTTGTTTTTTTTGGGGGGGGGGGTACTTCTGGGGTACCGCATTATATAATAATAATATTGCTCGCATTATATAATAATAATAATAATACATGTAATAATAATTTGGGAGGCTAATCATCCTTACTCGCAGCTGGTATGCTGAATTGCGAAGGATGCGGCTACAACGTACGACAATACTCCACTATGGAGGGATGTACTTAATGGAAGAAGAAGAAGAATGTGGTCGGTGCATGTAATGAATTCCACGAGGCAACTCTAACTCTTGTAACTTTTTACTTATTTATTTCTACTAAAATCAGAAATATAAATTAGTGGCTTTGTGTGAGTCTTTGTACATGAAAAAAACAAAACGCCCAAACTACAAAAGCACTCCTGCTATGTACACAAACTAAAGTTTAGAAAAGTTATGAAACTCCTTTAAGACAGAAAAAAACAAATGAGCCTAGCGCTCCATTGCATTAAGGTACGGATATGATACGTTAAATTAAAAAGAACATGAAATAAAATCCAATTTCCAAAGTCATGTCTGTGTTATTCATGCGTAGGCTGCACTACATTGCTTCTTGTTTTTTTTTTTAGAATTTGAACAAAAATGTGAGAGGTACATTAGTCTATAAATTTGGCAGTTGACAATTGAAAAGACATTCAAACAAATATCTTGCATGCAGACTTATCACATACTTCGGAAATTCAAACACGTCAACAATACACAACTTGTGTTTTACATGTTACTATGACAACTAACGTCTGAAAGTTGCTCTCTCTGCGGTGTTTTTTTTAAACAGTTTTTAATTGCTTTTTACTTGCAATACAGCAATTATTCACTTTTGAATAAGGGAATAAATGTGTGCTCAGGAGGTTTTAATCACTCTGTTTAAGACCGGTTGGAGTCTGGATGCTGATGGCGAGGGTAATTATCAGCACCCAGACTCCAAGAGGTCTTAAACAGAGTGATTAATACCGACCAAGCACATGTGTATTCCCATTCATAAATACCTTTTCCATCAAAAAAATCAAGACTTTTCGGTCAAAAACCCCCGATTTTGTTCAACAAGTTCACTTCATGTTTTTTGAAACACCCCTCTAGCTTAAAAATGGAGTGTCCAGCTTGCGAGTAAGATGTGAACAACTCCTTTCATGGAGATTGGCGCATGGTCGCACCTACTGCCCGATGTCGCGCAGAATGCACCTGGGGCGTTGCGTTGTGAATTTAGGACTATAAGATATTGACTCACTGGTAGTATTGCGCATGCCTACGTGAGGATTGTGAACGTTCAACCAATAAAACGGTAAGAGGAACTGGATTTTTAGGAGTCCAAATTTCATGTGACACTGGAAAAGTGTTTTAGAAAAGCTAGTCATGTCTTTATCATCCATTTAAGACTGGCCACGTGACGGGCTCTCGACAAATAGGAATGGGTAAACTGTCTTAGGTATTTATGAATGATGAATTGAACAAAAAAAGAATGCTGGAACGAATAAGACCTTGGCTTTTAAAAGGCAAAATCACCTCATGTCACCTCCCGAAAGAAAAAAAAATATTGGAGTCCTGGTTCCCTGCTGTGCATAATGATGGGCAAGGCTACTGTAACCAGTGATATGGGGCCATTACCTGGGTAGGCTGCAGGTCTCAAGAAGTCAACCGAACTAACTCCCGCTGGGCGAGTAACTCCATTACTCAAGTACTCTCGAGTAGTTTATGCTACTCGTTCTACTCGTGGTTTTTCATCTACTCGAGTACTCGTCCTGGCGCGAGTATTTAGGGTTTAGGGTTCACGGCTTAATCTGTCCCGGGCAAACAGGGAATCACTCCCTCCACCTCTCTCTCCCTAGGATTCCATTTGTCAAAAAAACCCCAAAGTCCAAGTAAATGACCCAAAACATGGCACAGTAAGGATAACTCAGTGCTGAAGAATGTAGTGTGACTTGCATGCTATTTGCTTGTGGGTACTTCCCTTCATACTAACATGTATGTCATATTTCTGCTTTTATGGGAATTTGGTTATCTACTTGCGAGTACTCGACTACTCGCAAGTAATTTCTTTGCGAGTACTCGAGTAGAAAAATCAACTTCTCGCCCAGGCCAGCAGAACTAACCCAATTAAAGTTGACTCGCGTGGGTTCGAGCAAAGATAGACAAATATATGAACTCGCTCACGGCTACTTATTTACATAAATATTTACAAGTAGCAAAGACTAGACAGTGTTTGTTGTCCCGTTGGTCGTGACGTTGGGCGTCGGCTCCAGCAGCGATTGGTTGTTGGCGACGATTTGCGGGGAACCACTCAGCATGTCGAGGTTGATGTTCAGCGAGCTGTCGGAGTCTGAATTACCGGCTTGGTTGGTGACTGAAAACTGGAACGTCAAAATAATAATCGTAATTTTAAAAAAATTCCAAATCCTCTAGCGGTGTTGCAGGTGAAGGACTTGTGACGAATCTCAATACATGATGAATATCAATATCACAATCCCACTTCTGCCACCATTTTTCAATGGTGGCAGCAATATGGAAATAAGGTATGGAAATAAGTCTGAGTTTAGTCCAATAAGTGACAGGCATTGCAGACTGACACAGTGCTCAGCTCATAGAGAACGCTTAATTGCTATAGGCCAGGGGTTAAACTAATGAATATTCAAAAGCATATCGAATATTCAATAGAATATTAAATATTCAACAGCGCATTACCTGTTGCTGCTGCGATGCATTTTCCCCCTGCGGGAACTTGGACCTGGGGACCATTGTGGGCGATTCCTCAAAGGAGGTCTCGTTGTCCGAACGGCCGTGGTTAAAGCGCCCTCCGTCGCCCCTGACTCGGTTCATGGCGTGGGCGTGTCGCGACTCGTGCAGGTATTTCTGAAATGTCAACAGAAAAAGAAGAAAAACACACAACAAAATATTAAAAAACCAGCAATGCAAACAAGACCCAGATCGAGATCACTTCTAAAATCTAATCGATTTGTACTTCTACCAAGGACCAGCCCTAAAACATTTTCATGTAAATCCGTACATGATATAGCTTGACTTACCACAGCCTTATTTTATTATCAATACGTTCAGTTGGAAATGGTTGATTGGTCTGCAGAGAAACCAAAGTTTTCTGATTTTCCTCTGTGCATGTCCGGACAAACGCATTTAACAGCTAGCCGTGAGTGGGTCTGTATATCGGTTTGACTGGGCCTGGGCCAATTATGCACAATGAACCATTTGCCGTATGGCTGTATTCGGAAATAGAAGTACTCGTACTTGTACTCGGAAGCACAAGTACTCGTAGACCTGACCTTGTACTCAGAAGTACAAGTACTCGTACTCGGAAAAAAAGTACTCGACTACAACACTGCATTTCAGACTGGTGTTCAAGAATCGCACCAAACTGTAGACCAGTCTGGGCACGCTATCTCGAAGGCCCTCCTCAATGGCGAAAGCATTGAGCTAGCTATTGTTCGGATAATCCGTCACAGGGCAGTCGCTTTGTACAATAGCGTGCATAATGGTTTCTCCATGGAAGGGGGCCTCCTGAGTGTACAGTGATCAGTGATTGTCTGCATTATCCCAAAGACTTGAAGTACACGACAAGTTTGATGTTGAAACTGTTAGGAACCACTATGTGGAGTGCCGTGACCTAGTGGTCTGGAGCATTGAATTTGTGGTCTGCGGGTAATTCTGCAGGTTGTGGGTTTCAGTCTAGCCTGGGTTATTGTGTATGTGCCCTTGGGCAAGGCACTTTGTCACTCATGCACTTCTCCCCACCCAGGAGTAAAATGGGTACCTGTGAGGGCAGAGATGGTTATTGTGACTGATTCTAGCTGCTTTGCGCCGAATGGCAGTATCGAGCTGTATACTCCCCATGATTGTCTTTGGAATGTTCCATTGGCCCAATGAGCAGGGTAATAATGATGTAGCGCCTTGAGCACCAATACTGGTGGATACATGCACTTTATAAAAACACATCATTATATTGCTGAGAGATCGACTGTTGTAATCATTAAGAATGACACCAAAGTCTAGTCAACGGAAAATTAATACATGACGTTCCTCTGTTTAAATCCAGACTCTACAAATCTGTTGGTCGATACGTTGATTAATGATTTAAAGAAATTATCCAAAACGCCTAGTCTGTAATCTCCTTGACCATTACACTAGATCAATGTTTGAGATATGAACAATGCATTTTCAGGTGTATTCACTGAGCTCTTAAAATCCCTGTCACGGACATTGCATAACGCTGGAATTGCTCAAGTTTCAAGAAAAAAAAAAAAAAGAGAGCAAAAAAGAGAGAGCATAGCCACTGACCCTTCTTTCCTTCGGGATGCGACCTTCCGCCTCCAGCTTAGCCCTAGCTTGTCGGCGCTTCAGTATCCGGTGGTACTGCTTGGCGTTGACGTACAACGGTTCCTCCTCCAGAAGCTCCGCCCCTGGAAGGGGTATTCTCTGCATGGTTGGTACCCCGCCAGACCCGGGAACCATCTGCATCGTCAGGCAAGAGTTTTGTTTGTTATTACAGGGACTTTTCTTTTTCAGGAAAAAGAGGGTTGGGGTTAAGGGACTAAAGAGAGTACGCACTGTTCTGTGAAATGGGCTGCTGTAAAACTGGCTATTCGTGGTTTCGCTTTTGGGGGGAACGAGTAACATGTTTTCATTTCAAAACCTAGACTGCACGAGTACAGTGATTCAACGGAAACAACAAGTACCGAGTCTCTTTTCTATACACAGACTCCACAGTCAAGCAATTAAACAAACAATTTTTTTTTCGAAAAGACAGTCTTGTGCCAATCAAAGTCAGGTTGGCATAGCGGTTCTTTCCTCGCCTTCCACCGCTGTGAACCGGGTTCGAATCCTGCTTGGGCCAATATGTGGATTGGGGTTTTCAGTCCCTGCCTAATTCCATGGGTTTTCCCCAAAATAAGCTTCTGGGATATTCCTCCCACCTCTAAAACTGTCATTTCTTCTCACCGTCTTCTCTCTACAGGTTTCTTCAGGCTTGGGAGCTACAGTGACTACTGCGCTTTTGAGGAATCCTTGGTTTCATTACCAGAAATAATTAATAATAATAATAATAATAATAGTAAAGTCTCGGTGCATTTAGCAGCCATATTTGAGGTGTTCTTTGTTTTTAATTCAGTAACATACACATGTGCAAGAGCTCTTTTCATGTTGATCTCTTTGGAACAAAAGTGTACACCTAAACAGATGACTTCACTGCAAAGGGTCGATAGCAATTTTGGACCCACATAATTTTCGGACTCAAAACTTACCATGACTATTCCGCCATCTGAGTTGACCGGCATGGTGGCCATGAGCGAGTTGGCGTTCTGAGTTGTGGCCTGGTTGGTCTGTGGGAGACCCACCGAGGTACCGGTACTGGTGTCGGCGTTGGTGACGGGCTGGTATAGGATGGTCTGACCGTCGGGGGTAACAAACTGCTGCAGCTGTGCGCACAAAAAGTGAGAGGTTTTGTATAAACTGGGCAGTGTCGAGGTCGAGTAGATCATTTGCAGCTATCCCAAAGGTAACTGACGAAATTATTGTTGAAAAGCATACTTGGTTTAAAGGTGGTAATAGTACTAAAACTCCCTGTGAAATCATTCTTTCTGGCATGCTATCATTTTGAAGAAAACAATAAAAGAAGGCCTTTTCCAACGATGCGTCTACAGACGCATTTCTGGAAATTTCTGTTACTAGTTCATTTTTAATTCGGCAAAGCCATGAATGAGTGCACGCAAGCGTTGAGACGACACACACACGTGCCCTGTTGCTATTATTCGTCACTTCAGTGCGCGACATTCCATAAATGCAAATTACTGAATGAGAAAGTGTCCCGGACACTGATTCCGGGCGCAATTCAAAACATGACTCTGCAACTTTTGAAATGAAATTGAGATCCTAGAATAGTGTTTTCTCAAAATATACAGCATTCACTGAGCTAAAACTTCATCAGGTTTAGTTGTTAAGCACCCTTCTTTAGATTTTGAGCACTTTTGTTGCTTTCAAATGAAAAAAAAATGCACAAATGATGTACTCTACCTTAAATGAACTGTGACAAAGAAATTCTTTTAATGACTTTTGGCTGTAAATCTGTACTTAGTCTTTTACTAAGCAACTATTTTATGAACTCAGCAAACTTTGTGCTTTGAAGCTCTGGCGTTGCCTTAAAATTTGTCTGCGAAAAAATGCACTGCTTGACAGCAACCGACCTGAAGTTGACCTCCGCCTTGACCTGCGACCTGCTGCTGACCCGACTGCAAGATGATTGGCTGCGACTGGGGCTGTTGCTGTACTGTGATCTGCTGTGCTTGCTGCTGCTGTTGTTGTTGGGGTTGCTGTTGGGTGGTTGCCGTTGCTTGCTGTTGCGGTTGCTGTAGTTGGACCTGTTGCGGTTGCTGCACCAATTGTATCTGTACAAAACAAACAAAATGGTTAACAGTCCTCCCATTACTGACTGTGCATAGGTGACCTGGTTTTATAGACCATTATATAACCGACATACAGATCCTTGTCATTTGTTTGGTGGAGCTCACATCACATGGAATTCGTTATTGCTCCCATTCACGCCACAGCTCAAAAAGTACTATCCGCCCATGGGGAATGGGAAATACTATTCAACAGTTAGGATCATGACGCGGTATTTGTGTGCAAATGCATGCTGGTGTGCGCGTTCAGCGTTGCGCGTAGCGCGTATTGTTCCAAAGAGCCAGCGCTACAGCGTTGGGTTCAAACATTTTCGTGAAGGTGTGGTTTGGAAGAGAGAAATACATTTTCTTCCAGTTTTGTATTAAAAAAAAGTTCAAATATATCAAATGACAAGGATCTATATGTCAGTTATATAAAACAAATATTGAGTGGCTTTAAATTGTGAAATGGGAGGAATATTATCGCTCGGTAAAATCTGGACTTTTCCCTTTCACTCGGCTTTGCCTCGTGAAATGGAAAAGTCCAGATTTTACCTTGCGATAATATTCCTCCCATTCCACGCTGAGCCACTCAATATTTGTATATTATCATGTTGCAGCCATTTGACTTTTTCCCATTCAAATCAATGTAACCAAAGCGAGGCTGGATGGACAAATAGTCCGGTTTCTTTTTTGCACAAAAAACATTATCATTCAGTACTGTTATTGGATACAGGGAACATGACTGAAATGGTGGCAGCACGATAAAGGTCTATAGCTTGTACAAGGCAATCCTGCACAAAAACCGAAGCCATCCTGAATTTACCTGCGCTTAATCAGTTCGCGCCAGAGGCTGTGCATACACGCAAAGCTATTCGGTATTCGGAATGGATGACAGATAAACACGCAACGAGCGAGGCCGGAAATAACTGTCAGCGACCCGCTCGCGGCGAGCGAGGCCGGAAATATGAGTGTGCTGCCCGAGGGTGATGGCTTCAACCCGCCTGGCATGGGGTTGAAAAGTCATCACGTGCCTCGTTCCGTCCTTATCAAAATAATCCTAGCATGAACTGGTTAACCAGAAATCGTAATGAAACCTAGACCAGATAGGCGATTGTTTTGAGATTTTTCAACCAACTGATGTCTCCACGAAACTGACCTGCTGTACTTGTCCATTTTGGCCGGTGACCTGCAACATCTGGCCCACCTGCTGCAGCTGGACGGTGCCCCCTTGATTGCCGGCTAGCTGGATGGTGATTGGCTGGCCTGAGGCCATGATCTGACCGCTTCCCCCGACCTGAACGACTTGCGTTTGCTAAGCGATGGGAAAACAAACAAAAACCCAAAAGTTGGACATGTACTAGTCTAGTCTTAGGCCTCAAATTGAAATCACTTGGGTTTTACTAAGTGCAAAATGTTGAAGAAAACTTTCCTTTAAAAATTTAATTGAGACCTCAAACTTGAGGACCTTGTCTTTACCTCATAAAAAAATGTGGAGAGTTTTGTCAGCTATAGACAGAGTAAAGTTGGCCCGATTTGTTTTGCATGTTTGTTAATTGGCTACAGCCGGCAATAGAGCGGGCAAGTTGAAATCAAAAACTATTCAAACTTCCTTCCTTCCTTGAAAGTGCAGCCTAAAATATATGAGGATAAACACACTGCCAGAAACACCGGGGCGAACCCCTTCTCTTAGCGATAAGTAGTACTTGGTTCTTTTACGTGCATTATACAAAGCACGGGACCTACGGCTTTACGTCCCATCCAAAGGACGAAGCAATAATGGTTAAGTGTCTTGCTTAAGGACACAAGTGTCAAGACCAGGACTCGAACCTGCTGATCAGAAACACCAGAGCTTGAGTCCAGCACTCTTAATTGCTCGGTCATGACACTCCACAGTTTGGGCCGTTGCTACAGTTGAGGAATAAATAACATAAAAGTTGCCAACCTGTTGTTGACTGGTTTGAGCTACTTGGATCTGCATGGGCTGTGCCTGGGTTGTGATATTCTGAGCGCTGGTCATCTGTTCCGTGTTAGCTAACGTTAGGCCAACAGAGACCGATGATTCCATGTGCAAACTTCACAAAGAACCCTCCTGATAAAGCCACAGTAAAATCAGAAATTCAAACACAATCTTCATTATGTGTCCTCATTTTGTTCTGTTAGTGTTACTCCATTAAGGCCGACTAAAAAAGAAACTTTCTCGTCTGAGCTTTTTTTTTTTAAAGCTATAGTCCATCATTTGCAGCTATCCCAAAAGTAGCTGGCGTAATTATTGTTGAAAAACATACTTGGTTGAAAGATAGTAAGGGGACTAAACTCCCTGTGAAATTATTCTTTCTGGCAAACTGTCATTTTGAAGTAATCAACGAAAGAAGGCCTTTCCAACGGTGCTTCTTAAGACGCACCGTAGGAAAATTTAAATTAGTAGTTCGTTTTGTTATTTGGCGAAGCGCGCGCAATCATTGGCACGACGCACACGCACCCCCGGTTGCTATAAATCGTCAGATCAGTGCGCGACATCGCGTAGCTGCATTCGGCTCAGCGAGAACGTGTCTCGGACGCTGAATTCAGGCGCAATTCAAAACATGATTCAGCAACTTTTGATTTGAAATTGAGATCCTAGAATGCTGTTTTTCTCAGAATATACTAGCTGAAGCTGAGCTGAAACTTTATCAGGTTAGTTGTTCAGTACCCTTCTTTCAAACGAACAAAATGCACAAATTACAAATGATGGACTATAACTTTAAAGGGGGCGGCCCTTTTTCCCCCAAGATGGCAAATTTTCCATAAAGGCAAATGGATTCTTCCATTTCAAGTCTCAACTCTATAGCTGATACAAAATTTGAGAAGCTGAGCCGCACCGCGCTTTGTGGCAAGTGTGACTGGTGTGTGCGCTATATGCATGGAAATCGACTACGCATTGCCATTCCTTTGTACAAGAATGGTTGTTTGTGCACAAATCAACGTCCGCTCTGGCCGGCGACGCTAACTCGCAGCCTCGACACCATGGGCGCGTGCGTGTTCCTTGCACTAACCCCTGGCCGTGATGTACACGTAAATGATGCTGATTGGCTATTCAGAGCGCACTGCGCCCCCATTTCGAAGATTGCACGCATGAGACAGACCAATCACAGGGCACTTTGATTGGTCACCTGGATTTCAAAGTGCTTGCCAGGAATTAGTCTAGCCAGAGCCTTGCACAAGTCTATATTTCCTGAATTCAAAATGGAAGCCTCAAACAAGGATGTGTGACCATGGAGCTGTGTTTATAGCTCCATGGTGTGACAAGGATGTTTCCCGAATTGAGGTGAAATTTCTCTTTTCTTCCCAAAGGTATGTGAACCTAACCACCACCATTTGTATCATTTCCGATTCCCACTGAAGCGTACAGGGTGCATAAGGCAGTTTGAAGACTGTTTTGGGGTGAAATCTGAAGATTTTGATTGGGGTTACGAGTGAAAATGGTAAAAAAACATTATTAGTATAAATAGTAACGCAATACGGCTATGTACCTAGGACTCTACTATCACCCGACCATGTCCAAATGTTAAAAAAGGCGGACTAGGCCTACCGTTTTTGTGGGACATTGTTTTGGAAAATTGTGATAAACATGATAAATGGAGAAACACTTTGTAACATGACTAAATTAAAGCAAGGCCTATTTTAATATGATCATGAGTTATTTCTAAACATGCTAAAGGTGATACAAAGGTAAAAATTTTAAAACAAACACCGTCGAAGATCGACTCGACTGCATCATTGCATACATGTGCATGTATTGATGTACAATACAATGTACATAACACATGTACATGACATGACGTACGCCACTCGTCAACGGTACGGCCGTACGGGTACGGAACGTCAACGAGCTTTGGCGCGCCACAAGAAGATTATCGCGTACGCCATGACAGCGCAAGCCACAAAGGGCAAACCTCTCCCAGTTCAAATGTCCAACAATTTCACACGATTTTCTACAACAAATCGGGCCGAAATTGCCCACAAATCATCAAAAAGTGCCGCTGAAGAATACTGATCTGCAGATGGTCCATAGTTTTCGCGGATTTAGGGAATCTAAGACTTACAGGTGCACCTGGAGTTTTTGATTGGCTGTAAAGAGCGTACTGTCCACGTCCAACGAATAGGAAGAAAGGCAGACAAGAGGTTCCCTCCACTGAAAAATCAGATCGCGTAGAAATTAACATGTCATGAATATTCAAATTGTGTGCCAAATAATGAATGAAAACTGTTTATTTTTTAACTGGACTTTTGTTTTGTTGCATGGCTTTCTTATTTTATTTTTAACAATGATTTCTTTTTGATCATTACAACATTTAAAAAAAGATTCCACCATAAATAAAAACTGATTAAAGTTTAAATAGAGATTGTCATGTGACCAGAAGTCCAATTTGCATATCACGGTGCCGAAATGCACTGTGGGATGTCAACATGGCTGCCTCCAGTGGAAGTTTGTTGGCCTGGGTACGTCTGTTTTGGTTTTGATATTTGTAGGTCTCGTAAAAGAAGACAGTTTGAACTTCTCATTTCATAAGTGGTGTTGTATTTGAAACAAAGTATACGACTGAATGTGATTGAAGTTTTTTTGCCTCACATTTCCCTGATTTAAATGTGGAAAAATGAGCTAAAATCAGCTGATGCTGCACTGCGTCTGGTGAACATGTCGAATGCAGTGCAGTGTAAATAGACACTTAGCCTGTGTGTAGAGCGCCCTCACAGTGGTTGTGGCAGGTTTTGCTTTGTATATATTTTGGCAGTGGATATTCAGCTGGATCCAGCTTTTTTTTAGTAAACGATATTTTGCCAGATAGGATAGGCACTGCCAGTGCCACTGATTGACTGAACATGCGCAGTGACTGGGTTTTAATATTTGTTTGTAATACTGTATTGTTGATGTACCCTAACGTGGCGCGGCCCCTAACGTGGCGCACTTTGATTTTTCGCCTGTAGCACCTAGCTACAGCAAAAGTTTTAACTGAAATTTCACAGAAAGTGAAATTTCATCAAGTTCTAAACACTCCCGTTTATAAATCGCGAGTTTATTTACCCGCTACAAAGTTAAAAGAAAAATTTCTTTTGGCGTGATTTTCCGATTTTATTTTCAAGTGCAAAGTGAACCCTTTGAAAATGCCCCGAAAAATAAGAAAATAATTTTCTGACAAATATCTGGCTGGGTATGTAAGTAGAGATAATAATGACTTATCAAAATTTATCAAGTTTACAGAAATTCTTAAATGTTAATTTGGAATTTTCCGAGATTTATTTAAGTGCGCCACGTTAGGGAACACTCTGCCAATTTGTGCCCAATTTCCGGACGCCACCGTTTTTCAATTTCGGCTTAAATTTTATGAAACCGAAATTGTTCACAGAGGTTAAATAGCAGGCATTAATAAGGTAAAAGTACCAGTTTTTCACTGCATGAATTTGAGGTTTGTCAACACAGAGGTTTGGCAACACTACACGAGGAAAGTTGGGTAAGCTTCGAAGTGCGCCACGTTAGGGAACACGACTATATTTTGGGACTTCAAATTTTTTAACCGTCATATAGCTGCTTAGTGTTGTGACTTCGTTATCGTATTCACGAGACGGGAATCAGACCATTTTACAGTTTGGGTCTTTATTTCCCTTTAAAAAATCCTCCAGAGACAAAATTATTGCAACCTGATGCCACTTCAGCGGTTGTGTTCAAAGTCTGTGGAGAGTCAAGAAATTTTCCAAGTATTTCCTAACAAAATTGGAAATGTTTCTCAGTCCCAGGTTCATGTCTTATCATCATTTTTGCAATGACTGACCTTCATTGAGATGATACACATGATATATGAAGGAAAAAGTGGCGTCAGGTTGAAACATGTTTTCCTCCTCCAGAGCTACGAATCAAAAAAAGAATTACTCTGCAATTTAATAAACGTTGGAGTCAATATAAAATAATAAATGTTTCAAGGGGGGCTTGAAGTAATTACGTCATGCATCCCGAAGAAATTAGCGTTTCCCAGCACCCTGTAGGCTATAGGACCTATGTACTTGACATTGGTAGCACGGTGGGTACTAGCCCCATAAATGTGGCCTATTTACTGGACTGCCTCCGTAAACATAGGCCACACATCCACATGTACAAAAACGTGTCGACTTTGCCAAATTTTGATTTTCACATTTAGACTTACTTTGTAGGTTTTTTTTGCTTTAGAAGCATTCTCACCCTCTATAGGTATAGGCTAATCAGAAAGTGCTGCCTTTTTCAGATGTCTAATTTTTGTGAAATTTCATGTTGAAATTTTGATACTCAAACGTGTGCAAATGTATCTGGAAATTTCACGAAAAATGGACATCTGAAAAAGGCAGCACTTTCTGATTAGCCTATATAGAGGGTGAGAATGCTTCTAAAGCAAAAAAAACCTACAAAGTAAGTCTAAATGTGAAAATCAAAATTTGGCAAAGTCGACACGTTTTTGTACATGTGGATGTGTGGCCTATGTTTACGGAGGCAGTCCAGTAAATAGGCCACATTTATGGGGCTAGGTGGGTACGAGCGAAGTGTAGACATGATAGGCTTTCAATTTCCTCAAAACAGCTTTTCCTCGCATGTTGCTATCACCGCTGTGCAGCTCACAATATGGAGGATCAGTTCCGTATTTGAGCAACTTTTATGGTGCTAGCATCAGCATGGTCACGTCACTCAGTGGGCTAGCTGGGCTTGATTTGTTATTGATTTCCTATTCAAAATTCACCCTTGGACAGTAAGAATAGATCCCTACGGTGTTATTTTCTAAATTGTTATTCTGAACAAGTGGAGGCGAAGAGGCACAATTGCAGAATACCCCGCCACTCGATCTATCCACCTCGTAGCCGGCTACGAGGTCACGGTTGGTTGACCTCAATAAACATTCTCAGCGCTACTTGTATGTACTATGCGTCATGCTCCATTGCACTCCCACTTCGTAACCGCGTAGCCGCCAACAGGGTAGTTGGTTTGGACTTGGAATTTTTTCGGCAACTCCCATTCCTTTTGTGTTGCTTCGTTTTCAAGCATATTCAAGGGGACTCCCACTCCGTATCCGCGTAGCCGCCAACAGGGTGGTTGGTTTGGACTTAGATTTTTTTTCAGCAACTCCCATTCCTTTTGTGTTGCTTCGTTCTCAAATAATGGACCCCCACTCAGTATCCGCGTAGCTGGCATGGACTTGAATTGTTTCTTTTCCAGTGATTCCAACCTCGTAGCCAGAGAATTTAGGGGTGTATTTTCGAGTGGCGGGGTATTCTGCAATTACTCCATATAAGATGCTGGCACCATGGAGCTCCATGCTGGAAATGCCATCTTATCTTTGGTCCGAGTGCCAAATCGTTGATATTGAATCAGGTTGTGAAGTAAATTACTCTGTTTCTATCCAAAGGGGGCCAATAGCTTTGGGCAGTTGGCATTGGGGCACACACGAGACTGCCTAATACCAGAAGTGGTTGACCACCCACCCGAAGGCATCGTTTCACTCGCTGGGGGAGCTGGGCATACAACCTTGTTGACAGGTATAGGCAGTAATTCAAGTCATCACAAGTCAGTCACGATAAGCCTCTGTACTGATGACGTCACACTTTGTTTGAACACGTGTGCTTTCTTATGGGAGCCTGGTGGGATTACTGTTTCGTAGCCCCATAGAAAAGCGCACAAGTAAACAACGTGTGATGTCATCAGTACACAGGCTTATTCAGCCACAAGTCAGTCACAAGTCAGTCACAAGTCAGTCACAAGTCAGTCACAAGCCAGTCGCAGGTCAATCACAAGTCAATCACAAGTCAATTATAAGTCAGTTACAAGTTAATCACAAGGTATAGTCGCAATTCATTCTGATCTCAGTCACAAATCAGTCACAGGTCAGTCACAATTTAATCACAAGTCAGTCACAATTTAATCTCAAGTCCATCACATTTAAAGGGAATATACATCATTTGCTTTTGCTGTAATTTTCAGAAATGGATGGAATTGGGGGGTTGAAAATATATAGTTTTTATACTTTTTTGAGGTTTTGGGTTTGAAAATGCTATAAAAACCAAGAAAAACAATCATTTTCCTGTAGTCTGGTTCCCTGACTCCATATAAGAAGAAACAGAGCAGTTTACATACATTGGGGAATTGTAAGGTCAGGGAACCAGTCTAGCTGGCTTGTACCCGTTCATAGGTGTGTAAACGATTGCAAACAAGCGCGATGGTCAATTGGGGCCAGTATTTGGAAATAAAGCCAGTTTTTTCCAACGCTGCTCGACCGACCAGCGTTGGAAATTGATACAAAAATACCACTTTTCTTGAAAATGACAGTATACCAGGTGCCATGATTTTACAGGATGCTTTACACTGTCATTCACTAGCAGTCCAGCAAGGTATTTCAAAATGATTTGGTAGTTTTATTTTTTGATGTTTGCAAATGTTGTATTTTCCCTTTAACACAAGTCAATCATAAGTGAATCACATGTCGGTCACAAATCAATTACAAGCCAATCAAGGGCCAAGTCAGTCGCTGGTGAATTACAAGTCATTCAGAAGCCAGTCACAAGTCAGTCACTAGCCAATCAAAAGTCAATCAAGGGACAAGTCAGTCGCAGGTGAATTGCAAGCAAATCACAAGTCGGTCACAACTCAACCACAACTCGGTTATTCCCAAGTCAATCAGAAATCAGCCACAAGTTAACGACAAGTCCATCATCATTTCACCGCAAGTCAATAAGCCAATCACATGTCAGTCACAAGTTATTCAAAAGTCAGTCACAAATCAATTACAAGCCAATCATTATGTCGATCAAGGGCCAGGTCAGTTGCAGATGAATTACAAGCAAATCACAAGCGAATCACAAGCCAATCACAAGTCAGTCACCAGTCAGTCCAATTCAATCACAAGTCAATCACAAGTCCATCACCTTTCCACCACAAGTGAATCATAAGTAAATTAAAGGCCAATCAAATGTCAATCAAGGGCCAAGTCACTTGCAGATGAATTACAAGCAAATCACAAGCAAATCACAAGTCAGTCACCAGTCAGTCCAAGTCAATCACAAGTCAATCACAAGTCCATCACCTTTCCACCACAAGTGAATCATAAGTAAATTAAAGGCCAATCAAATGTCAATCAAGGGCCAAGTCAGTTGCAGATGAATAACAAGCAAATCACAAGTCAGTCACGAGTCAATCACAACTCAGTCACCAGTCGGTCACAAGTCAGTCACAAGTCAATCACCTTTCGACCACAAGTCAATCATAAGTCAATCACAAGTCAGTCACAAGTCAGTCACAAGTCAGTCACAAGTCAGTCACAGTCTGTCACAAGTCAATCACAAGTCAATCACAAGTCAGTCACAAGTCAGTCACAAGTCAATCACACGTCAGTCACAAGTTACTCACAAGTCCATCACTTCTCCACCACAAGTCAATCATAAGTAAATTACAGGCCAATCAAATGTCAGTCAAGGGCCAAGTCAGTTGCAGATGAATTGCAAGCCAATCACAAGTCAGTCACCAGTCAGTCACAAGTCAGTCACAAGTCAGTCACAAGTCAGTCACAAGTCAATCACAAGTCCATCACCTTTCCACCACAAGTGAATCATAAGTCAATTACAAGCCAATCAAATGTCAATCAAGGGCCAAGTCAGTTGCAGATGAATAACAAGCAAATCACAAGTCAATTGCAAGCCAATCACAAGTCAGTCCAAGTCAATCACAAGTCAATCACAAGTCAATCACAAGTCAGTCACAAGTCAATCACAAGTCCATCACCTTTCCACCACAAGTCAATCATAAGTAAATTACAGGCCAATCAAATGTCAATCAAGGGCCAAGTCAGTTGCAGATGAATAACAAGCAAATCACAAGTCAGTCACAAGCAAATCACAACTCAGTCACCAGTCAATCACAAGTCAGTCACAAGTCAATCACACGTCAGTCACAAGTTACTCACAAGTCCATCACCTCTCCACCACAAGTCAATCATAAGTAAATTACAGGCCAATCAAATGTCAATCAAGGGCCAAGTCAGTTGCAGATGAATTGCAAGCCAATCACCAGTCAGTCACCAGTCAGTCACCAGTCAGTCACCAGTCAGTCCAAGTCAGTCACAAGTCAATCACAAGTCAGTCACAAGTCAATCACAAGTCAGTCACAAGTCAATCACGTTTCGACCACAAGTCAATCATAAGTCAGTCACATGTCTATCTCAGCTGGTCAAGTCATCTATTCTGAAGTCACGTGACAAGCTGTCCAAATGACATTTGACAAAGGCATTCCTCTTTTTTTTCTCAAGAATCCCCTGTTTTTTTCATTACCTGAGTTGTAAATTGAATTCTGATTGTCTTGTGAAGACTTCACTACAACTCCGACTCCAGGTGTTGAATTTGTAATGATTTCTGATTGTAAGGGATTTGTGATGGTCATTGTGACAACACATGTTTTGTTTGCTTTTATCCATAGAGAGTGGCAAAGTCTTCATGTGTGGTAGTAACTTCAAGGGCCAACTGGGCCTGGGTCACACACAGAACATGTACAGGCTCGTCGAGGTACCAGACCTCCCACGGATCGTCAAAGTCACATGCGGATGGGACCACACACTAGCAATAACAGGTAAAGGGAATGGCTGACGCGATGTGGGACATGATGCAGTACTTTGCCAATTAGGGTGGCATGGGTGGCTTGTGCGTAAAGCGCTCGCCTCTCACCAAGGTGACTCGGGTCGAATCCTGGCCGCGGATCCTGGCCGCGCCGCGGATCACATGTGAGTAGAGTTGTGCGTTGGTTCTCTTCTGTGCCACAAGTGGGTTTTTCTCCGGGCCATTCGGTTTCTCAGGCTGTGCTCTGTGGTCATATATGGGTCGATGTGGCCGGCAGCCATAGGCGCCTTTACGTGCCAGCGGCCTGACCACGTTGTAGACGCGTCCTTCGCAATTCAGCATACCAGCTGCGAGTAAGGATGATTAGCCTCCCAAATTATTATTATTATTATTATTACATGTATCTCACTGATTTCATTTGTACATCCCTCTATTCTCTCTGTTATCAGATAAAGGCCATTTGTTCTCCTGGGGGTCCAACATGTTTGGTCAGCTTGCCCAGAATGCGAGGAGACCGGCCAGAATTCCGGTGAGTTAATCCATTATTTACATATTTCATTCTTTTAAATGATTTAGTTTTAGTTCTTTCTCATGGCATTGTTTCTGATAATGGCAGTTTTGGAGGTGGGAGGAAAACCCAAGAATGATATTTCAGCGGAACCAGCAAAATCAGACAGGGACTGAAAATAATGATAATACATGTTGTAATGTGATGCTTATAGAGTGCTTTTTACCAAAGTCTCAAAGCATGACCGCTACACTATAAAGAAGAAAATGTGTGTATGTGTATGTATGTGTTCATGAGTTGCTCGACCCCGAAGCGGGCGACAGGCGGCACACCTGCCTCCCCCGCCTCGTTTCACAATATTACCCGTGTTAAAGCTATAGTCCATCATTTGCAGCCATCCGAAAAGTAACTGGCGAAATTATTGTTGAAAAACATACTTGGTTGAAAGATAGTAAGGGAATTAAACTCCCTGTGAAATTATTCTTTCTGGGAAGCTGTCATGTTGAAGTAATTAACGAAAGAAGGCATTTCCAACGGTGATTCTTAAGAAGCACCGTAGGAAAATTTAAATTAGTAGTTCGTTTTGTTATTCAGCGCAGCGCGCACAAGTATTGGAACGACGCACACGCGCGCGCGGTTGTTATAATTCGTCGGATCAGTGCGCGACGTCGCGTATAGCTGCAATTCAAAACAATTCAAAACATGATTCAGTAACTTTTGATTTGAAATTGAGATCTTAGAATGCTGTTTTTCTCGGAATGTACAGCTGAAGCTTAGCTGAAATTTCATCGGGTTAGTTGCTCAGTATCCTTCATTAGATTTTGAACTCTTTTGTTGCTTCAAACGAACAAAATGCACAAATTACAAATGATGGACTGTAGCTTTAATCAGGCCATTTCTGCAGCAGCTCGAGACCAGCGCAATCTGGCCTCTCACCTTCGCAGGTTTCCATTTATATACCCCTGGATGGAGAGGGGCACTCGTAGTAAAGTATCTTGCCCAAGAACCAGGCCTTGCAAAGTGTTTTAAAATGTAGTCACCCTCCGGGCAGGGGTGCTTAAAATCTGGTTGCCCGAATTTCATTTTCAGTTGCCCAATAAATATTGCCTAAAATTGAAAGCCAAATCCTAATAATATGACTCAGCTGAGTCAAAATGTCCATATTAATATCATGATTAGTGTTTGATGCTGTGCACATGTATGGGATTCTGGAACTTTCGAAAATCCCATGGACTAAAATAAAGTGTAAAAATGTGTGAGTATCGGTGAAAAAAAGTGGTTGCCCGCCAGGCTGGCAACCTGGAAGTTTTGGTTGCCCGAAAAAATATTTTGGTTGTCCCGGGACGTCGGGCAGCCGATTTCACGAGCCATGAGAACACAAGCACCATGTTTCCTGTCAGGATTCAAACCCATATGATAATAGTAATAACGAATGTCACGTGATGTGAGTTCCACCAATCAAATGACAAGGATCTGTATGTCGTTTATATAAAACTAAATATTGACCAGTACCCAAAACCGCGTTTCTGCATTTCTTACACAGGCTTTTCCCTCGGGGCAAAAAGTCGTAGACATCGCTGCTGGCCTGAGGCATTCCCTGGCCGTGACGGAGGACGGCCGGGTCTGGTCCTGGGGGAGTGGTGTCAAAGGTCAACTGGGACGGTTTGACGACCAGGCGCGAGCAGGAGGTCAGGCGGGGGCGGAGTTACGCGTGGTGCCTGAGAAGTCGGACCAACCCCAACCAGGTAAAAAATTGCAACTACCTATTTCTACACTAACTATACCTAAACCTAACTAACACTAACTATCATTAAAATTCCACCTCCTATTTTTCAGGGGGAGATTTTAACTTCAGTAAAAATTCCATCTTACCAAATAGTGGCTGGTTGGGGTGCACACTGCCTTAGCACATTTAAACCAGCCAGCTTTTCCTGGCAGTCTTGATCGTCGAGTGATAAGACATTTGCACTAATAAGCAGGAGGTCGTGGGTTCGAGTCTGGCCCAAGCAAACTTTTCTCACATTTTTTTCCTAAAAGCCTTCCAAAGAATTGAGTGTAAAGAGTGTACAGTGTTCTCCAACCTGTAAGAATAACCTGGTGCCCTGCCTTGCTTTCTGAGGCACTCGCCATGCTTAAAAAGCTGCCGCCATGCTTACAAAGTTGCCCGCCATGCTTCAAAAGTTGCAGCCAAGCTTCAAAAGTTGGCGCCATGCTTAAAAAGTTGCCCGCCAAGCTTCAAAAGTTGCGGCCATGCTTAAAAAGTTGCCCGCCATGCTTTAAATTTTTTTTAATAATAATAAAAAAAGACACACAAGTGGGACTACCCTTACCCTCTAGGGTATACTTTGGCCAGAAACTCTGCCAAAAGCAGTAACATGCACCACTTGTCAAACTGACAAGCCTGCCCATTATAGCAATCAATCAGGTCAAAAGTCTCAAGGCCAAACTGCCTCAGAGTCCCTGGTCACTGATGTATTAAAAAAGATAATGCTGAGCCAGTATTGTACTTAACTGTTACTGTTTTAGAAATGGCCTAAAAGCTGTTATCCATACATAAATTACATGTTCATCTGAAAATAGCACCCCCAGCACCGCTTTTTGACTGCGCACCGACCTTTAATTTTCAAAGTTGGAGAACACCGAGTGTGTGAAATTGTTTTCCCTTTTTCTTCACAGTTGACTTTGGCGAGGAGACGGTCAAGATAGTACAGGCTGCAGCCGGAGCAAACCACAGTGTAGGGTTATCTGGTAAGTCTTCCTTAACCCTAACCACCCCATCTCCATCAAAATCCATCCCCAATTTTGATGGATTTCGTGGGGACCTGGTCCAGAAGGCCTGGCGTGACTAAATATTGATGGAGTACGATAGACTTGGGCCTAATGGCCTGAAGCAGTGCTAGGGGTATCCGATTGGTTTTGCCTAGCTTCCTGTACTGCTATTGTGATAAAAGCCATGTGTAGCAAGTCCATGAATGTCAACCAGTGCGTCAGTGGTGGATTCCGTAATGTCATGTACAGTTTTGTATTGACGCACAGTGATTGATGGATTTTGAGGGGATTGGTCCAGTTCCTAGTAAAAGACGCTAGGGAGTTAGGGTTCATGCTATTGGCGCTCTGCATCAACCGTTGAGGGCAGCATGCGAATTAGTCAGTAAATACCACTCTCACATCCTTGATTGAATGGCGAAAGTGGATTGCATTTATGCTAGGCATGTTTGCTAGGATGCAACCTCATCCTGCAAAATCCTCCAACCCCCTCCATGTAAAAATTGCATACAGGCTCAATCCTGCAAAACCCTCCGTTATTTCTTGAATGTAGTCCTTGGAGGGGTGATCACGCACTGTCAATAGGTTGAGGCAGAGCCAGTGACATCCTGGAGCAGTGCGGACGATTAAACGTATAATCTAGGCCTAAATTTATGCATGGCTGAGCGTAAACAACACAAGAACCACCCCAAGACCTTGACACAGTGCATCCTCCAAAATCAGCCGCACCTTTTTGCCATATAGCCTTAATCCTGCAAAATCATCCATTTTGCAAAAAAGCATTTTGGAGGATTTGGGAAGGTTAAAAAGTGAACCATTGTGATGTGGCCCACGCTGTTTCAGTACGCCCAAGACTTTCAGTCGCTCTGGAGGCAAAGCCATCATTATTTTATTTTTTTATAATAATATTTATTTATTCAATATTTATTGTTGGTAATGCAACCAAGCATTCTCAAAAGCCCCCATGGCATTGTAGTATACAAGCCTGAGGAAAGCTGTGGAGAGATGAGGATACAGAAATGTGCATTTTAGTTAGTGAGAGTGAAAATCTAAATAAATATTCTGGGGCAAACCCACGGAATCAAGCAGGTACTGAAAACCCAATCCACATGTAGACCAGGGTAGGAGGGAACCCGGGCCATAGAGGTGGAAGGCGAGGAAAGTAACCACTGGGGAAACTTGACTCCCCGGTTGTTTTTATTATGGCGCAGTTCCACAGTGTCGGACGTTCATTTTGGACAATTCAACAGTGTGCATAATTATAGTTACAATCGTAAAGAGGACTTTAATTCTGATAATCGGTATCAGTTTATTAATACAATGATTTAAAAAAGAAATTATTCAATTCTTTTGCTTTAGAGCAAATCGTGGTGTTGGACAAGGTCAGACAAGTTCAGTTTTTGTGTACATAATTATAAAAAAAAAATTCAGTTAAAAAGTAACAGCTGAACAGTTGAACATTGTTCGAAATAAACTATATTCCAATGAAATACAGAAAATAAGTTTCATAATGATTTGCATGTTTCATTTGTGGCATTTGGATCTTTTGAAGTTTTTGCATTGAGATTTATAATTCCGTGGAATTGCCCAAATGGTTAAAGAAACTCAGTTTGTCTCTGTTGTTCTTGTTTTGCCCCCAAGACGAGGGGGTAGTCTACGTGTGGGGGGAGAACAAGCGGGGACAGCTCGGTGAGGAGCCGTCGTCAGACAGCGTAGCCAAAGCTGACATCATTCCCCTCCCAAAAGCCCTGGACAGGGAGTTCTTTGGAGGTCGGTCCGTCCTCAGGATACACTCGGGATGGACACACATGGTTGCAATGCTCGGTAAGCTTCTAACTTAGTCATATATCCGCTCCGTTCACACATACCCCCTCACCGTCAAAGGAAGTACAGTTGGGGTGACCGACCGACGCCATCTTGCCTGACTGCAATTCATTTGCCACGAAGCACGGCCACTGGGCGTACATGAAACAAATCCCCTGGTGTACGTGCGTCACACACAAGGAACGGTGCGCGTCAACCAGCGAAATGTCCCGCCCTCTTTCGATGGCGTACCGAGCCCATAGCGCACATATCTACCAACAATTAGGTACTCAAGGCCCTGGAAATTATGTCTGTTTTTAGAGACTGGTGAATGAAGTACATGAGAAATATGAGACCCATTATGTAGCACCTTTATAAGGGTTTACAAGGTGGTGCGGCGCATATTGCAGCCACTGCCAGAAACACCGGGGCAAACCCCTTCTCTTAGTGTTACTGGGTTCTTTAACGTGCATTACACAACACAGGGGACCTACGGCTTTACGTCCCATCCGAAGGACGAAGCAATAATGGTAAAGTGCCTTGCTCAAGAGCACAAGCACCATGTTCCCACTGTCAGGATTCGAACCCATGTACCACTGCATGGTTTGCAGCCACTCTGGAAATCAGGGAAAACCTTTAAAATGAGATTCCGTTTTTCCAGTCGGGTAAAACTCAGGGAATTTGGGGAAAACACCTGTCCGCTTATGGGCAAGGCACTTTGTCACTCACTGCTTCTCCCCACTTAGGAGTAAATGGGTACCTGTGAGAGCAGAGGTGGTTTAATAGTGTGATTGAATTTTAGCTGCTTTGCACCGAAATGGCTGCATCGTGCTGTATACTCCTCAGGGAGCTGAGATTCTCTTTATAACTTTTCATTGGCCCGAGGATCAGGGGTAATAATAATGTAAAGTGCTTTGATCAGGCGTGGATCCGGGGGGGGGGGGGGGGGGGGGGGGGGGGGGGGGGTCCAACAAAACCCAGCTCTGTCACAAAAAATTTCCCCCACATGAAATTCATGAAATATAATGCGAACCCCCCCCCCCCCCAACAGCCAAAATACAATTACTGGTAATAATGTCCACCTTTGCACAAAATACGGACAGAGCCAGCTTTGTTAGGGGCTATTTGTACACTATTCTACGATATAGTGTTAATAATGGTCGGATTTGAACAGCGCCCCCAATGAAAGTATGGTACCCTCCCCCACACCCGCCTATTGATTTTCGGAGGCCAAGTGTCCGGAGAAAATAACCTGTCCACATTTCTGATTTTTTTGCAGATGAAAGCCTCCCCCCCCCCTGCAAAAATTCCTGGATCCGCCCCTGTTGATCTTAGATTAATTAATTAAATTAATTTAAAGGGATACATCAGTATCCATTATTATTAGTATTAACACTGATTGCATGTGCATTGTTGACCCAGATGACAAAACGGTGGTCGCATGGGGACGGAACGACTACGGCCAGCTGGGCTGCCCGACGGAACCAGAGGGGGGAGACGCGGAGGCGGAAGGGGAACCCGGCGAAGACAACGGAGAGCAGAGTCCCAGCAAATACAGCTGCACACCCATCGAGGTGCCAACACTCCAAGGCTGTAGTCAGGTATGAGTCCATATTACTCGTTGGTTAAAAACGTCATACACGCGCGCGCACCACTGATTACCAGCGCCCATTAGATAAACGCTCGAGTTGCGTTAACTTCCGGTTCCATTCATGCTATACTACACCGTGTGAAGTACGCATGGTGGAATTGAGATGACGTTGCAGTAAACACAAAGCTAGGGCTGAGTCTAGGCATGCTCGATATCCAATTTTTTTCCCACTGAAATATAGCGAGAAAATGGTAACGCGATACTTGAAGTTATTGTGGTGTTTTCGTTTATATATAACAAAATAATTTTAACAAAAGTTAAAAAAAAAATACCTGGTCGAGTATTGATCTTACCTTCACTCAACCAAAAAGAAAGTTCCTGCTTGATACTTTTTTGTCTAACTCAAAAACTACTGGGCACATCTTGCTCAAATTACAACTGACCAGTGCAGAAATGCCTTAGCAATCCAGCCATACTCTTTGTTTGGCCCAAAACAGTGATATTGTGTACAAAATAATGCAATTTATGACAAATGGTACCGAAAAAAAGTTGCACTTTTGTATACGTGCAAGGCGAGTGTGAACCACAACTTGCACGTATACAAAAGTGCAACTGTTTTCATTATGATTTGGAGAATCTTTTTATTTTACTGTGGGACTGGGTTTTAATCATTTTGTAACGGACATTGGCAGAAAATGCAAATTTTCTTACCAGTTTCGGCAGTCGTCTTCTTGGTTTTCGAGTGTGTTTTCTGGTTGTGGTCATCCTCCTTTTACCCCGTAGTTTCCCCCATAAATCAAAGTCCTGCCCTTTTGCCACAAAAACTACACCTGCTGATAGCCAAGAAGGATGTGTCAAGAAATATCTGAATGTCACTTTTCAGTGTCATTTAGTCTGCTGTTTGGGTGAATCTCGCAGTGTTATATAGGAATGGGGTCCTGAAAGTTATGATTACATTTTCATGTTTCTCTTTCTGTGTAGATTGCATGTGGAGCTGAGCATAATCTGGCTATAACAGGTAAATGACTTCATAAAACTGTATTTCATTGTGCTTTTTAATTACATTTTGTGTTCTTTTTTTTGGTTGTTTTTGTTGATAGAATCCATCATATTCCTTTTGTTTTTATTATAAAGGTGGGGAGTGTGGCCTAGGGGTTAGGGTTCGTGACTCCATGATCGGAGGGTTAGGGGTTCGAATCCAGCTGCTGGTCATATGTTGTGTCTTTGGCCAAGCTACTTTACCCCCATTTGCCTCTCTCCACCCAGGAGAATAAATGGGTACCGGCATTAGCTGTGGAGTAACCTGCGATGGACTGGCCTCCAGTCCAGGGGAAAAAGATATATTCCCAGTCGTTTCATACTACTTTCATACTATTTAAACCCCCCCCCCCTTTATTTTGTAAAGAGTGCCCTTTTTTTAACACGAGTGCCCTTTTTTCACCAGCGGCCTTTTTTAACGAATGCCCTGTTTTGGAACTTCGCACAAATGTCGGCAATGCTGTCGCCCTGAAAAGTGCCACCTATTGTCCGATAGTGCCCGTGATTGTCCGGTTTGAACAGCGCCCCCATAGGAAGATGGTGTCCAGCCCCCCTCCATAACCCCGCCACCCCCTGCTACACAAGTTATAGTAGTGGGTGCTGTGTTATGGCACAGTTCTTATTTAACCCCTTAGCGTCGGGTTTCGTCTGTGGGCAGCTGTTAGGCTCTGTGCAGTGAAGCATGTAAGCCTGTGCAGTGAGGCGTAAAAACCCGGCGACAAGGGGTTAAAATCCACCCTGCTCGATTGTGTTATTCTTCTTTAGCCTACTTTTCCAGAAGAACCAAAACAAACCATTTGAGGATAGCTGAAATGTCTTGGGCCTGTCTTATGGCCCAGTCGGCCAGTCCTCATCTAGAATCAACCCAGCTAATGTCCTTTTTTTCATCAGTTGTAAGTGCTTCTAGTAGCTTTCCGAGTTAGGGCCTGTAAACTCGGAAAGAATACAGTACTTAATTGTAGCAGTACACTCTCATCTTGTTAATCCCTTTGTCAACAAACTGGCCCCTGTTATCAGATATTGCGGCTAATCCCCTGCACTTGTCAATATCAGCTGTGTGACAGCACATGTGGCTTTATTACACTAAGCGTTAGAGATTATAAAGCCACTGTTTGGACAAACGATTAAGATAGATTAGAGGGCTGGCCAGTTTACAGTTAGGCGAGGCGTCATAAATAAATTAACCGTTCGAACGCGCACGCGTGCTCACGGCATCCCGTTCCGAACGCGTTCTTATACAACAAAAGGCCAGTCACGGTCTCTGCACACACGAAGAGCTCATCGGCACTAAAAGTATCCGACAAACTTTCTCATCGTTACAGGCTAGCCCGTACAGTACAGGGGGGACGTATAAAAATACGGGCACCTTGAACGGGGAAAGCAGTCCTTTGCAAACTTTACTATCAGTATGTAAAAACCTTGAATATTCGATTTATAATTCGCTGATATTATTCTGAGCATGTAGCCGCCCACCAAATATTTTTTTAACCCTTCCAATCTCCGCATTTTTAATATAACCTAGACCATACATATTTTTTCGCCCCGCCCAGCGGCAGACAACGATATTTAAGGATAAAAAGGCATAAATCTTATCAAACTCCTCATACCTGCTCGTGCTGTCTAAACTCTGAAATGTTTTTTTTATTTAATGCTTGCTCCGATATCGGGTTTTTAAATTCCAAATCTGATTTCAATTCCAAACCAAAACGGATTTTTTTTCTGTACAAGTATATACACATAGTTGTTCTTCGCATCTTTGTTGTGCTGCTCCCGTTCTCGCACGCAAAGGAACGGTTGATTAACATAACAATACCCCCTCAGTGAAGCTTGCCCAAGCACGATCTACGGAACGCGTTCTAAAAGCCGTTCGGCACGGGAAGGAACGGGGGCCGTTCAGAACGGGAAGGAACGCGTGCGCACGCGTGCGAACGGTTAATTTATTTATGACGCCTCGCCTTAGATTGACTGTTTTCTCTCAGGAGTTTCTAGTGGAGGTTACTCGCAATGTTTCCCTACTGTTTCAGAGGACCAGGTTCTGTTGGCCTGGGGTTGGAATGAGCACGGCATGTGCGGGGACGCCAGGGTCATCGACGTCCACACACCCAAGAAAGTGGACACCCGCCTGGGCGGGAAACCAGTACTAATTGGGTCTGGTGCCGGCCACTGCCTGGCATTGTGTGAATAAGGGCCCGCCATGAACCGGACTGCGCTGGTTTCCGGGGCTGGGAGCGGATGCGAGGGACTGGGCCAATGTTCTCATGGGTTGGTCATGTGGTTCTGTGAGTAATACGCGACGACGTGGGTTGTTTCCCCGCAGCTACTTGTACTGCCAAAGTATTTCCCAAGGTTTTCAATCCATTGTTAACCCTCCCCATTCCAGATCCTGCAAAAATGTATCCCTAACCATCCTAAATCCTTCAAAATTAATTCCTATACCATCCCAGATCATTCAAACGCCATCCTTTAGCATCCTAGATTCCATAAAATCAATCTCCTACCATCCCAGATCCCACAAAATCAATCTCTTGTCATGCCAGGTCCCACGAAATGCCTTACCATCCTAGATCCCAAATATCAATCTCTTACCATCTCAGATCCCACAAAATCCATCCCTTACACATGTTACATCTCAGATCCCACAAAACCAATCCCTTACATCCCTGATCCCACAAAACCAATCCCTTTTAGTCCAGATCCATTGCTTAAATCCATTGCTTATTATCCCAGATCCTTCAAAATCAAACCCTTACCAAGCTGGATCCTACAAAAATCCATCCCTTACCATCCCAGGTCTGATAAAACCAATTCCTTAACATCCCAGATCTACAAAATCTATCCCTTGCCATCCTAGATCTCACGAAATCCATCCCTTACCATCCCAGATCCCACAAAATCCATCCCTTACCATGCCAGATCCCACAAAATCAATCCCTTGCCATGCAAGATCCGACAAGATCCATCCCATATCTTTCCAAATTCATCCCTTGCCATTCCCCAGATGCCACGAAATCAATCCTTTACCATCAAAGATCCCACAAAATCAATACCTACCAACTCAAATCCTTCAAAACCCATGGACTTTATTGGGCGGTACAAGTATTGTCGGTGGAATGCACAAAATGGAGTCGTCTTGTTGGTGACTTTAGCCACTGTTATTTTTTTCTTTTATCTTTTTTTGGCATTTATTCATTATTCTTTTACTTTTAAATTTTTGAGCAATTTTTTTCCTATTTAACCTCTTGTTTAATATTATTATTATTATTATTGGTGTAAACGTTTTCATTTTTTTTGGTTTTAACCATATTTTTTTTTCCATTCGTATAACGATGGGCTTCGTAAGTCAGTTAACAGTTGTGTGTCTCACCAGACATGCTTTGGGCTTGGAACGACGTTTCTACACCCAAGTTTTCAAAGGTTTTTGTCAAGACAAAAATCTGAAGATGGCAGAAAGAACTCAATTTGCAAACTGGTCACTTTCAGTGATTTCATTGGTTAGTTACGCAACGTTTCAGTTTGAGTGGTGAAACAGTTTTCACGCAAAACCAGTTTTTTTTTCACTGTAAAGTTCAATCTGAGGATTCACTTTGAGTGATAAAGTGACTGGAAGCAAGTCTAGTTTTACCAAGGCATTGTGGGTGCTTGCCTCCGATGAGGGTTATGTTTTCAAAACCTGGTTTCTACGGCAACTGGGTACTCATTTTGCTCTTGGATCGCCAAGGGGTCGTTGTTAAGGAGGGGATGAGGTGTCAACCAATCAGATTGCAGTTCTTTGGTTGTGGCCACCGGAATCTGTTGTCTGATTGGCTACTGATTGGGGACGCTATGATGCGGGTGGTGCCCGTAGCAACAGAGCATAAATCTTTTGGGAGTATGAGCTGGGGAATAATGGGACACAGGCCTATGCATAAGAAGATCAACGTTATTTTAATTCCAGTTTCAAATGGCCCACATAAACAAAAAACGTGACAAATAAACTTCATTAGGCCAAAAAAAGTCTCCGGTTTCTGATATGGAGCTTGCCCCCAAAGTGGTGTGGCGATGCGTTTTTTGGTGGTTTTTTTTTGACTTTTTTTTTCTGCAAATGTCGGCTGATGACTGCAAATGGTGCCCGACTAAATTTAGTGCAAAATATATGGGAGTCCTGAGAGGCCACATAAAGCTTATACTCGATCGTAACCCCATCTAAAAACACGTTAAAATTGTGCAGCAGCAGGATTCCAGTCAAACCAGTCGGTTTGGCAGTTTTGAGACATCATCTTACATTAAAAAAAAAAAATTCATTTTGCCGACCCGCATGGCTACGGCGACGCTTGGGCATACCAGAAACCGGAGACTTTTTTTTTTGGCCTGAGGTCATGGTTCTTATTTGATATTACACCGTACATTGAATAATAAGTTTGAATGTAATCCCACACAACTGACGAATATGATACTGAAATTTTGACTTGATTTTTCCTTCGTACACTTTGGAAACCATAAAAAATATTTGCAGTCAAAATTCCAAAGGGGTTTTGAGAAAATTTATTTTCTGTAGACGTACCGCAGCCAGCAAAACAAATTGCCTTGTTTTAAACTAAATATCAGCAATGCACTTTGAAAATACTTGAATCGAAAAATGTTGAAATCATGTCGTTTAAATGAGTGTCTTATATATAAAAGCCATACAATAGCAAGCATCACAGTTACTGTGGGATTTCTTGTCGGGCATTTCTGCTGTGGTTTGGCCATCATGATGCCTATATGCACAGTGTGAAACTTCCAATTTAAATTATTTACTTGGATTCCGAGAAATCACTGGAAATGGTAACCACTTTCTTGGGAAATCACTTGGAAAAAAATACAGGGAAATGCACGGCCAGAGTCAAAAATTAATGCAGTAATTTTCCAACGAAAGTGTATGCAAATACGTCGACAGATTGAGCTCTGGCAATAAATTTTGTAAAATTGATGAAGGGCGCCCTCTTGTGACATAATGGTGTCAGTCTGAAAAGATGACCATTGCGTTTCCCATTCATTGAGTTTCATTTCCTTCAAAATATTATTGTGAGCATCTACACGATCAGAATTTATAAGAAAACCTACATTTTATTGGCTTACTAAAATTTTAATTGACTTCTTTCTTTTAATGATTTTTGTTTTACTATTATCCCCGTTTTGTTAAATGGTATAAGTTTTGTTTATTAGAATTAGGTGCGAGCTTTTTCCAATAGTTTGGTTCAAAGTTGAAACATGGCTTGTTTATTTTCCATTTTGTTGAAGACAGTTTTGAGAATTTTCCTCCAAAATTTCATTTTTTCTTTACTTTTTTGTTTGACAAGTATCTCGCCACGTTTTGCGCATTTATTTTAAAGCAGAATTTTCAAGCCTTCAGAAATGTCTAAGTATAAGTTAAAAGCTGTTTCAAGTACCCCAATTTGAACTGCTTTTGCTAATGAATAAGTAAGAATAATGTCAGTTCATCGTTATAGATTTGACATATTTAATCAAAAGCCCAAGCAGCTATATCCAGGCAATTGTGGATTTAACAGTAGAATTCTTCTTTCGAATGTGCTAAATTGATGCTTGTTTGATTTCTTGAGATAACGATGGGAGACTTTTGAGACGTTGGTGGCAGCAATTAATCGGGCCTTTTTCCATTGTTTGCGTCATGTTGAGCGTGCGCGCTTTAGCTTAAACATAACATAAACCATTGAAAAGGACTGGTGTGTTTGCTGCCACCAACGTCTCAAAGGTCTCCCATTGGTTAGACAACAAAGAGAAGAGAGTAAGTTCCCGGATGATAGAAAAGCTTCGAAAAAAATCATGAAGAAAATTTATAAATAAATTAACAAATATTATTTCAGGACTTTGGGGGTGTTTCAAGTGGAGAGTGCGGCTATCCCATAGATAATGGGATAGTATAGTGTAGCATTATTTGGCCAGTATTTGTAAATATGTGGACAACTCAGAGCCGTCTATATACAGAAACCATTTATCATCAAGTTATCTGTTACTATTGGCCCAAGGCCAAGGTACTTCATATTTCCTCAAATTTCGATGATTGGCGAAGTTTAAGCGAAAAACCTGTAGGGTTGTCAGCTTATATATAGTTCAAAGAATAATGAAGACAGATTATTTGGAGATGCACTGAGTTGTAATTGTGTCAATCACATGTCATTGAATAGCCAATCACAAGTCAAGTCCCTAGTATAGCCGGGGGTGAACAAGGATGTCCCTGGTACTTCTTTTTTCAAATTATCCTGCAAGCACATAAAATCATTTGCTTTTCATGCATTCTGTTCGTTTTCAATAATAACACCGCACAAAATCCAAAGAAGAATGTTCAGAACCTAACCTGTTGAAATTTCAGCTCAGTGGATAGTACATTTTTGAGAAAATAATGAAAACCTTGCGGAACGTTTTGATCGCGAAACACGATTTCGTCAATAACACTCTTTATTAAAAAAAAAATATAAAAAAAATCAGCTGATCCTTGGAAAAAAAATCTTCCACATTTCTTGATTTTTTTCAATTAAATGACAGCAAGCCAGACGGAATAGTTTCACGGGCTGTTTAGTATGAGTACAATCTTTTAATCCAAGTAAGATTTCTGATAATAATTCGGTAGGTTACCGGGTACTTTTCGGATCAATCCAAATAATCTTATATGCCCAGCTCAGCCTTACACTGGCTCAACAAATTGACTCAGTTGAGTACCTAGACCCTTAGACCCAATTAGTGTTGAATAAGCTTGAAGGCCTGCCTGTATGATTGACTTGTGATTGTCTCGGGAGGACTTGTGGCGACTCTAATTTCAAGTCTAGTAATTACAGTTGTTTACTTCCAACTTTTAACCCTGAAAGGGCCGGGTTGAATATTTTGACCCTCACAGCCGGGGGGGGGGGCGGCTAAGATCTCGGCCATCGAGTGACGAAAAATTTTAAAACTCGGTACATGCATAGAGCAACTCATAATGAACATACCCAAGAAATTTCGTGACTATAGGTCAAAGGGTTTTGGAATTATGGCTAATTAATTATTCATATGTACGAATGGTAATTCAGTGTACACGACGTATATGGGAAAATTCAGTTTTCACGGCACGTGGCGCCGGATTCCGCCCCCGGCCCTTTTAGGGTTAAAAAGAAATCAATGAAATTATCGATTGTTGAGTGTATTTCGGAATGAAGCGCCAACGAGGTGCATTGTCTCTAGCTAACCATCACTGCCTTCCTAATTATCAACCCAGACAACTGTTCCTTCCATTCTTCTGCAAAGCTGATTTCAAAGAATTTCATTTTATATCGTTTATAAATGATGTCTTGGAGGGCAGGAGTCTCGATCATGTGCAAAATTTTCACACACATTTTGCATATTTTCTTACAGAGTACTGTTGAAAGTGCACAGATAAAAGAAACTGCCGAGTTTTTTTGGTGGATCATTTTACCTATAGTATACAAAGTGATCTTGGTCTTTTTTCCCCATGTTGCAAATCTTAGTTTTGGATTTTTGTTTTTGGTTCAAACAAAGTTGTCAGCTTGAAATATTGTTATTTATTATTATTATTACCGAAAGTGGTACCTTAGGCAGACATATACATAGACTTGTGCACAAAACAAAAACTTTCAAATAACACAAATTCTAAAAAGTTTCCCCAGCCACAACCGTTCAATTTCCAGACGTTCAAATGTCTCGCTAATGCCCTGTGTCTCCCTCATGTCGGAATATTTACTAGAAAGTGCCGCCAAAGTACCAATGGAAGAAGTGAAGCCATGTTGTTATATAGTTCAATACGCCAGATGTTGTACATGTATCAAAAAAGTCATCCAAATCACTGTTGAAAATCTGCAAGTAATCCTCTGATCAAGTTTTTGTACCATAGACGTGTATAGAAGAGAGAAAAAAAGTACACTAAAAGCCATATATTGCAAATACTGTGTACTCTAATTGTATTATCTTCATGTAATGAATACAATATGAATCTGTACATTAAAGAAGGCATAGTGTTATGCCGCTGTCTATATTCACATAACCAACATTTGTAAAGAGCTTATTATTTTTGTGGTGTCCATAAATGAGTTTAGCGAAATCTGTGTACTCCCACTCAAGTGTGTATTTGCCTGCCATTGGGCCCCCTGTTGTCCCTCTTTTGTACTAGAACTTTTCAGGAAGACCTCTTTATTTGATAATGTAATGGGACACTATTTCACAAGCTGCGTTGACGCAATTCTACCACGATAGGTTAGTAGTCAGATGTACTATTGAGAATGACACGAGTGAGTCACAGTAATTACACAAGATGGATCATTGGTGGTGATGAACACTGATGGACATACTTTACCAATGCATAACAGTTTAGCAGTGTTTCTGAAAAATGGTTGTCCATGGAAAATCGGACTGGAAAGACGCCTTTCAATAATGTTTACTATTTCTGCCCCATCATGCTGACCTTGTTTAATTTGTCTTACTTTTTATAATCTCATTAGAACATAAACAAATCAAACACGTAATTCTCAACTCGTTTTTACTGGAAAATATTGCAATTTATTGGCATGTTTTTTTGTTGTTGAATTTATCTTCTCAACTGTAAATTTTGTAATCCATTCAGATATGTTTCCGCCGCGTTTTAATGTCTTTTACATGCAATAATTATATTGAGCTGAAAGTGAGGCAGTTGAAAATGAGACTGACATATCCATACAAATATTGCCTAAAGCAAAGATATTCAATGCATTTCTCAAAAAAATATTTGCAATTTTGTTTTCTTCAGAATAGATGAATTAAAAATTACGTGTTTCAGTTTAAGTTTTAAGTTTGAAGAGTTCATTCACTGATGCAACAAAGATCTTCCTGTGATGGGGGTTATTTCAGGTTTTGTTTTTTATTTAAAAAAAAAAATCAG